TGGAGAGAAAGAAAGTGTTCAATGTCTTTTATTCTCCTCCCATAGCGTCCACTTGAGAAGTAGTGACTACTACTGTTCGATGTTGTATGTGAACAAGCGGAGAGAATAAAGAGATCTGTCATAACAGGTGAGTGAAGTAAGTAATAGGAGCAATGGTAACGACATATACATGGACGATAGTAGTATGACAGCAGAATTAATGTCTAATGACACAAAGTTTGCACCGGTGGACGATGCAGAAGGGAGCGAAAAGGCGAAGAAGGGGAGGAGGAAACCGTTTCATACACTTGATCGAGTTTTGCGTGCGGCATAAAATATGAGAGAAAGAAATTAGCACTCTAGTGAATGAGCGTTTTCCAAGAGAAGGTCATCATCTGCGAGCAGCACTAAGATCGATTGTCAATGAACTAACTTTGGTTTGTGTGATTATTATTTGTTCATGCATTGTTGAGTATAGCCACGTAATGAGCGATGTATGTGCTACACTCAATCATTTTCTTTCTTTTCCTATATCAAACACACGCACGCACGCACGCACATATATATGTAGGGTTTTATTCTATATATCTCTCGAAATATCATTCTGTCATTTAAAATAGTTTCGAGAGTCATCCGATGTCATGTCTTTAATACTGAATAATTAACTTCTGTCGTTAATTGTCAATGATCATCGCCTGAGCGTGTACAGAACGCGTATTTTCTTGTTTCCGACATTGTTGATTGTACAAAAAGAAAGGCGTGCATGCAGTGATAATCAGACAACAGATGAGGGTGTGTGTCCTTCTTCTGTAGCGTAAAATCAAATTTTTAGACATGCTATATCATAGAATACACAATAGAATAGATGATCGTTCATTGTTTTCGTCAAGGAATAAATCTCATTGGTATCTTGACTTCTTTTTCCTTCTCTTTCATCGTTCAAATCAATTATTCGTACTCCATCAATCAATTGACTCAACTTCTCTTCTTCCCTCCCCTTCCCTCCCTCGTTCTCCTTCTTCTTCTCGAGAACATTTACAAGTCGGTTATGAAATGCAAACAAAACATTGTTAACTTCCATGTAATACAATTCATAAAATGTAAAGTAAACGTTCACGAACAACAGTTTTGAATAAGTAATACAACCTTTTTGTTCTTTCTTTTTTTCTGCGTTCAAAAAAAAAAGAAGAAAGACAAATCTTCTACACTACACACATGTATATATATAACTGGACTGAAACTTATTCTCAATGTATATACATATGACACTGAATACTTAGAAATGAACGTTCTTTAGCACGTATCTATCATGAAGTAGTCAGTGTAAATATGACCCGAATCTAAAGATGATGATTGTTAGTTGTTCTTAAGTCGTGTAGTAATGTCCACGCGTAGTTGCATGACGTAGACGATATATGTCGTGTGTGTATTACTAAGGTTTCTCGGGTGTGCATGTCTCTTCATCATCACCGCCACGAACACTATATTCGACTATTGACCACGACGACCATTGTATGACGCATGGGAAGTAATTCAGTTTCATTCATTTTTAATCAATTTGTAAATAGGCGAAGAGCGAACTCGTCTTCTCCGGAGGGGCAGTCAGTTGGCTATCCTCATCTGTACATATTTCTCAGTAGTAGAGGGAGAGTGTGTGTGTGTGTGTTGTTCTAATTACTATTGTATAGTATCCATTGCGTGCGTGTCATAGAACAAAAGAGAGAAGACGATTCTGGTGAACAATATATATATACATATTTCACCGCCTTCTTCAATTAGTGATTTGAATGTTGTTCGTTTTGTCAAACAAGACAATGAAATAGTTCTTCGTCAGATTATGATGTAAGATGCATAGAACAGTCATTTTCCAATGATATTAAGAGTAAAAGCGATTGTTGTTATGATCTGCAATGTTGGATAATGAATGTATCGAATGTTATCGATACATATCAGGCTCGGAACACTGATTATTAACGTGAATAATTCTCGTTGTTTTATTTCAGAATATTTGTTTGCGACGAAGAAAAAAAAAACAACCAAATGAATTTATATCAACGATTCGTTCTTCTTTGGTTATTATTTCTCTTGATTGATATTATAAATGGTAAGTTTGGATAATTGATTTCTGATTAGTCAGTCAGAGAAGAAAGAATCTCTCATGCGAACATCATTCCCAGAAGGATATCGATTATGATGTGTGTATTTGATATGAAAATAATCGAGTAAGACATTTCAATGGAGTTGCATGGCATAATTTCTAATTTGAGAAAGGTTAAACGAGAAAGAAAAATGTGCATCAACTTGAATTAGGTTGACGACGAATAATCTGTCTGTAAATAGAAGGATTTTTAATTAACTAATTCAAATATCATAGCGAGATATAAGAAGTTGATTCGAGGTAAACGTCACGCAAATTTCAACGACAGAAATCATTGAATGAAATGAACTTCACCAAGTTGTGTTCATTTTTTCTCATCAATGATAAATCTAAATTTATTATAACCATCACGAGAAAGTAGTTCCGATTTTTTTGTAAAAGGCCAATCTTCAAAATTAACCTTGAATGTAGTTCTCTAATGGAGATTGTCACTCGTGACAAATAAGTCGTTGAAGAACAATTGTTTTATTAATATCAATTATTGTATAGTTCTGCTCGATGACATAATTTCTTCTGAACAATCTCATTTTTTTTCTAGCGACAGGACGATTACAACCGAAACGTGTCACGGCTGAACACGGCTCTGATTTGTCTCTTTCGTGTACATTTCAAGAAGAAGACAGTGATAAAACTGTAAGCAACTCCTTTCGTTTCCCGTTCGAACTTCGTTTTTCCTCTCACTTTCTTGCTTTAGATTGTACAATGGCTTTATCAAAATTTAACTGATTTTCACAGTAATTCTCGTACACATAAACCCTATTGGCGACCATTATTTCTCAATGCTCAATCATTGACACCGACTGAGACACGCTATAGTATTCAACAAAAAGTTCAACAAATCAATGATTCATCGATAGCGTATTCAACAATCTTAACATTGGCTAAAGTGACTGATTCAGACGAAGGTCTCTACATGTGCAAATCTCTTTCTCCGAAAACTATTCAAATGGCTTATCAAGTTCGTGTTATACGTTAGTTTCAAAAGAGCTCATCTGCTTTTTATTTGAGTTCAACAAATTTTCCTGTTTTTAGAAAGTCTGGATATTAATCCGAAACAGGTCATTATTCCTGCTGATGAAAGTGGTCAATATTCCATCCGATTAAGTTGTATTTTAACGGATCATCATACAGGTCGTCGACACGAGATTCATTGGTGGCATAACAACAAACGACTTGGTGCCAACTCGAATCGGCACGCTCGTATAACGAAAAACTCTACACAACATTCATTTATATCCACTCTGTTCTATACAGGCGAACCAGCGCATATCGCTGGTAGTTATGTATGTGAATCAGATCCCTTACGGAAATATATTTCAGTAGAATTAGAAAGCAATAAGTCCTCAGGTACGAGCAATCACTACATTTTAGTCAAAATATGTTCTCTATTTCATGTCTTTTAGATTTAATCGTTAGTTCATGTCTGTTTCTGGCACTTGGTATTTCCTTTTCGAGATTTTTATTCTTATGAACCCTGACGAAGACAAACGAAAATACACCGGTGAACATTCTCGTTTGTCGCCTATCACAAACACAAATATTGCTACTGTGTATATTCAGTATTTTTTATTGTTTCATTCAGTTTTTTTGTAGTTTAAAAAAAAGATATTTCAAATAAAATCTAAAGCGCCTTGTACGATTTTGTTACGCTGAACACCGTTTCGTTCCAGGAAACCTAAAGCTCCACGACTTACATAAGATCCACTATTTCGATTACCGATCAAAATAGTATTATCTTTTCATTCACGAATTTAACTATTAACACACCTGAACATATTGCGTCACTCTTCATTGCACAATGATCATGTCACTGTTCACGTACACCTATTTCGTTTGCATATCTCGAGCCAATCATGAGATTAATATTCTAATTGCTTAGTGATCTAACAATACCATTTCATGCTGCTCATATTCTCTTGTACTGGATCCCATTGACATTTAATAAACTTACATTTACACATCTTTACCTTAAGGCGTTCGGCGTTCAATCTAGACAACAACTTCTTTCGTCTTTATCACACAGTTTTGATCAAATCATTTGATAACCTTTATGAGCGAAACGAATCCACAAAGAGAGACATCTACATCTCTTCAAACTATCGATGTGAGCATGCAAATTAGTGACCACGTAATTGATTGGATTCAATTTACGTAAGTCGTTTAGTATTCATTAACATCACCAGCTTCCTCTTCTTCTTTCTGTCTCTCTCTCTCCTTTCGTACTCACTTTCAATTGTTTGTACATACCTATATATAAATCATGCATCATCACATACACTTTCATCTGTTTCACGAACGTTTCTCTCCTGAAATAGTCTACAATTCAAATAAAGCACACATCTCGGTAAGAATATCTACTTGAATGATTGAGAGATTGATTCAAGATACGATGCATCTACTTTGTTTTCATCTAATTGAAATATCACACTGATAAAGCAATCGTTTCACAATTTCAATTCATTCTTCTTTGCATTTAGATTGTCATGCAGTCATCAACTTCTCTACATTCTCTGTCATCCACAACATCTAGCAATTCTTCCAGCTATGGTTCTCGCACTATACTCGAAACCAAAGATCTTCCATATGCTGCACCTCGATGCCGATCATCTATCGCCGCATTCCTCGAAGATGACGATGCTTATACACTCATCTCGCCACCTTCATCTCCTGTACCACCACCACCACCTCCTCCTCGCCGCCGCCGATCACAACTTTCCACATCCAACAAATCCATTGATAAATGTCGTCAGCTCTTTCGTACTTGTCTTGCGTCAACAGCTTCACCTCTCGCATTGTCAACACACTCTAAACTATCAACTTCGTTCATCCGACAAGAATACTTCGCAAAACTATGTCAAACTCATCGATTGCTTCTTGTTCTCAACAGTTATCACTGTGAATGCGGTTGCCAATTTTCCATGGAAGAAGGCAGCTATGTTGTGCTATACGATCAACAAAGTCAATCATGTTCATCATACAAAACCAAGGGTGGACTAGTGACAGTGATATCGAACGATTTGGTATGTTCGAAAGTGCCTTGTGAATATGTGTGTGATGTGGAATTGTTACGTAGTCGTGTTCGATTGAGACGATATGGCAGTGGAAGTGATGATGAACAAAGTTTTGATTTGTAATATTCAATTGTATTTTGGCATTTTTATTTATATAATAAATATAACTTGTTATGCACACAGAATTCTGTAGTTCTCAAACGATAAAAGAGGTTTTATCATGCACATTAGTGATCTATGGGTGTGAAAGATAAGAATCAGGCCGAAGAGAGCAAGAAAATCAAGTGATTGACAACTGAAACAACGAAAGAAATCCCCACTATTTGTTTTTTTATTGTACGGGTATAAGTGTTTTGATGGCATACACAAGTGTTTTACATTCATATGTAAAAGCGGTTTTGTTTTGAATAATTTCGGAAAATAATAATGAAAAAACGGTAACATTAGCGTAATGGTAGCAACATAAATCGTGTCCAGTGAAACGTAAACAAAACAGTCCTCTGATATATTAATTTAATATATATTACATAGAACAAAATGACTCGAAGAATTGAATTACGCGATCTACATGCTGAGTGTTCAAATGTCATTTCTGTCTTTTGACAATATGCGTCCGAAAGCGATGTTCAGTTTGTTGAATAAAATATTGCATTAAGCAACATTGCGTACCTAAGACGATCTTTTCTGTCAATCACATTCAATGTCGACATCATAATTTGTAACGCACTTTTCTCATAACAATCAAGAGATTAATACTCTAATTGGCTAGTTATATAACAATCACACTTAAGACAATACTGCTTCATGCTGCTCATTTTCACCTGCATCTTATGTTATACGAATGAAATTTATCACTTTGTTGATATTTAGCAGTATTTCACCGATGCATCTTCTCCTTTAGGCTATGCACTAAATTAACTATAAAGAACAGTTTCTTTCTTCTTTATCAGTCAATTTTGATCAAATCATTTGATAACTTTTATGAACGAAACCAATCCACAAAGGGAGACATCTTCACTTTCAGACTGTTTGATCACTTCTTGAAAGATATCGATGTGAGTGTGCAAATTAGTGACCGCGTAATTGATTGGATTCAATTTATGCAAGTCGTTTAGTATTCATTAACATCACCAGCTTCCTCTTCTTCTTTCTCTCTCTCTCTCCTTTCGTACTCACTTTCGATTGTTTGTACATACCTATATATAAATCATGCACCATCACATTCACCTTCATCTGTTTCACGAACGTTTCTCTCCTGAAACAGTCTACAATTCAAATAAAGCACACATCTCGGTAAGAATATCTACTTGAATGATTGAGAGATTGATTCAAGATACGATGCATCTACTTTGTTTTCGTCTAATTGAAATATCACACTCCTAAAATATTCTTATTTCAGATTGTCATGCAGTCATCAACTTCTCTACATTCTCTATCATCCACAACATCTAGCAATTCTTCCAGCTATGGTTCTCGCACCATTCTCGAAACTAAAGATCTTCCATATGCTGCACCTCGATGTCGATCATCTATCGCCGCATTCCTCGAAGATGACGATGCTTATACACTCATGTCGCCACCTTCATCTCCTGTACCACCGCCACCACCTCCTCCTCGCCGCCGCCGATCACAACTTTCCACATCCAACAAATCCATTGATAAATGTCGTCAGCTCTTTCGTACTTGTCTTGCGTCAACAGCTTCACCTCTCGCATTGTCAACACACTCTAAACTATCAACTTCATTCATCCGACAAGAATACTTTGCAAAACTATGTCAAACGCATCGATTGCTTCTTGTTCTCAGCAGTTATCACTGTGAATGCGGTTGTCAATTTTCCATGGAAGAAGGCAGCTATGTTGTGCTGTACGATCAACAAAGTCAATCGTCTTCATCATACAAAACCAAGGGTGGACTAGTGACAGTGATATCGAACGGTTTGGTATGTTCGAAAGTGCCTTGTGAATATGTGTGTGATGTGGAATTGTTACGTAGTCGTGTTCGATTGAGACGATATGGCAGTGGAAGTGATGATGAACAAAGTTTTGATTTGTAATAATAAATTGTATTTTGGCATTGTTTTTAATGCGATTACGCATGAATTTAAGTCAATCTCGTCCTTGTAGTTTGATAATGAATTCATTTTCAGAATGTATCTATCGCCAGCGGTAGTATAACGACTAATCCGTTCTCCGCTTCTTTCCCGGATGAGTAATGTTCGAAAGGGAGAGATAGAGAGGGATGATTATTTTTAGATAAGATGACGCTGATGATGTCGATGATGTAATAATAACTAAGTGAGTGGAACATGAGAAGTACAACATTAACGAGACGGGTAGAAAATAGTTTCACTCTTGCTTTTGTTCAATATTTATCATTAATTCTTTTCAAGATAAATTTCCTCGCTTGTTCTTGTCGTAATAGAACTATAATTGGAAACATGTCGAGCGACAAACTTTCAAGGCCAATTGACGATGATAGAAACATACATCGATATGTATATAATATTCATTGTTTGACTTTTTCTCTCTGAGATATTCTCCGGAGAAAACATTCCCTATAATTCTAGTGACAAGGTCTTATATCGAGAGTCTACTGTCATCTTCATTTGTAATTTGGATCGATGAACAAAAAAAGAGAAAAGAAACGAAGAGCGAACATGATAACAAACACTGTGTAACACACATGCAAAAAAGAAAATGAGAAGAGAAATATACGATCAAAAAAAAAGCAGGAAAAGAAAAGATAATTATTCATCGTAGAATAAAAATGATGTTCATGATGAAAACTAATAACGACCATGTAGACATCAGCTTGTTACTTGTCGATTTTGAATATTCAAGTACTAGAAAAGGCAGGAAGAAGTTCGATTATTTTCAGATGAGAAAATCATGCTGAGAAACTTACTCGAATTTGTATACAAGATCTGTACATTTTTGCTGATTAGACCATCGTTATAGTCACATGTAAATGAGCCCGTATCATTCAATGATAAATTATGTATATATAAAATTAATGTTGCTTGATTATGAAGAGAATATTTATTGATTATATGAGAATTTCGCTCATAATTTATTTCATGCTTATTATGAAACCATTTTATATTTAGTGGATCGATCGAATGAAGAGTTGAATCTCGTACAGTGCAAGATAGATTGATTGAACGTTGTGAAGGATGTAATTCAAGAATGCCATCGTTGGGAAAGATTTTCAATGAAGCTAAAGAAAAGAACTTGCTATGAATAATTGAAAACATGTTTTGTTCATACGAAGGACAGTTATGTTGAAAATATTGGCAAGATATTGATGTTGATTGGATTTACACATATAAATTCCTTCATCAGATAGATTCAATTGATTGATAGTTAAGATAGATAAGTGTTTTTGGGTTTGAAGATGATAACCACTATAATCCACAATGAAACGTTGATTATTTTGCGTTAAACGACGTGCATTTGCATATAATGGTAACCATTTTATTCCATTACTCGTAGGAATTCTTGGTCGATAGACCCAAGTAATCTAAGATAAAGTTACAAACAGAGATGAAAGGTGCAGAGGAAAAGAAAATGAAGACATACGACGGCATTCGGAGGCAATTGAGCGATTTCACATCGAAGTGAAACGGTGGAATCAAGTTCGCCACTTACATATCGGGTGTTGGACGAATCGACAATACCTTGAAATATTCAATTAATCAATAACAGGAAAACATCTCCTTTCTTCTTTCTATTAGCCTACCATACATATTTCTTCTCCTGCTGTTCAATTTAATGACTAGTCATAGGGCGGATCTATTATATTTTGCTGTTTTGCCACTAACATATTAAGAAAAAGAAGTCTTTCATCTCGTCCAACTGTTCTTTCGATTGAGATATATGCTCACTGTGATTTCTTGATCAAATCAAACAGATTTGTCATTAGAAGAGAAAAGTTAATATCTACAGTGACTAACACAATGCACTATTATCTTAACATTTTTCCAATGTATACGGCCTTTAGTAAACAGCAATGAAGAAATCTCTCATTCTTTCTTTTTCTTTTTATCACACAAATATTGTTGTTATACACACGGGAGATTAATTAGCTGTACATACCTCAACTTAACCGGTTGAGCACGCGCGACTGAACAGAAAAAAAACGAAAAAAACTGTTTGTAATTAAATGATTTCGTTGTTTATACAAGATCGATAGATACACGTTTCCTATCTCTAAAGGCATACTCCAAATGGCTATGGTGATAAAAAAAATACGACTGAAGATATCAACGAGTACAGTAAAGAAGAAAACTTTAGTAAGAGTAGTTACCGGTAACAGATATAATGAAGAGAAGAAATTGAGTAATCATGGTAAGAAGTAATCAGATAAAGTCATGGTGGCATAACAAGAAAGTCTTTATTGATAAGATGACAATGTTATTGAATGAATGCAGATTATGTTGTGTTGACGAAATGTAATACAAAACAAATGCGAAGTTTTCTTTTTTTTTGTGTTCCTTTAATTTTGTTTCTGTCGTCCGATGATTAACAAATTGCCATATACCACGCTACGGAATAGAAAATGAAAAGAATATATGTCTGTATGCGTGTATGAAGTCGTTCGTTTGTTGAACAATTGAAGAGAAGAGAACGGAGAACGATGTAGAAGTGAAGGGAGAAGAGAAAGAACGTACGTCTGATTCCCGAAAAAAATAACACTCACTCCTCCTTCGTCTCTTTCTAATCTTCCTTTCTCGCTTCTTGTACATATATACAATGAGGAAAAGAAACTATGAAAGCCATGTTATATGGTCAGAACTAATTGAGGAAAGTGAATGAAATCTATATATATATATTAAATCTTGTGACATAAGACGATTTGACTAGTATGTGTGAGTGTGTCCTTATATTTTTTCAATGAAATCAGACCTACTCTTATACATTTACGTTAAATTTCTTCTAACTAAATAAGGCAAAGAAAAAAAAAATCTATACATGTTCATACACTAATGATCTCATTGACAGCCAATGGTGTTCATCAAGCCTAGCACACAAGTCGAGCAGCATTACGGTGACTATTATTAATTCGACATCTACTTTCACTTCTGTCTAAGCTAATGAACAAATGAATTAATACCTGCATGCATACAGATACATGCATTTACTTTCTATAAACAATATCGATCGCAGTTGTCTCTCATGTAAGCATGTATATACATATATGTACCATTTGAAAAATGGGGGACGAAGTGCCTGGCGATAATCTATTTGAACATATACAAATATCTTCGGCAAAAAAATGTTATTCTTTGACATTCTCATAGCAGATATGCTCAATTGAAAATTTGTACGAAACGAATGAGTAACTAAATAAATGATTGAAATATGAATAGTGCAAGTGTCAATGTGTCACTCATCACTATTGAATAGGAACACAAGGACAGTATTCGACTAATGGTCGGGCTCTTACTCTCAACCGAAGGGTCCACTTAAGGCACCATACAGACATACTATACACAGGTCTATACGAACGCGTGCGAAACAATATGATGCAATAACAACATACACACACACACGCGTATATATGTATATATCCGAAAGAGAATAAAAGTCTAATTGTTCTTCACCACCTGTTCTTCCCTAATCGAATAGTTGCTTGTTTGTTCAAGTCGTTTAAGAACCTAACAACGCATCTGGATGAGATGTTTTACTATATATATATAGATTGTGTATGTGCGTGTGTTTATGTATATATGTGACTCTTTCTATCTCAATTTAATCAACGAATGATAGATATCATTGAATGAAATGAAGCTAAAAGCTTTCTTTTGATTTTTCATCGTACAATGCCGCACTAGTTATTTTCTATTTGTGCAAAGAATGTGACTATCAACTAATGATGACAACAGTCTTACTAGTCTTTATACTTTAACTCGTTCGATGTGATGCATTGCGACAGCTGAGTGTCACAAGTGTATCGTCAATATAACCTCGTCGAAACAATCTTAAATACATTTTTTTGTTTATATAAGTTATAGGATTGTCGCATAGACGTTGTATCCACAAGGCATCGAACGTCTGAGATCAATTTGGGCTCTTACTTTCTTTTCTTTGATACCACGAAGCTTGAAAATAATTAAGTGACTTAATATCTAGACATATTATCTTTGTTAACAAGACTCACTCTTCTTATTGTCATGTAGAATTGACCTGTAACTCTCGTTGTCTATTGTTGTTGAACAAAGTATATGACAGAAGAGGAAAACGTCATCTCCGGTTTAATATGAATGATAGACGAAGAGATAGAAGACAAAGAATGTTGAAACCAATTGTAGGTTCTTTCTCTTTGACTAAACGTAGACAATCTATTGACAAGAAATTGATTCATAATGGATGTCTTGTGTGTGATGAATAGTACAGATCAAAGATGTTGCCGTTCAAAGATTTTTATCTCTCTACGATATCAATTCACTAGAGTCAATAGACAAAAGAAGAAATATTTCTGTTTGATACTTTATTAAAAGAAAATCATCTCAGAGAATACAGTTCATCTGTTCGAATACTTTATTAATGATAATGTTCCGACATAAAATTAATTCTATCGATACAGTTGTTTCTGTCAGCTCATTAATAATAAAAAAAAACTCGAACAGTTGTTTTCCTTTCTTCTCATTTTTTTTAACGACGTCTCGTGTGAATAGAACCTTTTTCTTTCAAAGAGTAGTACAACTCCGTTTCATTCGTGGTGGTACAAGTGTTCTTCGGTAATGATTACGTAATTATTCAGCGACCTAGAATAACTATCTTAATGAATTAACTAAAAGAAAACTCTTCTTCTTTTCAGTCTGCAAAACTAAGCATGAGAACATGGAACGAAGTCGAAACAAATCAGTTCTTCTTCTTCTTCTTCTATCCGAGTTGATAGAATAACAGTAAGATCGATCGATGTCAATACGAAAAATGATTAGCATGTCGTCATGATTATTGATTATCGCAAGATTTGCTTCTCGGCTTGACTACTTAAGAGATAATTTCATAAAACGCTTTTTCCAAATATTATTTTACCAAAGAGCAAGACAAATATAGTTTCCATCGAATGTAATTACATCCCAGACGAGTAGAACATTCAAGGTCTACATATTCCGTTCACAATCAAGATCAAACTTGAAATTCACACAGTAGCTTTACTCTTTCTCGAAACATTAGATAACAGCACTCGTGTTGTATATCAAGAATTAATGAATATATTTTGTTGTAAACCTTGAGCATATTTCGATTATGTTTGAGATGCAAATAGGCATCGTAATAATCGTTTTTATCCTCATCCTTAGCTCTATATTCAAGTGTGCTGTCTGTCTGAGACATACCATCTAGCAAACCAAGTACATTCGAGCAATTATTTTATTCAGAATAAATTTGCTGCTCATATCGAGAATAATTCCATCTAGAGAACATTCAATAAGCAAGACTTTCTTTCTTTACATTATGAACAAATTGGAAAATAAACATATTGACGAACTTATTCGTCCATATGTACATAAATCGGACATTTGTAGGGACCAAACAAATATTTGTACGCATTTCTTTGTAACCAATCGTGTGCGATACAGTCGAGAAGTTGCATTCGTCGTTTAGGCTCTTTTTGTAAAAGCTAAAAGTACAAATCTAATACTTTCGAATTCTACAAACGATAAAATCCTACATTATCGATAAATCTTCTTGCCAAAGGCGAGAAATAGTCGGGAAATGTATAATTAATATTTGCGATCTTCACCTTCGTCTCATCATCTGTACCTTCGAACGGTGCATGACCGGAAAGCAATTCATAAGCTAGGACTCCCACACACCAATTATCAACATGATATTGATATTGTTTATGACCAACGATCTCCGGTGCTAAATAATCCAATGTACCACATGCAGTTGTATTCCTAAAATATTCAGTGATGATTTCGTCATTTTTATTGGTTTAAAAATATTCGACTTACATCGTATCAGCATGACGGATTTTTGTTGACCAACCAAAGTCAGCTAATTTCAAATTTCCACAGCAATCCACGAGAACTTAATATGAGAAACAATTTCTTGAATAACATCGTTAACAGAAATTCAACTTACTGTTTTCTGGTTTTAAATCTCGGTGAATGATACTTTTACTATGACAGTATTCTAATGCATGACAGATTTGATAGATGTACTAAAAGACAAATCGTCAGAAAAACATATGGAATGATGCATTGCCTACACTAGCAGCTAAACGATCGGAGAACCGACGTAATTTTTGCAAGAAACGATACAATTGTCCATGTGGAGCATATTCAAGCATGAAATAGAAGCGTTTTTCATCGTGAAATACATCGTACATTGTCAGAATTAATGGATGATTCAATTTGAAACCAGATTCCGTTTCAATTTTCACTTGTTCAGCCATCGAATATTCATTGATTTTACTCTTATGAAGCATCTATTGCAAAACAAGACGTTAGATTTCAAGCAATTGAGAAAAAAAGCATTCCATTTACTTTCAATGCACAGATAAATTTCGTTTTCTTCAATCGTGCTAAATAGACGATACCAAATGCACCTTTGCCCAGCGGCCGACCGAATTCGAAGTCGTCAACAGTAAACAGACGATCTTCACTGAAAGAAAACCATTCAGATAATCAACTATGTTTTTCGGGAAGGAGTAGCTCACTTCAATGCCATTTTACGAATGCTATTTGCCATACTCGATTCTAAATGCGATTGACGAATGTATTGTTGAAAGACATTGCCAGACATGGGTGGAGCTCGGATTTGTTCATCGGTTAAACTATTTAACCAATTTGGCAGATAGGTGTAAAGAGAATCACCATCACATTGTGCCACGTCGAACGGAGTTTTGACAGCGTTGATATCTTCATAAGACTGTATAATACAAAAGCGAAACGATTAAAAAGACAATCAAAGTATGTTTTGTTACTTGTTGATCTTCTTCCATCGCTTGTTCAGACATTGAAAGCGAACGAATCCTTTCTCATTAATGAATCGAAAAAGAATGGTAAACTTGGAACAAAGAAGAGTACATTGAGTGCGTGAGAACAAAGACGCGGTAATTATCAAACAGTAAAAATACGCGAATACTTAGTAATTTATAAATGAAAATGATCTTATTTCTTTAAATATCTCTCATTTTCGGAATTAGAATATGCTCTGGATTTCTTACATGCAGATGTCGCTAGTTTGAATAGCAAAGGTCATTTGCGTGGGACACATTCGAATAATAAGGTTAAAAATGAATATCATCTATGGTGTACTTCCTTTAGAATTTCATAGTTGCTTGATTTTCTGCATAGAACGGTTTTGTAATCAAAGCCAATATATAAAAGATCTATGCTTGTTTATTCGACGCAGTAAGGCTGCTCATGTCCTTTCCATTGGGTTTTTATTCATTTCTATTATCTACAATAAATAACATTTGCTATTTCGTTACAACATCAATCGGACAACAACAACAATATATATATATAAGTTTGAAGTCAATTTTTGGTAGTATCTGATGAAAACAAGACATTAAATTACTCTAAGCATTATCTTCGCTCGTTGCTGACTTCAATTTTTTCCCCAGACGAATTGGTAGAATACGTTCGATGTACAAAATATGCGTTAATTGATCATCCTTTGTCGAATAGCTAGCTTCACCTAATTCGTACATATTGTTATCTGTTAATAGCATGAGAAAGAATTTAACCTCATAGTTTAATACATCGCCTGCCCGAACATTACTCAATATATTGAACGTTTCACCGAAACGGATAAAATCTTGAAAATGTTGTAATGACGTTTCATACGGTTCACCAGTTACTGTTGTTGAGAAGATAGTAAATCGAAGAAATATATATGCATCTTTCGTTATTGGATAATTCAATGATGTTAATAACGAGTTCATATGACGTAAGTTTTGGACATTTAATCGAATACTGAAGGTTGATGGGTTATATTCACAACTGAAGTGTAAAACGGGATACGACGGCGGTGTTCGTTCATCTGTTCCGTCTTCAGTGCCGAAATTAGTATAAACAAACGGATTCAACAATGATGAACCGTAGGAACGACGAGGAATCGTTTTATTAATTTGAGTGTTTGTCGAAGGTAGATTTTGAGGAACAGCAATGAGATTTTTATTGACTACCGCAGGTAGATCAGCTGGTTTAACACACGGATCCGATGTTGATTTTGCTAAAGATAAACTCGACGTTGTAATCGATTGTGGACGATGAAATGAGGTCGAGAATTTGCGCATCGATTCCGAAAGTACCGGTCGGAGATCTTCGAAACGTCGTGATAATAATAGATCCCAAATGAATTGTTTGACAAGACAAATTGTTATTACGATAGCAAATGCAATCAAGCATGATAATGCTACATAAGCAGACATGTTCACATACGTCGATGGGGCCTGATTTTTCATTGATAATTAAAACGAATAGAACTAGAAAAAAAAATCAAATAATTAATTACGACGTATTAACGATTCTAAACACGTTGATTTTCATATCCATACACATCTAGTCGCAAAAGGATACTTTTAACCTTTGTAGCGGCGAACTTGCACGCGAATGTTTCCTCCTCGTATTTAAATGAAGCATCCACAGACGAAAATTGTCTTTCCCTCTTTTCTCGTTCTCGTTTTATGACATTAATACTTCTCTAACAGATATTTTATTTTGTTTCCTTTTCTCATTTATCATTATTAAAAATAGTTGAAGTCGAATTCAATTAACAATGATAATTAAACTATTGATAATAAAAACACGCATAGATGTTTCCTTTTCTGACAGATTCCTAGCTATTCGAATAAAGAGATAGTTAGGTCAATCAGTATCATTGCTGGAGACAAAACGCGACGAGAGACTGTTTCTTAACTCTAATCCTTTTACTTATTCTTTCTTAGATTTGGATGTCTTTCGTCTATCTCGAGATACACAAGTGTTTATCCTTATGTAGCTAACTAAAAGAAAGTAAATGAAAGGTACTTAGTGGAAAATCATCAGTGAGAATAGAAAAATATACGAGAGAAAGAAAAGAAGAAGAAGAATGAATGAATGAATGATAGCAGAGTCGAAATTCATCAAGTAGCTTTTTCTTCTTTATGGAAAAAAAAGAAAACAATGAGCTAAATACGTTGATTTGTCAGTAATTGCACGATTGAGAGTATTTCTCTTCTTTGCCGTAATTAGTTTCGTGACATAACCCATACTCTAAACCAAACATCGCTTTGAATTTAGACAGCAGATGGATATAAATCGACACATGCCCACATCAAATCGGTAAAAAGAAACAAAACGCTCGAGCTTTTCCCTTTCTCTCGTGACTTAGTCTAGTGCGCTTAATTCTACCAACTTACCAGCATATGGTTCATTTTCCTCACTTAGAATTTTATAAATAATAGATCGACAGATATATGTATAGCAAATGCCGAGTTTTAGTTGTCTTTGGTTGATAAGAAAGAAAGATAGACGATGATGATGTTGAGATTGTGAAAGCAGAACGGGCGGAAATGATAAATTCTGCTCACTGACTAGTGCAAATAGATCTTGTTAATGCTTCTTAAAGAAACGACGTTTACTGTTTTACCATAGTCTGTTGTTACGCTTTGATAGTGACCGAACGGATGCGAAGAATCTAGGGATAAATATAATCAAGTTTGTCAGGCTTTTTTTCTCTTTCCCTTTTCTTCTCCACCCACAAGCCGACATCTCTTCAACGGCAAAGCATTTCTGTTTCATTCGACTCTCCTAGTCTTAGAATACATCGAAAAAGACTAACGTACGGGGTTGAAAGAATGATAATGACATTGGACGGAATAGAATAAGTGAATGAGGAACGGAGTAAAAGCTCGTCGATGGAAAGCTTGATGCAATAACAAATGAATGCTTTCTATTTACACAAATTCATCTGAATATTTGAAAATGTGACAAAGATGTTAATAATAAACACATATTCGATATGTATTTACGTTTCTTATCGAACACAAAGACAATCAATTGTTGATAGATCGATTCGATTTCACGATTATGATTATTCAAGATCGCAGCTTATGAAATATTCATTTCAATGCATGATGATTGATAATTATTTGTTCATGTTAGGTTATATTTCTCGAAAAAGCATGAAAATACGCTTTTCTCATCATTAACGAGTATGACAACGCAGCAAAAAGAACTTGAAATATGATCACTAATAGACCTAATGCTTTTTGAAAGCGTTCTTATGTTGTTTATCGGAGTAATTCTGCAATGAAAAATGTTCTTGGTTCATTTTTCATAAGTGTATCCTTAAAATTAACAAGAATAGCAACAATAGAAAAGAATCATTATTGTTTTCATTATGATTAAGAATAACAAATGATCTATTCGGTGTATTTTTATGGTTGTTGAGGCGACTAACGAATAGTACATCATTATCAAGTTAATCGATGCAAAAAGAAAGAGAAAATGATATAATTAGAACAACGTGCTCTAAGACACGTTCATTCTCTCGAAATGGTTATCTCATCGGAGAAGTTTCCAAAAAAAGCTTTTGCATCTGACATGAACAAAAAAGATAAAAGCATTTTTAATTCGCATTTGTTGATAAGATCATCTCGTGATCAATAATACTATCTGCTATACTTCGTTTAACGTCGAATTCATAGACATGACGGTTCTTTCGTCGAGCAGGAATCGGTAATTCCGTGTGATGACATGGTAATGGCGATGTATAGAAATAACAATGTAGTAAAGCCTAAGTAGTCGAATGTTAACACGTGTCAAAGTGGGTGATGGTGTAAATACCTGCTGAGCACTGATCCGCTGTTTAGACGGATAGACGAGGAACTTTTTTAGGAGGTCAATAGCATTCGAACAGGCTTCGGGAACGATATCTTCGAATTTCATTCCTTCGAAATCATCAAAGCTAATTTTGCCATAGTCAGGTAATTTCTTCATTTCCTACAAGAATTCGAAATCAATCAAGAAAATGATATTATTGATCTACTCTACCGGCCATTGAGCTTCAGTAGGTGTTCCAAGAAGTTTGCATACACAACATAATTGATGAATATCACTCTCTCCCTACAAACGGATATCTTTCTCTCTCCATTTTCATATTCCATTTCTTCTTACCGGAAACAACGGACTGCGATTGATTAATTCACCGAATATGCATCCAACTGCCCTAAAAAATAAATCAATTGATTTGTAGAGTAACTGATACACACGTAGTTACCATAGGTCAACACCTTCATCATAACTGCGTGAACCATAAAGAAGCTCTGGTGCACGATACCATCTTAAAAGCAGGAGAAGATTTATGAATCATTCATTCGTTCACTGTTGTAACAGAGCACTCAGCTATTCTACCTTGTTGCAACTTGATGACTGTATTGTCGTTGTGGTTGAGCTTTGTCAAATATTCTTGCTAAACCAAAATCAGCGATTTTTAAATGTCCAGTTGCACTTATCAATAAGTTTGCCGGTTTCAAATCCTAGGAATTCATATCGAATGCAATCTATGCCTTTCGATCTCTTTAACTATTTACTCGATGCATGATTCGATTTTCATGACAAAATGACACACCATTTAATAGCATTTTCATGTAACTTTTTATCTGCGAAGTTGTCAATGGCTGATTGACATTCCGAATCACTTCCGTTAAATCACTTAGCATATACTCAATTACGAAGATGTAACCCATTCCATGCGGGAAAACATCAAGTAGCTTAACAATCTAGAATCAATCAACAATATGAATGAAAATCTTTCTCAGTTCTACAAACATTTTCATGATCTTCAATTTCTTGTAACGCTTTGATTTCTCTAGAGAATATTGAAATGAATGGACTGTGACAAAATGATTTCAATGACCAACCGAATGATGTTATTAGGAACACCTTCCTCCGATAGAGATTTCATATGCAAATGAACACGCTTGAGTGCAACGGTTTCGTTACTCTAAACGCATAACAAGAAGTTGATTTTGATCGAAAACAATCAACAAAAACTCACTTGAACATGTTTACATTTGTAAACGGTCCTAAAAAGAACGATATAAACTTTAGACACGATGAAAATTTCATTCTTATTTTGAAAAATAGCATGACGTCTACGGTTACTACCTAACGGACTTGTATCTTTCCTGTTCTTGCACAAAGGTGATGAAATTCGAGAAAGAGAGAGAGAGACTAGTGAAAGATGTATCTACCGTATAAATTCTATAGTAACCATAAGTGTTTCTCAATGATGTTAGTAGACTGACAAATTATCAGCAATAAATGTTTTTAATAGAAGATTTACCCGTAAGCTCCTTTGCCAATACGGTTTAATTTAATATATTTGTCCATTTTATCAATAGATTCGACTTATATCAAACGTTGACTGACAAATGCATCCATATTCTGCTTCCTGTTCCTGGATATACCTTCACAATGACATCTCTTCCCGATTCGACATTTCCATTGGCTAGAAGATTCGAACGAATAAAGTAGATTCTCCAGAGAAAACTTATCGACAATATTCTCTACAATTAATAAATCAGTTAATTGTGATATATAGAAACTTAATCACAACTTGAAAACTATCTATAGAGAAATGAATGAATAATAACTTTGTTATTTTCAGATGAAATATATCTAAACATCAAACATGTCGTTTAATAAAGCAAAAGTATGTGTAAAAGAAAAAATCTCAGAAATTCAATTATGAACTTAATTTAATTTAGCATTTAGCAACATTTTCTCGCGTATGGTATCTCTTTGACGCCAAATGGCAATGTCCACATCTATCAGGTGAACGAATAGCTCGTATTCTACGTGGTGAACACAAACCGATCTTCTATCCAGGAGGTAAGTGATCTTCGTGTTAACACACATAATGTCAACATATTCGAAATGATGTGAGCCTAGCACAAAAGATAGTAGTTCTTGGAACGGCGTAGATAACATCAAGGTTTCCAAGGAAAATAAAACAACATTGATAAAAACAGCGCTAGTTCGTTTTTTTATATTTTAGTGCTAAATTTGTCTACAGTTGACAATTTTCTCACCGAGATTACTTTTCACTACATATGTTCGATATTCTTGAAAGTTTGCGATAGTTCGATTTGACCATGATTATGTCCCTCTTAACGTGTCTGACAACTGTAGAAGATCCCAGTTCAAATTCCATTGACTTAAAAAAAAAGGAAATGTTTTCATCTATCAATAGAATCTACAGGCGATTGTGTTGTGGCCATAAACACTCGACATGTGGCCTTGCGCAACGACGCATGGCGTGCTGAAGCACTACACATCCCCCGTGTTTATGCCAAAACCAAATACGATATACCTCTGTTCAAACTTCATGAACTTGATCCAACAAAAGTAAGCTATTCTTCAATAAAACCATTCCTATTAACTATCGAATTCTATTTAGGTTCTCCATCTATGCGTTCTCAACTGTTTACCACCAGAAAACAATCGAAGATACGACATGGCACGATTGTATACATTTCCTGATGATGTAAAATTATCTTTCCTCTTTAAAAGGTTTTGAATTATAACGCAATTTTTTAGGCAGTACCTGCTCATTTATTGAAGAATGTATGTGATCAAATACGTGGCTCACGTTCTATACCTAAACGCCTTGATGATTTGACACCGGGTGAAGTAAAAAACTTCCCTCAAATGTTCAAATGGTTCGAAAGATGCGAATTTAGACTGTATTCTTAAGTTCTTTTGTTCTTCTAGGCCGAAGGATTTGGTGATTGATGATCTCGATCGAGACAAATTCGTTCGTGTTGTTCCTCCGGAAGAATTACCTAAACGAGAAGTTATGCTTGGACAACGTGCTGGCAAACAGAACTACTGGTTTCATGTTTCGACTAGTCGACATGAAGAAGTTAAAATTAATTAAATTTCTTTTTGTTTACGATGTTCAGATAGATTGAGAGAAATCGTTTAGAACAGAGAGACAAAAAAAAGTTTAAAGGCCGCCTCAAGTGCATCTATGTTGAATCTTGTTTTTTCGTTTCTTTGTGTTTTTTTCTTAGAACAGAAGAAAGTGTAACTTGTTTTTCTCTTTCTTTCTCTCTCTCTCTCTCTTTATAAAAAGATTAAATCCTTTCTCTCTCTCTTTTTCTATTCTTCTAGAAATAACAAATGTCCGGTCGTATATTTTCTCTTCATCACAACTCATATCCTGACAAAAACAAAGCACCTCGAATGGAATTAATGGATAGTCAAGATTTATCATGTGTGGATTTCGATGAATTGGGTGTTCGTCCATCGACTTGGGCCGATGATAACAACCTTGACTTGGACAACGCGGCCGATGCTTATCTATCAAAAGAAAAATTCCGTGAATTCCAATTTATGGCTGATGAAAAGAATTTCACAAATAATGAAACAATGATTGATGAAGATGATAGCAATTATGAAATCGATCCTGAAACCGGTAAGGAAAAGCTCATTTCCTTCTTTTCAGCTTCGAACATTGAAATGGAAAGCAGGAGAAAAACAGGTCCATTATTATTTATTTTGGTTTTGTTGACTTGAGAGACTGTTTTATTTCGATGGCCTAGTTTGTTATGAGAAATTAGTCATAAAATATAGGTCGTAATTTCGAACATACTTGAGAAGTAAAACTGAAGCAATAGAGATAAGTCCAAGAAGAAAGGAGAAAAATCCTTTTTCTTCTTCGTATTTCATCCACGTTATCACTTTCGTCATATATGTCAATATTTATCTAGCTGTTCCTTTTCAGGTGAGAAAATCTTTGGTGAAGTGCCTATTGCAACTAGTCCATCCTTTTCGCCAACGAACGATGTAAGTTTGTGTATTTATCTTTTCGTATCCTATGTTATCATCATTGTTTGTTTTTCTTTTCCGTTTTTCACAGAATTGGATCGAAGAATATTTGACTCGAATTGAATCATCATCGAAATCATATCAACAGTCGATTTCAAACAATAGTGACCTACTTTTCGAAGGAATTCCATTGAGCAACGAAAATCTTGTTTCCAGTTGGCTTTCAGGTTACGTTTCCCTTGACGAATCTGCCAATCAAATGATGTTTTCGGAACAATACCTTCCCGAACATGACAAACTTACACCACCGATATACATGCCCTTATCTTCCAAACAATCACAGGGTTCATTGATGAATCCATTAAGTATTTCAGCGGATGATGAACATTCGATTAGCAGTAGCAGCAATAGCAGTCGACAACAAAGATTACCTTCATCCTTTGAGGTAAAAATGCATTTTTTCAACAAAAAAATATTATCTAAACTGTACTTTGTTCTCTTAGGGTGACTCGACTACCCGCGATAGTGATTTGACGTTTGAAGAAACGTTAGTCGAAGCAAAATTAGAAAAAGTATGGAGCCCACTGAAATCTACCTTTCATTTAATAGTTCGTATATTTAGATTGAGCGTGACGAGCTTTTAATGCCACCGACGTTTTCGCGTCGATTGAGCACGCGCGCGAATTACCAAGGGCAACAAGATGAAGAAACTTTACATCGATATAACATTCCGCTTACACTATACGAAATCACACAATCAAGTACAGAAGAATATAATCGTCATTTAGGACGTCTTAATTACCTAAGCCCCGAACAAATACATATCATCAAAGATATTCGTCGCCGTGGAAAGAATAAAGTAAAGTTGATTTGAATTGCAAACGACAATCGATTGAGTTTTCTTTGTTAGATAGCAGCTCAGAATTGTCGTAAACGAAAAGCGGTGAATGTGGAAACTTTACTCGAAGAAGTCGACGAACTAAAACGTGTTAAACATGATTTAGAACAACGACAAAAATACTTCCAACAACAAGTAAGTGATCAATTGTCAAACACGATCATCGTTCATCTTCGTTTGTTGTTTTCTTAGATTATCGAAACGCGCAGTCAATACGAGTATCTTCATCGTCAAGTTTTACCCGATCGACAATTACCACCGGCAATATTTGTGAAATAAATTTCTTCTTCTGTACATACGTATCAGATTTAATGCCTTGTGACGACAGATTTTTCGTACTCGACAGACATTTCTTGTTTAAGTAGAGTTTATCTTGTTATTAGCAGTGCAGTAACCAATACCTTGCGAAAAATGAAATATTGTTCTTTTTTTAAATGGGTGTTTCAATCATCGAAAACAAGTTTTTATTTTATTAATAAATCAATGAATATTTATTTGGAAGTAATCGGCATTCTATAACGCGCCTTGCTTCTTATTCATATCGAATATCGACTTATAACGATGTAAACCCTAGATAAACAGTGTAAAGACTCGTTTGATTTCCTATTAATTCAATTCTGTCGATTCGAGGAGAAAAAAGCTTTCCGGAATAGAAATAATAATATCCTCATTGATATGTATTCTACTAGATATCAAGTTGATCTTCGTCTGATTCAGTCACGGTCTACGAAGAGAAAAAAAACGCGTATTTGATAATTGATTTTCTATTTTTTTCTCGCCGAGAAAAGCTCGCTTTTTATTCGATTATATCTAATCAAATTCAAGCTTGCGATCTGCTCTTTTCTACAGAGCTCCGTGTACCAAAATCTCTAATAAAATTTCATTTCTTTCGAGTAAATCGTCAACACGATCAATGAACTATTGTTTCCACTGCTGAAAATAAATATATCTCTCCGATTCAAACAGATACATTGGTCCTACCATGATAATATCTTTCACCCTATAAATAGACCGACGAGTTATCAGATTTCTTGATAGAAAAGTGAATCCAGCAGAATGACATTTTTTCATTTTTACACAGAGTTTTATGAAGAAGGCAACTTCTCATCTTGATACATATGTTGTTCTTCTCATTCTATTGAACTCTTAGTAGCAACATGCTAGAAATCAGTTGAAAGTCATCTTCGAAGAAATCCTCTTATTTCAGGTTTCAGATGTACTACCAAAATATCATTTTATTCTCAATCATGATGTCTTCCCGTGCTTTTTTTAATACAAAAATATTTTTTAGAAATGACGAAAAAGAAAAGGTACAGATTCATAATCGTTGGTCTAATGATCGTAGATATTTTAAAGGAATTAACTTTGGTAATATTCGATATCGAAATGCAACCATAGCGACAAGCCAGATTGGTAAGACTAATTTCGTGTAAAGTATGGGTGAAAAGCCCAGAAAACATAAGATTAATAATTGAAGAACTTGAAAGAAAGTAAATAGATGAATTTTACGTTGTGGGACTTGACGAATATAATGATTAGGTGGGTAAGCAGCCTGAAACAAAAGAGAGAGGAAGAAGGAATGTTACGGATATTTATCCTTGATGAAGAAGAATTACTTGTTCAGTAAAAAATAATGTAACACGTTCGAAGAATTGATTGCCATCGAGTGATGTCAATGCCAAATAGAGAAACAGTCCATCCAATACCGGCATTGGAATTTGTTTGAGGATATCACGCATGAACAATGATAAACCAATAAATATATGAGATAGCAATACCGTCAAACGAGTTTCTCGAACTTTGACAATACTAAAAGAAAATATTCTCTTCATTCCTTCCTCGAATTCTCAGACTATTCTCTTCTTTCGTACACTGATTGAATATGGCCTTGTTCAACACGTTCTTCAGTATCCGCAAGTGCCTTGACATGTAGCGGCGAAAGTGGTAAGGCACCTAGAGAACAAAGCAGATGTCAAGTGGATGTTTCCATCAGCATGAAAACATACCATGCATCCATGTCAGTCCAAACAAGGAAAGCCAACCATTGAGTATCGCTATGACAAACAGATCAATATGAAATGCTTTGCCTTTTTTCAGTCTAATGAGAAAAAGAAAACAATCGAGTTGATGGAAGTTAACATTTACGAGGATATTCCTACTTATTCGCCGGTGAATTAACAATCGCACCGGCTATATTTTGATCCTAAAGAAATAAATTAGTTCTAACACAAAATACTTTCTTCAAGAGAATACTTACAAGAAACATGAGTAGAGATAATGAAAAACCTAAGCCACCTGTGGCAAGAATTTGTTTCAGAGTGACATTTTTAAATCGAACTAAGACGAAAATATTTTCATGATCAACAGGAAATGATTGCACTAAATAGAGAAAAGGCTCTTTGTACATCTATATTGTTTTTAATGACTCAACTCACAATTAATTTTATTGAATAGAAGACTTCCAATCAATGACATAATTATAACAGCCACCGGTAGAGCATAGTCTGCCAATAATTCTCGTTTTGCTGATGTTAAGTATGGCGTTTGTTTGAATTTATATAAAAAAGTTCCTAACCATACTGTGCCTAGTGTCAGAAGAAGATAAAGTAGACTTGAATCGCGTGAGCATGGCTCTTCCAGCACATCTCCAGTCAAATTTGTGGGTATCGTTTTATTCATTCGACGTAATTTCCAATATTCATCGTACTGTTTGCACGCTGTTGTTGAGTAGTTCCATGCAAAATCTAATTCAAACCCGTCGTTTTGTTTAATGGATTTAGAGAAGATAAAATTAAGTTTACTTTGATAGACATGAGCACTTGCATCGACCAAAAATGCAATTGAGACAAACAGAGCAAAGATTTCTTCAGTCGATCTTCGAAAGCAACACAACTCATATTCCAAGATTCTAGTAGAAAGTGTTATTACCTTGTAGACCACTTCATCACTTTCGATACACCGAAAAACGAGAAAAGAATGAGAAAAAATGAATTCCATAAGCCCACTAATGCATATGTATCTCGAAAATCCGTTCGATACCATGCGCACAATATGGAAATGACTGATTTAGAAAGAAAAAGAAAATAGCAATACGATTCATAGATGTCCAGAAATGTTTACCTTTCACATATAATGTTAACGGTGCGGTAGTCATAACTACAATCAATGGTTGACCAGCGAATATCGAAAAAAACAAACCACCGAGGCATTGAGATGCGACAGCTTTTGAAACACTTATTTGATCATTTGTCACTTGAGAGTTCAACACACCAAATGCAATACTGGGTAGAAGACAAGCAAAGTAGAGGAAAACAGCTGTTGATATGACTTTATTTGAACCACGATGAGTTTTAAAAACTAAATGATCGAATATCGGAGTTCATCGAGGAAACAAATAGGTTTGAAACTTACTATCGTAGTAATCAGACAGATAATGAGGTAAGCGACGTGAGAAATCCAAACAGATATCAGAAAGTATTGGACAGTAATATGTTTTAACTTTTAACAACTTGAATTTTGAAACGATAAGAATAGGTAAAGAAACAAAATGACATTTTGCTTACTTCGGAACTATTAGTATTATCATCAAATGGATCAATAAAAGAATTTCGTGCGGTTGATGTTTGTTGTTCCATTAGATTATCTGTATGTTTCTAAAGATGGAAGAAAAACGTATAGATGAGCAAGCAAACAAAGAAGATCAGATTTACATCAATAATAGAAATAAATTCCTGTTGAGTTGTTGCTTTTAATAGTTTAGCACGTAATTCAATATCAGCAAAGATAGTTGCAAACGTTCGGCCTGTTTCGAGAAAGTTTTTCGTACCTTTCTCCTTCATCGGAGACAAGATAAAGACGATAAAGCGCGCTTCTTGACAGTTTCGACCTAAATTACACGGATTTTTCAAACGCGCTATTGCCACATGCCGTTTGACTATCGATGGAGATGTGCACATGATGGCGAGCCATGATTGATCATAAGTCCAATTCGTTTCAGTGGCTGTTGTTGCTTGAAGAGTTTTCGCTAAAATTCGAACTGAACAAAAGACAATTGACACTGAATCCCAACAATCGCGCTTTCTACCTCGATCATTCACAAACAAGGCTTGCTTGATTTCATCGATGTTCAAATTCTCTCGATGTCCACTACTGCCACTGCTGATGACTGTATTACTGATCATGGTTGTCGTTGCTGTTGGCAGAGAGGATGATTGTGTTGATGACGCACCACCATTATGAGGAACACTTGTTTGTTTGATTCTTCGCAGGATTATTTCCAGCAAATCCCATATCGATGTGTCTTGTACATCGAGAAGCACGAGTGCACTCAATAGAAATTCTTTGATGTCTTTTCCACCACGGATTTCTGCTGCGAAATCTTTCAGGGGAATATGCTACAATGTAAGATGAAATTCATTGTTTCTCTTTTGTCTTAGTATTTCTTCGTACTTCGGATTTATTGTAAACCAGTTGAATCTGAGCACCATCGTCTGCAAAAATGAGAGGATTCATTCTTATTATTCGTTCAATTAGTCAAAGAATTGAAACAAGACAACAGTCTAATCGCTACTCATTAGTCATTCATTGCTGAAGGCTATAAAAAGATAGCGATTCTTTGCATCATTATAAGCAAGTTACTTAATTAAATTGTTAGCGAGAACTGTAAATCCGAGACATCGACATCTCGTATTTATCTCGAATTACATTACAATTTCCTTCTCGGCAAGTCTTTTCTTAGACGACTCGTGCACAAGGATAATAGAAAGTCATTTCTCCCAAAAGACGTCGACAAACTAACAATTATAAAGAGTCGCTCTCTTTTACTTCGTGCTGCCTTTCACATCGAATCAACATTTCTTCTCTGTTTTTTCCTCATCAACGAACCACGCATATGAAAACGAACTCCAAAGACGAAATCATTTCACAACACTAATTCTCATAAGAGAAAAATAACGATGGCAATCGAAAGAATATTCTATTTCAATTACTTAATGAAATAGGAAACTTACTTTCTAATAATTGATGGTTCGATGTTATCAATAGATAGATTTTGATTGATGATTATATTTAAATCAATGTCTTTCTCCATACGTCGCATGGAAAAGGAAGGTAGCAGGAGGAATATCGTTTAAATTATTTCACTATGTGTATGTGAGCATGTTTCGTTTACGAAAGAATGAAGATTGTCTACGTTTTTCTTTCACTATTTAATCAAGAATATCTCAGATTTCGACTTCATTGGATGAAAGAAAACATTCAGGATCAGTTTTCATAACTTTTATTTTTAAGAAGAAGACCTCATCACATCCTATATCCTACTCATTCATCTTCCGTATTAACTAATCTACTATTTGTTAGCTAGTGCGTGACGTGGATGACAGTATCTGTTTATATATATATATATATATTTGTTGTATGTTTTATGTCTCATCTCACTCGGAACCAACAGATCTGTCCGGGACTATAGTATTCCGGAAACGTGCCTGAATAAGATCTTCGTGTATAAGCATGCACACAATCACTACTGTAAATAAACGGGAAGAAAAGACGTTATGTGTGTGAATGATGACTTAGAAGAATTAGGAACATCAATGATAATGTACGCATCAATGCTTGACTTTCGGTTTCTTTTCTGATTGATTAGAAAAGGCGAAGATTACCTCGAAGTAATTGCCATTCATGCGTATCGCTGTTGAATGACCATGTTGATGTTGGTTCCTGTACTGATTCTCGTGTGGGTTTTCGACGAAAACTAAATCTACGCAAACTACCACCGCCAGCATGACGTCGAAAAGAGGAGTCGGTTCGATGCATTGAAACAGATGAGTCGATTTCTATTCGGTTGCTCTTTAAGAAAGGTTTTTTTTCTTCACAATGTCAGGTGTTGTGCATTCAGTATTGTGAGCGATAATGAGAGAATTAGGGAGACCTGGAGGACCATTACAATAAGATATTAGTAATAGCACGACCGACAAGTAATCAGAAATATCGAGAAGAAAAGACACAATTGATATGAAGAGTGAAGAAGGTTGTTAGAAAAGAAAAGAAGGGAATCAGAACTGCAGGAGAGAAAGAGAGAGACAGAGATGGATAGTTGTTTATGAGAAAACGGCGACAACCGTTTTCTCTTCATTTTTTTCTATCTCTTATTCTCGATCTCTCATCGTTTTCTTGAGAAAATGACGACGACGCCGATGAAGTCTTTATGTTAAGAGAAATAGCAACTGGTAGACAAAGTGTCTCTAATTCGTCATTGCATTGCGCGTGCTCGAGTTAGTTATGATAGTGCATACGTTGATTGAAAGTGCATGACTCTCGTATGTTTATATTTGTGCTGAGAGAAAAATACCAAGTACTCATTTTATTTCTTCCTTGACATCTCATCATGAAGTCAAGGGTGACAATTTTCTCATATTTCATTTGAAGTGCTCATCATTATTTCTCGGAATAGCATAATGAAAAAAGGAAAGCGCATACAAAATCATAATCAGAAAACTGCTAATGAAAAATTGATGAACACACGATAGAAATCGTTCTTCCTTTCGATCTAAGAATGTTAATATTTACTTATTTAAGCTCTCCTTAATAATAGACTAATCAATTATTCAACAATTCATCTAATATTCATACACAATCGAGAAAAAGAAGATAGATGTCAAGGGTTTCCATACAGTAGATCACGAATGTTCTTTCTCTCTTCGTTTTCTCTTAATTAAGATAAGCATTGATGAGAATGTGAATTCTACCAAAACAAGCATGATTTTCTTTCGTATTGTCCTATCCACCAGACGACAAGTAGATCAAATGTCTTAACACTGATGTTGTTATTTGTTTATTTTTACGATTGCCGCCAAAGCATGCTATCTCTTGAGTATAGAAACCTCTCAGATCAAACTTACTTGCTGATGATGTTTTTTCAAGAACAGCTGTATTATTCCCAAGACTTGCATTGCTCATTTCAACAAGTGATAATGATTGGCAATCGTGCATTTATGAGATTATATGACGAGAGACAAAAAAGATATTCAGATTAGCATGCGAACAAGAAACATCGGAATGTAGCGGATGATTTTGAAGAAATATCCAAATGTGTGTGCAGTGATTTGACAAATGTCTCGTCTTATATATGCGTTTTGTTTTCTTCGGTACTTAGTCCGGATGTCAGTGAACGAGTGTGTATTGATCTAGTTCTCCTCCTCTTGATTTTGACAAGATATTATTATTATGATGGACAGACGATCAATAACAGCAAAATCTGCATTTAATTGCTATGACAAGAAGTGAAATACGAAGTACCAAGCATGTTGCTGCGGTTCATATCGAGTCCTATTAATCAACTCAGACCGTGCTCAACTTGATATTTGTCGATAATGAAAGTAAAGATATGTTTCTTGGAATGATCAGGAGATTTCTTCGTCTTCTTTCGGATGTATATCTCAAGTGAATGGAAGATATAATATCGAATCTCTTTCCTCTATTATTACATGTGAATGTTATTCCTACTCTCATCGAGACCATTTCTGTCAATCAAATTATCGACCGGAACAGCTTTTTTTGTAATACAATATAGGTTGATCCAAACACATTTGACTCATTACTTTTTATCATTAATGATGCACGCTGTACATTGAATGTAACGGATGAATTTTGTGAAGAATCTTTAGTTATGAAATAGAAATCCTTTTTTAGCGCGCAGTCATGTGTGAAACACGCCAAGACATGTCTTTAATAGGGATTATTTACCTTTCTTATTTCACAACTTTATTATTTGATCGAAATCAATTGTATCACGTTGAATATTTTCGTAATATCTACCCAAATTGTTTCATGATTCGGACTGCATTTAATGTCACGGACTCGGGTAGAATAACATATGATCTTTTGCCGAACCATCATCAGTGACTTTACCGAATCAAACTTGTCATCCTTGTGAATGGAGAATTGATTTTCGATTCATCAATCATGTGAAAAACACGCGCACGTATCATAAGAAAAAAAAATGATCTATTAGTACATGTGTTTGAACAACCCCTTACTATCAGAACAGCAAAAACGCCGCGCGAGAAAGAGCGAAGAAAAATATGAAATGTTCTGTCACACCTTGACGTTATTTTTTTCGCTTTTTTCTTCGTTTTGCGCATGTGCAACATATGAATATTAGATGCATATACATCCATAAGCACATATACACATTCAAGACATAAACTATTCGGCTCGTAAACGATCCTCGCATTGTACATACAGGTGTCACGTGCAATGGACAATGATTTGGATCTGAAATTCTTAGCTATTGGCGATTCGGGCGTTGGCAAAGTAATTAATCTGAGTTGCTAGGCTTGATTGATGTTATTTGTTTGCCTTTTTTATTCTTAGACGTGTTTACTCAATCGATATGTTGAAGGTAATTTCAATGAAAAATTAGCACCAACTGTTGGCATTGATATTCGCGATAAGTCTCTCTCGTACAAGTCCAATGAAACAAATAAAATATTTAATATTCATTTGCAATTATGGTAAATATACTTCAGCAGATAGAAAGGCTGACTTCGATTATGTTCGTGTTTGTAATCTCATATCCAATAACAACAAAATGCCAATTAAGGTTTAATGATGATCAGATTGTCGGAAGTGTGCGCATAATTGATGTCAATAATAGAATATCATGTTTGGAAGAGAATTCCGACGAAAACATCCGGCTTTGTTCGCTCTTAATTCATATGTTTCTTTGTAGGGACACAGCAGGACAAGAGCGGTTTCGTAGTTTAACATCATCATTCTTCCGTGATGCAATGGGCTTTCTACTCGTGTTCGATTTAACAAGCGAAACGTCATTTATAAACGTTCGAAACTGGATCACTGAAATTCAGTCGAATGCATACTCAGAAAACGTGGATATGGTTCTTGTCGGAAATAAATCTGATTTGAATGATCAACGAATTATCAGTAAAGCTCGAGCACTCGAATTCGCTGCACAGTACCAGGTTGATTACATTGAAACAAGTGCTTTAAATAATATCAATGTTGGCGAATCTGTTGAATTACTCCTTCGTTCAGTGATGAATCGTTTGGAACAGAATCATACATTAACAAAACCGCCGAGACCCACTGCGGATCAAATTACAAAGGAACTTTTAGAAAATCGTACGAAAGAGAAGCCAAATGTGTCCTTTTGCTGTAATTATTAAAATGAAAAGAGAAGATTTGCAAGTCTGACTAGATGTATTGGTATTTTTTAATATTTGAATAGAATTTCAATCTGACTAATAATTACAAATGAGAGAAAGAAAAGAAAGAGCTCATTTTTTCAATATCTGATCGTTATTGTTCAACGTATGTGCAAGATTTCGTGCAAGCATAACTTGAGATTGAAGTGTAAGGGACGAAGGTTTCGATTGACCGTCGTTCTCTTTGTCGATATCGTTTAGTAAATATTGAATTTTATCAAGGAAGAGTTTATCATTCGAACGAACTTGATCATAAATGTTATTGAGTTGACTGATGGTCGTTAATTTTTGTAGAATGTCGTTCGAGAGTAAAGATGTCGTCTGTTGGTCGATTGATGTGGATAAATTCGGTGTACCTAAAATTCATTCTAAGTAAATGAAAACGTCCTCTAAGTTTAACAAACCTGTTTCCAAACGTTTGAAAAATTGATGTGTATCTCCTAGTGCATTTTGCAATTGTTTGTCAATATCAACAATTTGTTCGCTGGTAAAAATTGTTTCAAACTCCGTTTCATTCATATCGTTGGTAGTTTGCGCTAACAATTCCGTTCGAACTTGTCCGAAAACATCTTTTAAATCTGCACTGGTCTGTTCATCATCACCGGACTGCTGTTGTTCATTATCTGTATATTCAACTATCCGAGAATCGATCTGAAGATTTGTCTCATCCATTGGCAATTGTTCGAACATGTTCAAAACATCTCGATTTGCCCACATGTCGTGATGAATGGTCATCGGTGGATTTCTCAAACATACAATTAATTCACTGAGATATTCGATGAGACCTAGCTGAATGTTATGGCCCAGAATTGGTTTATGTACATAGTAAGATAACATATTGGACAATTGATGGAGATCGACTAATGACGAAGAATTGAAAACTTCATCGAGACGTAAAATGAATGAACGTGGAAACATGGCAGTTTCGAGAAAGAAATCCTTGATGAAAGCAATGGAGTTCGCTGAACGCGTTGCATGAAGACGTTGAGCAAGATCAGTATCGAGTTCACCAAGTAACCAAATAATCACTTTCAAGTTCGTATTCGTTGTCATCAGAAATGTTGATGTGGGTAAACTTGGCACATGGGGGCAATTAAGCGATACAAGTGATCGATGTAGAACATTGCGTAGTTCAGTACAAGGATCTGTATTGGAATAGTACGACATCTAAAAAATGTATGAGAATTTTCTGTTAGTAAAGTAGTTAATTTTATTTGATTGAAATAGTCTGGCATGTCAAGTTTTTCGAAAAATAGAAATCAAACGCTTGAAAGTTGACAGATCGTTTTATATTTTGAAATAACTCGAGAAAAGAAAACTAAAGGACACAGATTACAAAATCAAAACTGTTCAAGTGAAGATATACATATACGAAAAAAGAATCTATATATAGATTGTATTAACAAATAAGGCTGAAGGAAATTCGAAATGTTCAATCCCGATGAACATGTTGAATTGGTGCTGTCGCAAGAGTCGTTTGTCCAGTATTGGATACTCGCTGACGTGACGTTATGAAAGAGCCAAATGTGAATATGACGAATAGAATTGTGAGTAGAATCAACACAAGTGTTGAAATAGGTGAAAACAGCATTCGATATTTGATGCGTAAAAACCAGATAAAACCGAGAATTAAGCTCATGATGAGAACGAAATACGAGGAGATATTCACAGGTGGCGAATCAATAAATGCAGATGTGTCAAATCGATTGGCATTCATATGTGACCCGGATGATGAACCATTCGACCTTTGATTAGAAGAATCCGGACGTCGATTATTTATTTGACAGTGGATGATTGTTTGATCACGAATGTTGTATGTACGAAGCATCTCACGGTCTTGCAGCTCACGACCCTGATAAATGAAACGGATCATTTTATTATTCGCTAATTCATCGGCAAAATGTAATCTAGATTAAATGAATGTGATGCTTGTCAACTGATCAATTGTATAACAGAAATCTTACTGTTTTATTTTTGATATGGTATCGTTTGGATTAGCTGTAATCTCCTTTCGTGTATCATCAAGAAATTTAATAACTATATTCAATGATTGATTTTCTTGTTCATTAGATGATGTTGTTTGTTGATTAGTGTCTACTTGGACAAGATTCGAATCATTTGTTTGTTGCTCTGATGTTCGATTTGCGACGGGCGTTTGTTCACAAATAAACTCATCAACTTCACTAGATCTAAACATAATTTCGAAGTAACATCGCTACTGAATGGAAGCGTCATACTCATTGTCCGATTCATGTTCTGTTTGTGTGTCATTGCCAGATGATGGAGATACAGTTTGATCACTCAGTGGAGTTAGCCGCGATGGCGGAGTTGGACTTGTTCTTTCCGATTCTTCCTCTTCTAAAAGATTCACAAAGTTATTTTTGCGATGCATTCGATTTCCATTACCATTTCTTGTGCGCGTACGTCGTTCGATGATAAATAATGTCGTTGGAAAATGAATATAATTCACATGTGTCGAAAACCAAGCAAGAGTAACAATACTGATAAAAAATAAGAAGCCAAATGCGTAAAGCAAATCATCGCCGATTCCTTCAATAAATGACATTTCCAATGATCTAAAATGATATCTTAATTTTTACAATATGCCACTCAGCAGTTCATTCATTCGCTTGGAGTTATGAAACTAATAATCGATTTTCATTAGGAATATTTCGATATATCACGTCGCAAGAAAAGAAAGGCAAGAGCGAATGTGAATGTGAATGCATCACTGTTCTTACAATGGTAAATAATAATAACCATTTACAAATCGCTTTTGACATATCACTCCATCTATCTTTCATCAAACCAGATGACGTTTACAAACAGAATTTGTGTGTGTGTGTTCCCGTCGCCGAAAGAAGAACTATCGGCGAAATTGACAAATCTCACACTCTTTTTACCGATGAGGATTTGTACCTCAAACCGTAAACACATACGATAAAGACAATTATTGTTTTCTACATTAGAAAAATAACTGAACACTTCAATTGTAGTCGCTTGTGTTGTGATAACCTCTTTCGTATAAACACGTGTTCCTCACTTACTATTCTGTAGTGTAAACGCATCATCTGTGATCCTTTTCTCTTTTAGTGATTTATTTCTTTTCATATATTTTCCATTTCAAAAATGAGAAACAAAAAAACAACAACACAAAGAAGCAAGTTTCTTCCAAAATCGAATCGATTCTCATGGCACAGCCACGATCGACGTCCAAAATTGAAATATTTGTTTGAAGGTTTCAAAACGCAAGTAAACAGAAGAACAACACGAAAAGAGAAAGGAAAAGCGTATCTTTTTCTAATTCGATTTTTGTCTTCGAAATATTTTTCAAACAAAAAAAAAAATATTCAATAGTTATCAAAACAAAAAAGAAAAATTTTTTCTTTATCGAAATAATGTTGATCTTTTGTACACAAGGTAATTATAAAGAATGTCGCAATGAACAAAAAAAGAAGAAAAAAGGAAATGAAGATAAAATCATATTGCAGTCTACACACATACAACAAGTGAGAGAGAGAGAGAGACAGAACAAAAACAGAAGATCTCCTTCTTAATGACTTCTTTCCATATGACTTTAAGCGACGAGAAAAGACAAACTATACATAAGAAGAAATCATTTCGAATGATGATGGTGGTGTTGCTGTTTAGCTGCTTGTGGGATCATATCAAGTAAATATTGAGCGGGATTGGGTTGTCGCATAAGTGAAGCAGCCATAGCGGGCAATGCAGCTAATGCTGCTTGTTGTTGTTGTTGATGAGTTGATTTGGCTGCAAGCGCTGCGGCTTGATTGGCAACGGCGTATGGAAGCATATTGGATAGAAAGTGTTTTTGAAAAAATTCCATTTGTTCAGGTGATTGCAGCGCAGCTAATGTTGACGCTAGTGTTTCAGCGTGCGATGGTGTCAACGCTGGAATATTCGCAAGATTAGTACTATGACCTTTCGATGAACTACTATGACTTTTTCCACTATGATGATGGTGCGAGTGAGAATGTTGATGATGATTATTATTTGATGTACTATTATTATTATGATGATGGTGATGGTGATGATTTGAACTTGTTTTCGTCGATTGTGGCTTATTCAAATGTTTACTACTTTGATGATGGCCATGTTTACTATGTTGATGAGATAATGATGTTGACGACGACGACGATGATGATTGTTTGATGGCTGTTGACGAATTTGAATTGGACGTAGTGGATGTCGTTGACGGAGGTGATTGATGTTGAAATTTGGCATCGAGCTCTTTTTCTTGTTGTAACGCTTTGATAAATGCTTGGCGTAAACGATTCGAATGATCTTGTTTCAGTAGTTTTTTCTGTGATGTTTTCGAACAACGATCACAAAGAATTTTCTCATCAGAATTCGTATCACTAGTCGATGACATCTCATGCCAGGTTACAGTCCAGTCTGTACCACATTGGGCGCACACGTGTGGTAGAGCTATCGAGATGTCTGGTGGAGCACGACGTATGACAATATCTGAGTAAGTATTAATTGCTTGTTCAAGACCAAGGTAAGCGAGAAATTCAGACCAACCATTGACACCAGGAATAAATGTTAAATCACATGTGGACGGTTTAGGCGTTGGAATTTGTAATAAAGTTTGTTCAAGTTGTTTACGCAATGCTAGTTTCGCATTTAATAAATGCTGCTCAGCAGCGACGCCATTGCCTATAGAAAAGTAAATATGATTATGATGGATAGACAGGTTATCTCCAGGATATAATATTCCTGCTAATATGAAACCAGCGCTCATCTTTCTTAAACTGTCTGTGTTGTGTAACTCTTTGAGAAAACTGAAACTGACTAGATGAGGAAATTCCTTCTTGCTCTCAGGTTTTAATTAAATGATATGATCTTGCAACAGGTGCTTTCAATGCAGCAATGATTTCGACTTTCAAAAAAACTGATTTATTCCGATGAATAATTTCGTTAGTGAATATACTTTTTGATGAACTGCTTGAATTGGATATCACCGACGAATTTTTTGTCGCTGACGTTGGCACTGTCGATGATATACGTGTAGCGGCCGCTGGTACTGTGCTGTTATTATTGGTATTATTTGACTGACGTGTTGCCTGAGGTGCTGATAGAGAATTTTTTGACGACTGTTGTGAGATTTGTGCATTATTATTCGAACGATTGACTGTATATTGGTTAGGGTGTGGTGGTTTTGTTGGTGTTGACCGATTCGAATTGTTCTATACAAAAACAATATATGAAAATCAATCGATTTTCTTGGCAGAAAAAATAGTTTACCGCTTGTTGCTTTGTCGCTGTTAATGGAGTTTTTCCATCTGTTATGGGTATTTGTTGATTTAGTTTCGTGGCTGTCGACGGAATTGCTGGTGTTGATCGTTGTTTTATACCGTTATTGCTATTGTTATTTGTTTGTGGTACAAGTCGTTGGTTTGTTTTAAGTTTCTGCATAAGAATGAGTAAAGCTTCTTGACATTGTAATTCATGTTGAAGACGACGATATTCTGCCAGCATGCTTGGACTCATTTCTGACTCGTCCAATCGTCGATAAGTATTTTTGGATTCACCGTTGCAAATTGTCATCTTTTTCGAATCATGTTCACTCTTTACTTTAGTTGCCAGCAGAGACATTCGATGTTCATTTTGATTGATTTTTCTGAAAGACAAGGTGTCAGATGAAGTCATTTGTCAGTGAAAGATGAACATCGCGTTGTTGTTGTTGTTATTTTTGTTTGTTACTGTTGTTCGTTCAGAATAAAGGAAAGAAAAAGAACGAAACAAGATGTATACGACGAGTAAGCAACAACGGTGGCGAGGTTCGATTTAATGTTCGGAAGCAGTGAATGGCGGAAGGTAGGACGAGAAACAAGAAGAGAGAAAAGAAAAAAACGAAGAAAAAGAAGGGATGAAAATATCTATCTGGTGGTGTGATGGTGGAACGCCACTACAAACGTCGACGACGACGACGTCCAATTGAACGTTACCACGACAATCATCATATTCGGATAGGAAAAAAAAAAGGAGAAATATATGATGATGATGGCTGAACGAACGAATAAGGCAGCGGGCAACTTGCCCGCACTGTTTCTAATATTGAATTCTGTTTTCTTTTCAACTTACCCATCATATGCAATACCGCGGAATCGTTTTGTTAATGTCGATGTAGGATTTGGGTGAGGCACTGTTGTGACATTACTATTATCTAATGCTAACAATGATGATTTACGTTTCAGTCCATTATTTGATATCATTATTAAGTTTTTCTATTTATGTATATATATATGCGAATGATTTGATTGACAGTATAATAGGTATCTAGAATAGAAAAGAGAAAAACAACAATCAACAGAATAAGTCGTCGACAGAGAAACAAAATTCTACCAAATGAATGACATGTGCAGGTGAATACAGCATACAATTTATCGAATAACTTGAGAAATAGGAATAAAAAAACTGACGAAGGAAACAGAAAGAACAATAACAAACAACAATAAGAAGAACACATAGTGTAAATGACGAAGAGACAGGTGAGGAACAGAACCTTCGCGCTATTCCATCCTATACATGCTGATGTGTTTTGTTTACCGGCAGTATTGGACGCGACGGAAAAGGGTTATTCATTGCTATCATGTGTCTACTCTCTCTCTCCCATTTTGCTCGACGAACACGACTTACCCTTATATTCCGGTTTTTTTCCATTCTCCTATTTTTTTTTGTTGATGGGAAGGGTTGGTGTTTTATCGTCATCGTCGTTATTCAGCGTATTATAGAATCTTCTTAAGTGAGACGCTTATGCAATAACATAACTTTCAATCAATCTATCGAATCGAAATTATTTTCGATTGAAACAGCGAACAAAATTCAATTTCATGACATTGTCAATATCCTATCACTCGAAGAGTATATCGCGCGTCACATCTCACTCTGTCGAATATCTGATATGATTACTGTTCTAAATAAGGCTAGTAACAAATATGAACAAGTTCGAGGAAAGGGAAAGAGAAGAAAAAAAAAGAAATGAAAGAACGAGAGGAAAAGAAGTAAAATAGTTCAATGTTCAGATTTTTTTTCTTGTCTAGCTTAGTTGAAGATGTATATGTACATCATGTTGATGATGCGAACAACGAATCCAACAATCATCCATTGAAGCAGTGAAGACAGACATGGACGCTCGCGATAAAGAAAAAAAAAGAAGAAGGAAAAAGAGACGTCGACATACACACTACGATGAAGAAAGAACTATACATTTATGCTTTAACTAACCTTCCTCGAACAACACACACACTATGGCGGCGAGTCAAGCATATTCTATTTTTCATCTCTCCCCTATTCTCCTTCGCATTTTTGCAGAGAATGTCATTAAGAGTAGGCGGTCGTAGCGCTCCATTCGTAAACAAATAAATAAGTCGTCATTTCTTTCTTTACATTTTATTCCACTCTCTTCTCTACATTTGCAACAATAGTCTATGCGCTCGGTCCAATATCAATATCGTACATACATACTTTGACATCCATTGTGTATTTTCTCGTCGAAAGAAGTAAAAAGAAATTTACAAATATTCTTTCTGTCATTCTCGTTTTTTTTTTCAAACGATAAAACGCATATGAACACGTTGCGCCTAAGAACGAGCGAATGTAATTGTGCAAATAGTCGACAACAGACATACGTACACAATCTCTCTCTGTCTCTTTCACTCAACTTTGTACACATGAAAATCATACAACGAGACGCGGAAAAAAATGTGAAAATCGCAAGTCGATTCGAAGGACAAGATATAAAAGTTGAGGTAAAAAAAAGAAAGAATGAATGAAGTCATGCCATAATAGATGGATGTCTCTTAATCAGTATAATAAATAAAACTGCGGAAAATTTCGAATGAACAATCGGCGGAAATCCTAATGATGCACGGTTTGTTAATCAAGATCGAATTTTCTACTTATCCGAACGAAATCTCTCCACTGTTCGTGTAATTACTTTCTATTGAACAGGTGGTAATGGTCATTTCTATAACATACGTATTCGATCGTGTCGTTTTCTTTCTTTACTATAAAAAAAAAGGTTATAACGATCAGAGAAAAGGTCGAGGTCAAGGGCATCGATCCATTGGTAAAATACGATCAAATCTTCCAATCGTTCATTGTATAATATTATATTATCAACAAAAATGCGACGAAAATTCTGTTAAGACACAGAAATACAAAGAAAACAAACCCGATGACGACGATGTTTCTGTTACTGACGACGAACGTTAAATAAGACAGACAAAATACAAGAAAAAAAACTGAAAAAAAGGAAAAAGAAGAAGAAGAAAGACTTATAGTCTCATAAAATAACTAACCATTTTTCTCCTCAATGTAATTTATTCACAAAACGTTCCGCTAGTTTTGTAATCATATCTCCACCTTTAATTTCGACATGAATGTATTCAATAAGACGGATAAAGAAGAATGAATATACACTTGCTTTAAAAAAAAGAAGGAGAAGACGTACATATGCATATTATGATGTTGAGTGATTGTGGCGCTCGAAACGGACATATATGTGTATATGTGCGTGGCGAAGAAAAAAAAACAACAAGCGAGAAGATGATTGAATGAACAATCGTTTGTTTGTCAATGATTATTTTATGATTTCAACGAATGAAAAGTACGGAAATATGTTGAGTAGTAGTATTGATTGATATGAATAAGATAAAGTTTGTTAATGAACAAAATCAAGTATCCGAAGGAGAGAAGAGATCTTTGATGGATTGGCTTTGAAATGAGAGAAAGAAGATGATGAAGTTTTGTTGGATGTGATTTTTGTAATGTGTTTATTATTTATTTCCGATGTTTGATCATGTCAATACGTGCGATGCATAGTTTGATCAATACGATTGGAAAATTAACATGAATTTTAAGCAATACTACTGAAGATTGTTGATAGGAAGAATTCTTATTTATCGATCAATGATCGTTAGTATTTGATCAAACCGAACAGACTGAGAGTTCATCAGATTTTTCTCCATCTGCTTCATAGAGCACTTTTAGAAAAGCCTGGTTCAATTTTAATCATAAATCATGTCATCATATGATCGTTAAGTCCAAATGAACTTTCCGAAATCGAAAAAGGAAACAAACATATGATTGCCACTCAGGTATTCGAGGCATAACTTCACATACGTCACACGTTGAGTCTAGCTGTGTTAGACTGATACAACGGATATGAAGCAGAGTTTCTTCCGTTTTAATAAGCTACCAATTTGTCATCTCAGAAGCGTTTATGAATACCAAGACAAATATTAGTCTGAAGAAAATCAAAACAACGATTCTCAACTAACTAGCGGACTTATTCTTGAAAGAAAGCAGAAGTTGTCTGATAAAAATATCTTTTCATCCGACGGCGAAAACTTATTCTAACTTTATTTTTCATTCAATAATCAAATAATGTTGACAACATACACAACAACGATAATGATATGATTTATGTGACATTCATATAAAAGAACAAGACTTTTCTTAATAGTTTAATACATTGAATGGCTTTAATTGATACCACTGAGCTATCTGCTTGCTGATCTGTCGTTGGCACACATCGAGCCAATGCTGATTTGTTTCGCCAGTGTTATTTCCAATTGAAAATGTTCCGATGGGTTCGTGTTTCATGTGATGATCGTAATCGAAAAGAATAATGTCGAAATAAATATTTCGTAAATCGTTATCTGGGAGATGAAAGGTGAAACATTCGTTATAAACAGGACACTGTGTCGTTCGTTTGATGGTACTTCGTTTTTTCACAATCCGTTGTCCTTTGTAGAACATGTAGATCTTGAAATATGGATCTAAAAGAACAAGGTGAATATTTACCTTGTTCAAGTGGTTTTTAGACTCACTGATTAATCTCGTGGTGCTGATACGCGGTAAATTAGATGCTTTTAAAACAATTAATGTTATTGTACTATCCGTGGGTTGGTAACACAACGAGATAAGCATCTGACCAAGTTGTTGATTATTTAACTAAATAGATCCATGGGATTGTGAAAAAAACCTGAGTAAAATGTTTTCATATCGTTTTACCTGTTTATGGCGCGGTGTAATATCGCGTATAAATGTCGTTTCCGTTGATTCAAGAGCATTTTCTGTTATTCCATCCGGTAAAATGACAGGAAATGTGACTTCGCCAAGAATTTCATCACGCGTGAATGTATCGTATGTCAGTATTGTGAAAAGTAAGGAAAGATTCGTTTGATGAAGATTCGGAAATTCGAACAGTTCGTCGTAAACGGGATTGGAGTTCTTCTTGATAATATGAGTACGCATGGATTGTAATAGTTCTTCAAGAAGAAGAAAGTCAATTGCGTCTTTTCGAATAATCTAGAAACTTACCTTGTGTCTGGTCAGATTTTGTTGCGATAAGTTCGATTCGAACGTAGGAATCGATGATAGCCGGTTGTCGATTTCGACGGTAGACAAGAAGATCTCGTGCATTGAGAATTCGAACAAATAATGATTGTAGATTTGGATCCCATCGTAAAGTAAATGTCAACGATGCCGATTGATAGATCTGTTCCATTGTCGATGAATTCGAGATTGTTGATAAACAATCATCTTTTCCTTGTTGCTGTTCTTGTTGTTGATGATGTGGCAATGTTCCTTCAGGCCATGAAAATGAACTTTTGATGATTCGACTCGTTTCATTAACTTCTGTATTAGTCTGTAGACTGGATTTGACTGGAGGTGACGGAACGAGACTATCGAAGGACATCGATGCAAATTTTCGCCGATCGCAACTTGAAAGGCTATATGTCGAATTCTTCAAATCGCATTGACGTCGTTTCCGGTGTGTAAAATATCGCGTAGCAATTAATCCAAGAAGAAATCCAACAATCGTCAACGACGAAATTATTGCGATCAACATTGGGAATGGAAATGAATCGCCTAATGTTAGAAGATAATAGAATAGAAGATGAGAATTCCGACAGATAAAAAAATAAATCTTTTCGGCAGAGAAAAAGAAGAAAAAAACTGATCAACAGAGTAGTTCTCTAATGATCAAGAAAAATCCCTTGGTAAATGAATGCTTTACCATTCGAAGCATTTCGAAATTGTTTTAGTTTCATTATGTCGACACAAAGAAATCTAGTTTTCTCATCTAAATTTTTCTACGTACCAGTTTTAGTTGATAATTGTCTTGTTCGAACATCTTCTTGAATGTGATTATGATGTTCAGTTAGCATACGAACGAACCGTCGGTGCATAGAACTTGTTCTTAACTGCTCATCCATCATGCGTGGGTTTCACGGTGCGAGTACTTGAAGATATAGATGTAATTCTTACGTGATTAATACTCCAAAATCATTTGACAAAATGAATGATGAGTTTTATTCTCGTTATTAGACTTGACATTCTTTTTTTTCTTCTCTCTCTCTCTCTCTGGTAGAGCAACGACTTCGAAAGTCTCTTTCCTTCCCTCCCCCTCTCGGTCTTTCTCCTATTGCTCTCTCGGGTGTGCAGATGACTAGTTTCTTGTTTGCCGTTTCCATCATTCTTCCAACAAGAATTAGAGAGAAAGAAACAAGGGAAAGAAGAAGAAGAAGCAGCAAAAAAAGAGAAAGCGAATTTTACTTGTCTCGTTTGTTAATGACACAAAATCGCGCAAGCAAGACAGATGGGGAGACAAACTGAAGGAAGAATTGAGGAAACGGCCGACGAAGTTTCTTTTCTCTTCTTGTTTGGTAATTACTATCATCAAAAGAAAAAAAAACATAAAAGTTGACATCGACAAACTAAACAGTCATCCTATGATGCAATTCCACTTATTCGTTTATCTCCGATCGAGCATACATTCATCTTTTCGAGTGACATTGAACATAAGTGAGCTAAGATGATTCTCTTGATGGTTCGTTTATTTTACTCCTGATATAATATGTATACAGACGCATAAAGACATATACATAGATATTTGCCGAGACAACAAAGGAAAACGCACGCATGCACACAGAAAACACTTATTAAGAACGGGTCGATAGAGATCCACAAGCAAAAAAAAGAAGGAAAACGAAAATGACAGGAAACAGTAATGATGATCGCACATACACATAGACACCAACACATGTATGCATATCACATTCGTTTGTAGGGACACAAAAAAAAAAGACCGAGAGAATCATTATCGAGTACATATGTGCACACGAACGAGGGAAGAAGAAAAAAAGATTTCAAGATGAAACATACAGGGAACACAAACAAACAACGAATACCATCACATTGCTTTGGTCGACTGTGAGTGGAAAAACAACGAGATGAGATATGATATACAACTACTACAACAAAACTGTTGCTTGTGCTTAAACATATTTTTCTTTTCATCGAGCACAGAACTAAATGCAAACAAGAGAAAAAGAAACGAACGAAAACTCGAGTAATACCGTCAAGTTTGGCACATGAGATACAGGTTTGGTTCCCGACTTTTTTTGACAAGAACAGACGAAACCGGTCATCGGAAGACATAGACAAACGAAACGGGAATGTAACGAGAAAGAGAGAGAAAGAAAGAAAGAAACCAATTGATCATTCAAAAAAAAGAGAGAAAAGTCACATAGATAAGTACACGAATAGATAGATAGGTAGATAGATAATGTGTTGCTTGTCCAAACATCATCATTCAATGTACACATGCACATATATGAGAGAAGAGGAGAAAAACAAAAGTTTTTTTGACTATCTTATGTACATGAACATAGAGAAAGAGAAGAAAATTTCGATCTTTATAACTGAAAACAAAAGAAACGAAAAGCAAAATGAAAGCAGTTATGAATTATTCTCGAAGGCAACGAAAGACTTCAGAGCGATTCAAACGAAACTGCGTCCAACAACGTGGACCACCATAACGAAATGTTTGAGAGTTTAAACCATTGGAAGAATTATTATTTGTTAAATTAGAGAACGGTTGTTGTTGCTGTTGTTGATTTTGTTGTTTACGATTTGCTTCATTATTTAAACGTCGATCTGCGCGACCTGTACAATGAAAGAAAGAATTCAAATGATTTTCGAGCGATGTACATGAGAAACTCACGTCGATTACGCTGAGATTTTGCATTAGTGCCATTTTCTGAACTGTTAGGTTCATTTTGTAGATGAGAGTTCTTTGGTGTAGATGTCGATTCATCAGGTTCTCCACGTTGTAAAATTCGATATTGAATTTGACTTGTTGCATTCGAGGATTTCTTCTCCTTTTGTGACGAGAATTCTTTATTACTTGAGCGATTTTTACTAGCATTTGGACGTTTATTTTCATCATCATTGGACATCGGTGGTGTTAATTGTATTACATCTAAAGAAAGATTGATTTTTCATTCGTTTAGTCCGACATTGATAAAATTTGCTTCGCTTTCTTTTTCTGTTTCAATGACGAATTTCTTTCTATTAGAACTCATATTGTTGATCATGCGACAAACATTAATCGTCGTCTACTCTGGGGATTTTCCGGTGAATGACAAGAATATGGAAAGCAGACATAGAAACTATTAATATTCAAGATCTCTGTTCTTTTTTTCCTTCCATTAGATGAAGAAACAATCAACCAGACTGGTATTCAATATTTGAATAAATTATTCCAGGAAAAGACAATTATATTTCCTTATTAAATTACATGCATCTGTTTCTATTTTGTACGTTTGTTAATCTCAAAGGTCATTCGACTACGGACATCTTCTCACGCTTGATTCAGATTGCAATTTGGGATTCTTATGCAATACATACTTGATGCAGATGCAGGCGCCATGCCAGAAGAGCTATTTTCGCGCATGAGTAAAGTTTCGGTAATTGAAGTGTTGTCAGTAACTGTCAATGAATCGTTTTTCAATATTTGACAAAAATGCCGTTGAATTGTATCTTGAACACTCAATTGTGTTTGAAGTTTTTGGGCTGATGATGGCACTTGCTGCTCGTCAGGGCTGTGGGGTGTAAGACTTGCGATAATTTTACTTGGATGTTTTCGTTGTTCGTATGTAGATGTATTATCACGAACTTGAAAACAAAAATTCAGATGCATATGAAACAAAAATGATGATTTGTCACTCAGAACTTCTTAGCATTGTTAATAATTCTTCATCCAACTATCAAGGATAATTGTATTCATCATGGTGACAAAACTCTACTTACTGTAGGAAGATGTTTGATGATCAACGCCGAACAGTTTTTGTAGGATTGTCGGTTGACGAGTATTCGCTGGTAGTGCACCACCGTGATATGTTGTTGTTCGACGTCGTTGTTGAGGATAATGATGATGCTGTAAATGTGCTTGTTCGTGTCGTTTTATATATTCATTCGCATTATCTGAATCGCCATTCGATGAAGAATAAATTCCACGTTCTTGATTGATCCAACGACGTAGATCTCTGAAATGAACATGGATCCCATTGATTATGAAACATTTTACACGATAAAAATTCGTACTTAATGAATGGTATAACCATAAAGAAAGCTTTTGGATTAAGTCCTAGTGTGACTTGAGGTGTAGTGTCACGTCGGTGACAAGGTAAATCGGAAAGACGAAACCAACGCATTTCCTAATAGCGAAACAGTGGATTTCAGTTCAATTGAGCAACGATCAACTACCTTAATTTCATTCTTGGTTTTCGCTGCAAATTTCGTATCCAGTGGCACTTGTTTAACAATGTACAATCTGATAAGTTGTCCATTCAGATCACGTTCCAGATACTGATCATCGTAAGCTCGATCTTTCATATCGAAGCCAACTTCTTCCATAACCTTTGCAAACGAAAGTAACAACAAAGTGTCATGCGTCATTCGATCCTATTCAATACGTACTTCTCGTATAGCACATTTCAATGGACTTTCATTTTCCTGTACTTTACCTTTGGGAAAACCCCAACTTTCTCGATTGTAGAAACCACGAACAAGTAAAACATGTTCGTATGTTGGATCAAGTAAGACTGCACCGTACGTTGGAACACTCAATTTGTAACCACGCCAACGTGACAGAATAGGATCGAGATTATGAACATAATCGCGTAGAAATGGACAATGTTGAAAAACTAAAATTCACAAGCATGACACGAACCCTGACAAGAACAGAATTTACTTTGCTGAGCAAATTCTCGAATGCTGCAAACGTGTAAATCGTTATAATCTTCACAATAAAAATCAATAAAAAACCAATGAGCTAATTCGACAGCAAATAGAACACGGACAAGATCTTCACGTTGTTCAGCAGGAATATTAATGATGAAACGACTAAATCAAATGGATTTTATCAAATTTGGAGTTTTCTCATTTCGAAATCGATCATACCTGCATAAATCGTCTAGGACTTTTGCAGGTATCTGTTGATGCTGGTCAGATGACATCTTTTGGATGATAATATTTGAAAAATAGGGACGGATGGAAGAAGAAAAAGAAGGAGGATATCGGGAACTATTCAAAAGGTAGTTTTTACATCTAAAAGAGAAATTCCAATGACGAATATGGACGTAAGTTATGCAAACATGTGATAGATGATGATGAAAAGAAATGCAAGTTTATATTTTGACAGACAAATATGTATGCTCGTGTTCCTCTCTATCCAGATTGGAGGAAAGCGAATACTGATGGTAAAACATGGACTGACACACATGATGTTTATTTTTTCCTTTCGACTAATTGAAAATTTTCTCGATAATTGCGAACAAAATTTTTTTATGTTTAAAAAAGTAAAATGAACAAATTGGAAAAGAATTCGATCGAAAGAAGTGTATCTTACTTTTTGATACAGAACAAACAATAGAGAAACATATTTTCGCATTGTTACCTACATAAATATAGATAAATGTTGACTGTCCTCAGGTTAACTGTCAATATTTAAGTCATATTTCGCTCGTCGAGAGATCATCGAGGTTGAATTCGAATACAAAAAGTATTCTTTGGTTTATATTTTAGATAGAAACAAAAAACTTTCAAGATGACGTAGACGAGCAAAAGATTTCGTCGTTTTTCAAATATGAATTCATTGTGAGTTTGAAGATCTACTCAACTAATTCGTCATTCGATTGTTTAGACCTCCGTCTGTTAATAGTCTCTTATCGAATATCAAATCTACGGTTGAATTGTTAATACAATTTCGATGTGATTCTTTAACAACAAAATATGGCGCTATCGAACGACTTCGACTGGCTATTCTGGCAATTTTATCACACGGTCTCAAACAGGTATTGTTCGAAAACAATCTCCTCATCCGGTCACCTTTGCAAAAGTTAAATACGGGTTGATTATCTCGAGAAAATTTTGATTAAAGCCTTAAGATACAAAGATCTTATCGAACGCAATTATAGGGAGATGAAAAATGGAATTACGCTTATTAATTTCATCACATAAGTAGACAGAAGTAGATCTCTTCTTTCCACTGGGTCTTTGGATGTTATTTACGAATGGTTATTTAGGCAAAAACATCCGTTTGTTATTGTTGAGATGATTGTGATTATTGTTAACATTTTCCAATCAACTAACATCACGCAAGTGACTTTGTTCAGAGATATAATTGATCGGATAAAGAACGAAATCTTTGTTTGAAGTTATTATCCTGATCTATGAAGTTAGTAATAATTTATTAGATTGTTAACAATTGATGTAAGTGGGCGGGGAGCCTTTCATTTGATCAACAATCTTCTCAGAAATAAGATTATAGGGCGTGTGCCGAAGTCATGAACAAGACGATTAGCCATATGTACTCTTCAAAGTTAATGATCTTCTAACGTATACTAGTTGGAAGAGTTATCTCTGACACGGAACAATCGAGTGTAGGAAGAACATGTTCAAAACTCGATCACCACCCCCGCCGAGCTACCAGTCGTGACACATTACAGTGTACGTCTTCTTTTTATCATGAAGTAGTCATTGACAATAGATAATGTTTCAGAATAAACTCTGTCAAGAGTTGACATCGCACTATTTTTTACTTGCTATTACGTCAAGTAATTCTACATGAAAACTTCTGAGTGTTTCGCACGAGTTGCTTGATGACTTCATTACGTCAATGACGAGTCAAAAAAGATCTGTCTAAAGGAAGTTCCTTCTTGACAATTCTATATTCAATTCACAAACGCTCATGGTTAACCTAAAGTTTAGAAAAATGTACAAAGAAAACCTTAGATGATGAATCGACTTGTCGATTTCAATTAGTTCCTAATTAAATTAAATAGAACTCGAAATAGGCAGACTTATACATCCGTATATAAAATGTAAGATTATATCATTAAGCATATATTGTATCAGGTTGTTCAGAACGAACTACTAATAAGAAAAGTTCAGATGTGAGTCATGGACTGTAGTAATCAATCTCGTTGAATATCAGTTCAAGAAATTGTTTTAATTAATACATCGATGAACTCGAGATTATGGGAAAGAAAATTTTCTACAATTCTCTATTTATAGAATGCGGGAGATGTATACGAGCAATTGTGGCAGTTAATCGTTCGTTTAAATGCAAATTCTCAACGTTACATTCGTCTACTTCAAGATATTTATCATAAAGAAAATATACGATTGTCAGTCGAACAATGGATCGATCAATCAGTGATTAGTCAATGTTTATCACACCAACTATGCTGTGCTACAAACGATAATGATCTACTTCCACATTACTACTACAGTAAGTGTTCAATATTGGCTTCTGGAATGTCGATTTTCTTTTATTTGAATTATTTATTCTCTGCTGTCTGGAATAAACAATTTGTTAGATGGTCAATATCGAAAATGAAATAGATATATAGAGATCCGTCTATCGTCGACGACCAATATAAGGACGCATGTTTTTCGTAAAGTGATGTTTCGGATCAGGAACTAACATGATATAATCCCCTTGACGAACGATATAAAAGCCGCTAACACGTCTTTGTCGATCAATGTCGTGGTCATACGAAAGTTGTTCATCGAACATTATCTGCCGTCGATTTCGAAATGGACTAATCTTGTTGTTGCGATTGAGATTTGTTAGTGAAGATAACGATAGAGGATAAGCATTGGAGATAGATGGTAATATACAGCAGATGAATACAAACAAAAATAGGACAGATGCGACGCGATTAGGCGACGAACGAACTCGATCAATCGTTGAATGGAAGAAGAAGAGCATTGATTGATTAATTGAATTTGAGATACTCTCCTTCTTCTGTTTTTGGATGATTTTTGCAATATGTTATCCCGTTGTTCTACGTTTTTTTTTATTCTATACTAACCAAATGGAGAGAAGAAAAAAAGATGTAGAATGAGATAAATAGACATATAGGGGAAAAAAAGAACAGAAATAAGAAATGATAGATCTAAAGTATTGACCCATTAGATACGAACAAGTTTTCGATTGTTCTCACTCCCTTCCCCTGAGAAAGATCATCCTGTTGTCTAACAATGAAGTCTAGTCCTATCAGTACTAAGAGCTGATGCTCCCTTGGCGTATCGAATCAACTAGTGGATACATGAACACTTACATAATAGTATCACGATGATATGAATGCCATAATTGGTATGGTTGATAGAACAAGATGAAAAATTAGTATGGGTTTTTCTTCGAGAATTCTAAAATATTAGGAGAAATTTATAACAAAAAGAGGAAATCATTCGTTAGTAATCAAGATAAATGATGTCTGTTCTTTTCCTACGTAGTCCGTGGAGACAGAAAGAGAAAAAGAAAGAAAAGAAAAAGAGCAGAGAGAGAATAAAATATCTGGATGTTCCAACATTCTCTTTTTCATTTTCTAATCATGTAAAAAAACAGAATTAATAACACAATGTTTGACGTCAAGGACAGTCAAGGAATTTCAACTGGTGAACGAAGAAAAAGATAGTAATACGGATGATTGAATATCCATGATGGATGAGAATTAGAAGACAAAAGAAAAGAATATAGTCAACTACCGGATGTTGAATGCAAAGAAATATGAAAAAGTGCGAGTGGGCGTTCAGACTATAATGAGTGTAATCGGATATGATCAGCAATAAATAATACTCAGCTTTGGTAATGATTCAATATAATAAAAAAAGCGGATAAACTGAACCAAGTGTGACTAACCTCAACTACCCGAATGTAAACGTTTTCTCTTTCTCTTTAGATCATGCTTTCATGCGAATATCAGCGTTTTATGAAGCATTCCTGTTATGCATACGAGCTGTTGAATATAATGATCCGTCGCTATTGATTGACATCGACCCGAAATTGGTAAAAATGAAGTTGAAGGAAAAGTTTATTGCTTCATGTCAATGTTGTTCATCTGCTTGTAGTCTGTTACCGGATATAATCCCACGATAACTATCAAGGAAGTAGCAAGTCCTTCAACTACTCTTCCATCCCCTCCTACGAAAATCTTCTCGCCAATGCTCCTTTCGGCTGATAAAACTACAGATGATATTCAAGAAAAACTTCGTTAGTAAGAACATCACGTAATTCCCCGCTTCAACTCTTCTATATTTAGATCCACTTACTCGTCAACGTACACTTCACCGCCGTATTCATAGTGATCCAGTCTTCTCCATCCCTAAACATTCTCTTAGTTCAAATCGCCTACGTGTTACGTCACCACCACCTACACCTATCCATGATGAGAATAAAAGTATTCCAAGCATATCCTATTTTCAATCAGACGAATGTGGTTCCTATGGATCAAGTTACGACTCTCGTGGGGATATATTGGATCAAAATAAACAAACGAATCTAACTTTAGGACAGTCGACCTCTCCTCAAGCGCATCGCCAGTCAATATCGAGTGATATCACTTTGATTGATGAGAAGAATCACAATAATCGATCCTCGCCGTCATTCACCAATGAAGAGACAACACTCTCAACCAATTCTACCTCACCTATGGATCAGAGTTTTACAACATTTTCGACAAATGATCACCCTACACGAAGTAAGTTTTAGCGAATAACTTCCTCACCTATTAATTTATCGTAACTCATTGGAGGAGAACGTTGAGAATGCGAAGAAAAAACTATTTTAACTCTTTTTATATTAGAGAAATGACGTGATAATTACTCTCGACCTGGAAAATTCTTTTCTTTCTCTCCGAATAGTTTAACACTACGAACGCAGTGTCATAAACAGATGAACTATTTTATCAAATGTAACATATCATACTTTATCTAATTGAACTCTTCGAAAATGTCGGAAGCGGAAATAGATCTGATTTACTCATAAAGAAAACTTTTCTCCGTGCGTGAGTTTTGCAAAAAGTGTAACCAACTGAAGTGGATGTCATGATGATAATGACCGAATTTTCACTCGTATGTACGCTGTTAACAAAGAACGCCTGTGGAAATACCGTCCTACATATGAATGGAAAGTACGGAAGCCTAAGCGTCGAAGGTCAATCCGATTATGAATAGAATTCCAACAATAAATGTATTTTATTGCTATAAGGTCGTTCTTCAAGGTCGAATACTATCTGCATAATAAATCTCTGGCTTTATCGCTCAATTGATTTAATAAGACGAAAGATTGAATCGTATTATTCGGGACTAGGAACTGTATAATCCTTCAACACTAAACTACTAGAAAAGCTAAAACTAGCAAAAGTCTTAACATTATACGCAACAGTTTGTTAGAAGAGCATTGTGAAAAGGAAACAGAAGGCGGATTGTGGAAACGGCATTGTTTCCAATTTAGGCGTTAATTTACTTAAAGTACGATTCATTCAATTATAATTACTATAACAAGTCGTAGGTGTATATGAGTAAAACAATGTTTGAGATGTGAATGTATTTATTACGTAGTTCCTCCCACGGATAGATATTTGTAAATTATGTTTGAAAGCATGATAAACTAATCAAATGAAACATCGCACATGTTCATGACAAGATATCGTCGCACTTATACAACCTGAAGGAAGAAAATTAATAAAAACTCTTTCTACTATTTACAGTTAGCGTATTACAGGGAAGGAAGATAAGAGAATTGACAAATGATTGTTAACTCTGTTTGAAAATTACATACTCGATAAATATTCCGCGAGGGGAAAACATCTGCTTCTATATTTTTTTTACTCCTTTTCTAATTAAATTCAATAGGAGATCATATATCAAGAAGATCCTGATATCGGCTTTTAATCCATGAATGATATATCTTGAGTACTATCATTTTTTTTAGGTATTCGTCTTCCACACTCTTCGTTACTTTGGCCTCGAAAAGGTCAAACGCTCGATAATTACATTCGCGAGTGTGATTTAAAAACTCGTACAGATGTTGAAAAGGTAAATATTTTGCTTTTATTCATGTGTCGAAAAACTACGAAAACTTCTTCCAATCTTTTCTTCAAGGAGAATGCACATTTCTACTTCAGTGAAGCCATCATATCGGCCATTGAACAAATTAAATTTACTCAGCAATGTAACAAATACTTTGGCCAATCATGGCCATCATCATCGATAGCTAGTCTGTGTTCACCGTGCGAAACTGTTCACGTTTCTTCCTCAAATAGCAGTTCATCACCACCTACACAACAATATATACCTTGTAATTCAAAACTAGTAACTAGTAATGAGTACAAAGTAGGATAGTGTTTTGTTTCTGTTTGAACTTTCTGACGAATAAGAATACGTTCTAGAATTCGACGATGGAAATATCACAATATGATCCGAATTCGGAGATAACAGAATCGAGTTTGTGATTTATTTCGTTGTTCCAAAGAAAAATCATACTATTTCATTTTAGCTGAAGCACCTAATAATTTCGATTGGTCTGTTCGAAGTTCTGCTTTAAGTTTAAAGTAATCGAAATTCTGTCAAAACTGTTCTTTCATCGCTCTGGCATACTTTTAGTTTACAAGAAACATCTGCGGAATCTATAGGTACTTTTTTTCTGAAAACTACTCTGTTCATTGATTCGGATGATTTATTTTATTTAGCGTTATCACTGATGGAAACATGGAAGAATTACAAAGTTCCAACAGCACCTGAACTCTTCTGGATGATTCCACATGATGAAGATCTACCACAAGAGGTAATATGATCAAAATGAAAGAAGTTTGTTTTGCTGTATTTAAGTATTTTTCTTATTTGAAGTTATTACCTCTACCTGAGGGTATATCAGTTGATCCTAGTGAAGACTATCTTTCGAATGAAGATGGCCAAAGGGTAAGTCCATCAATTGATATAACTATTTTTTAATAACTAACATTCTTCCTTTTGAAGATTCTATGTCGAGGTAATAATCAATGGGCACCACCTCGCGAACAATTGATCTTTCATATTCATCAACCAGCCAAGTACGCCATTTGAAGCGACATCATATGATATTCCAATACATTCCTCTTTTAGTCGTGATCATCAACTGAGAAAACAAAGCTATCTTTGTGCTGGCTGTGGTCGTCATGTTGAAAAAGGCTATGCTCATCGTTATCGCTACTGTGAATATACCGGTAAATAAAGTCACTATTTTTCAAACAAACAAGAAATTCATTTCGTTTGTAGGAAAATACTTTTGCCGAAGTTGTCATTCGGATAAACGTTCGTTTTTACCATCGTATATCATTTCCAAATGGGATTTTTCCAACAAGCACAGTGTATCGAACTTCGCGTTTGATTATCTAAATCGTATTTATGCTGATCCATCGTTTAATCTTCATGACTTAAATCCAAAACTATTTGAAAAGAATAAGCCGCTAAGAGTGGTCGCTGAACTACGTTTGTCATTGTATTATCTTCGTAATTATATTCTAACATGCCGCTTTGCGAAAGAAAAAGGGTAATGAGAACTATTCGATTATCTATTCACATTCATAATCCTGTTTTTATATTAGTTCTCAGCAAGTTTTCCAAAAATTATCATCGTATATCTACTCCGATCCACAAATGTATTCAATTCAAGATCTATTCAAAGTAAATGGCGCAAAAGAACCTGAACTTGTCACTATTGATATTCGTCTTTTTTGTCTCTTATTAGACCAAATCAGGTGATTTAATCAAGGTGCTCGAACCCATTGTAGTCAATTTACGTGAACATGTGTTGACATGTCCGTTGTGTCATGCCAAAGGATTTATATGTGAAATATGTATGAAAGAGAAAGATATTATTTTCCCATTCGAGTTAGAAACTACAAATGTCTGTCAAGGTAAACAACTTCAGTAAACTTTTTCAAAAACATCTTTAATCAAATTTAGTGTGTCAATCGTGTTTTCATTTTCAATGTTGGGAAAACAGGAAAATTCGTTGTCCAAAATGTGAAAGAAACAAAAGTAGAAGGTATGAAGACCACCCTTCTCTCTCTCTCTCTCGTCGATCAAAGATAGTGTGAATGAGTATCAGAGAAAGACTTTTTGAATGCTTCATTCTATTAAAGATTCCCAATGATTAATGAGGAGAAGAAACGAGGTTATGCAGGTTTTCCGGATATAATGGCTGATGCTCTCCTAAAATGTAGACAAAACAATGATATCAAAATGTTTCCTCAGGGTTTTTTTCAGACTTCCTTCTCTTTTTCTCGAACGATTTTCTCACATGTATGATAATTGGATGAAAATACATTAATCTATTAATATCTCTCATTGATCAAGTAGACAAAAAAACTGGTTTTCATCATTGCGTCTGACTCGTTCGTTCTTTTCCTGCAAGTTTGATAAAACAAACATAATAACAATTCGAGTCTTTGTTTATTATACAACTCTTGTAATACTACTCTAACTAATGACGAAGCTTGAGAGTTGACATCGAGATTATATTAGTTTCTTGTTTCATCTAAAGAGAACAACACTGATACGATTTCATCCTTGAATCTCAATCGAAGAAAAATTGATTCTTTTCGTCTATTTCTAGTAGTCTTACTTCATCGAAGCGAAGTAACACACCGACGAATGTTGCACAAGAAAATGATCGACTAGCATCCAGTATTCTTCTTTCGTAAACATAGTCATTTTCGAAGTACATTTATATTTATATAAAAGTCTTTCATGAATATTTATTTCCTTATTTTTCTTTGTAATAATAATTCTTTCTACTCGTTCTTCTCCGGTTTTCCATCATGTTGAAAAATTTCATTCTGTACATTAGTTCGAAAGATAATATTACAAGTATGTCAAAGAAGAAATCAAACAACTAGCGTCGATTTCTGGCTTGTTCTGATGATTCGGCAAGAATGTCGTTTGCCAATCGGTTTTAATAAAAAGAAAGACGAGTTGCAATGATCTAATAGTTAATCATAGATGTCTTGCGGAAGGAAAATCAATGTCTTTCGATGTGACAATTCTCTCAACATAATCACATTTCTTTATGTTGCATAAACAAAAGTTTTCTCTACAACACGTCATTAACACATCTGACCAACGATATTAATTGATGGTTGCTTGATAACGAGCATTGAGAGTGCCAAGCTCGCATAATCTAGAGAAAGAAAAACAAAAGACAACAAAACCTCATTAACGTAAGTATTTCGAAGCAAATCTCTCTTCTCAATGATAAAGGAAGAAGAAGAAGAAGAAAAGGAGAAGAGAGATAGAAAGAGAGAAGAATCGAATGATTTCATTTCTAGGAGCATTTGTACTCTTTTTCTCTTTGTGAAAGAACCAGTCGTACGAATGATTCAAAATCAATCAAGATGAGTGCAAGTCGATATGCAGTTGTGCGACGACTAAGTCGCGTACTCTTATTACCATTGCATGGCCAATTTCCTACCAATGAACGGTAAGCACATTTACAAATTCATCATTCTCATTGTTATGAATAGCTCACTATAAAAGTCAGTACCGAAGTGTCTGACAGGTCTCTTCAGACTATGATATCGATACGTGTACATTTTTGTCCTTTGAGATCGATGATACGAGAAATAGATCGCAATGTATTAATATAATGAAGTCCAGGGGTAAAAAATGTTGATCAGTTTATTCCAAAAGAGCAAGCGAGAGAGGTGAATGAATGATGCAGTAGAGCATCTTAGTTCCATACGGTCGGACCCAACTATCGCTACATTTATCGTGGATAAGTTGAATGAAGTAAGTAAGTAAGCACACATCCTATATGACAGAAATTAATAGCTGTTCGAAGTTTATAAGACATCTCTTATGATAATGATGTATCGTACTTTAGTGAACGCTTAGTTATTATTTGGTGTAAACATTATTCACTAAATTGACTTAATGGGAAGCAAAAGCCCATTGATATTCTTTCTGCTTTTCTCGTGAACTATATCAATGTCAATATCTATATCTGTACGTATGTGATCCGTCTTGAAAAATTAATCGTCTAAAGAAGGATAGTTGTCATATCGTGTGCTTGATTGCCATCTTTACTTCATATAGATATGCTAGTTTTGTTTGCTTATTTGACTGGTAAAGAAGATAAGAATAATGCAATGTGCCTTGTTTGTTTGCGCTAAGAAAAAGTAAATGAGACATAAAGTGGTGGTGTCATCTCGATCGTGTTTCAGACCAAGACGTCTTCTATAGAATCGATCTCTTAACATATCTCTTCTGGAGGAAAAGTCTAATTAGTGATGGCAAGCACATCATCGGATGAATGGACACAATTAATTGAATTCATTGATTGATTGATTACGTACATTCTCCGTACTCAGTTTTCTTTTTCGACATAAAGAAAAATATGTTAACGGATCGATTATCACAAATCATTCTTGTCAAAAACGACTTATGTCATCTACCAAAACATATTTCAATAGAGATATCCTATAGAAATTGTCTTCTATTTTCGTATCTGTTGAGTTCTACAAATATGAATTGACATATCAATCGAAGATCAGCTGATCGATTTAGCCCTTCGATGGTCATTGAGATATTGTTGATTCCCGTGAACCACCAAGAATGTTCTTCTTCTCTGTGGTATGATCAAAAGCAATCGATGGATGATAGAGATAGGACTGGCTTATTAATTAGAATAGAAGCTTGTTCAGTATGCAGATGATGATAACATCGGTTCGTTTGTATCCAACAGATATTGTTTTTCAATACTCTATCTTCGACTCTTTTTCGATCGAATCGCTTGTAAATCATCAGAGATCATTGTTCAAGTCAATCACAGCTTGTCGAGAGACTTCTATTTTCTTTTCTTCTTCTATTCTGACAGCCTAGTCGCCTCAATGTTTATTTTGTGTGATGATATTAAAACAAGAACTTGTGCATTTGCCATTATGTCCTTGACTATAATCCAATACAAACTCGTTTTCACAGCATGCCATCGAACTAATTGTCTAAAGAGAAGAGAAACGAGCAGTTCAAGAAATCTTATATCGATGTATATATTTACGGATGATTGTGTCAAACGTGACATTATCAGAGAAAAAAGAAGAAGATAAAAAAATCTATTCGATGCTTTGATCTCTTATCCTATTTAAGACGCATTTGCTAGAAAAGATCCGTTAGTCACTTTCGGAACACGATGCTGAGCCGGTATCGAACAAAAGAGAAGAACATGTAAGAAAAGATCGGCGATTTTGCTTGATAACATTGTTGTTTCTCCCTGTACCTTCATGTATTTGTTGGATGACGTTAGCAGTTAGTCAGGCGCGCATACATACAAACGCGCACTAACAACCACAATAATGTTTATTGCTATTTTTTCTCCCGTTTCCAACTGGTGGTGTATTCTATCCTACATTGATCAGAAAAGAAGACACCGATCTGCTTCTTTTTCTTTCCCCCTCTTTTCTCTCTCTCTCTCTTTATGTATCTATATGGTCGATGGTGGTTCGATTGTGCCCATCTGCATAATGATCTTAACCTTCTCGAGTGTATCATCCATGTTTGAGAAACGAATTTCGAGTTTTTGAAACGCAGCTATCTTACAAACGATGCGTACCGGGCAGGTTTTTGTTATCTATCGTTCGACGACCGTTACCACGACGAAGACGAAGTATGCATAATATTAATGAGATTACGACATTGATTGGTTTTTGTGTATCTTTCCTTTCCGATAATCTCGACTATTTGATTATTGTTTAGAATGCACCGTCGACCAGCAAAAGGTTCATCTACGACTGGTGATCAACGTATATGTACGAAAGATAATTGTTTAACATGTTGCAAGAAATTTACGGCATTCATGTTCTCTCGTGTCGGTCTGTTTTTCGTTATGATCGGTTATGTCGCGCTCGGCGGAGGATTGTTTCAAGCTTTGGAAGCTGGTAACGAACAGATGATGCGACAATCGATGAGTGAAGAATTGAATTCGACACTGTATAAGTTATGGAATGTTATTCTACGAGTTAATTCATTTCCTTACCATGATAAGAAGGGTAATTTTACATTAAATGCTACGCAAGAATTAGAAAAGTTCGAAGCTACTGTAAGGCAACAAGTAAGGAAAGGTTTTGATGGCCGCACCGGACCTGACGCTGCGACCGACTGGAATTATTTTGGAGCTATTCTATATGCTGTGACACTTGTCTCGACAATAGGTACGTTGAAAGGGGAGAATATCGACTTAAGACTTGCTGATTCATTAGGTTACGGTCATATTACAACGAAAACTGTCTATGGGAAGATTGCTACCATACTCTACAGCGCATTCGGTGTACCATTAATGATGTTATTTGTGGCAAATATTGGCTCAACGATGGCGAAAATGTTTACGTTTGTATTCAGTCGCCTAACGACAATATTTTGTTGTCGATGGCGAAACAAAAAGCGGCGAAAAAGTTTCAGAATCCGAGTATCAACAAATCAAAGCGCAATTACTCTCGATGAGAAACCCATCCTCAAATCAAATATCAAACTACCAACATTGGAAACCAAACGTAAACAAAACCAGGAAAAGCAAACAATCTTTGAAACTGTATTCTTCGTATTTTAGCTACAGTCGACGATCAGCTATTAAAGTCTTCTTCTTCGATAAATATCGACTCGCCACCAACTCCTCCGACAAGCGAAACTCGAACTCCACCGTTGGATCCGAAATTACTACCAGCAGATGTTCGTTTGAATCTGCTAACAGGCGTGCCAACAGAAATGACGAAATCGCATTCAGTGACATCATCAACAAATTCAGTCAGTAATCGACCAAAAGATGCACTCAGTCGAATTAATGACTTAATTAAACAAAGTTCCGTCCATGATAATGATGATCAAGCAGCTGACAATGTCATTCACGATAACAAACGCTTGTCGTTACCATCAACCGATCAGCAAGTCGTAAATGAAGCTAACTCAATACAGTTCTATATCAACGAAACCGAAAAGTTGACAAATAATTTAGAAAATTCCATTCATAGTTCAACATTGAATAAAACAGTACCTGAAAAGATTAATATTACTAATTTAGACGATATCGATGTTCAACAAGTAAGTCGGTTGCTAATGTATATTCTGGGTACAAACTATTCTCATCAATTAGCATTGTTTGCTCAGCACAGTTGAATAGTTTTCAGCCAAGAAAAACAATATATCCCAAAGACAAACTCGTAACATGTATTTATTTTATAGATTCCTACTCCCGATGTTACTTTGCCTTCGCCAGAAACAACAAATCCTAATGGATCGACAATAGCAGCCGAAAATGATATCCAGAAGTCAGCGGCAAAAAAGAAACTAAAACGTTCCAAATCTGAATTGACACATAATCGCAAAATACGTGTTCAATCGCCAAATACTTCAGAGACGGCAGTTACCGATGATCGCGAGCCAGTTAAATCCTGTCGTCGACGATTTTTCTTACGTCGTTTGAAAAAACAATCAGCACTCGACGACGACATCCACAAAACAAGTTCATTAGAACAGATTTCAATTGGTATCTCCAATAAATCTGTTAGTAATCTACCACGAAAGTCTCAAAGTTTCAATGAAGGTCTACGTTCATTATCTCCTCCGCCTGAATACGAAGAATCGGCTACGCTTGACATTACACCTTCGCCGACGGTCACATGGAAAGCCGACCACGACTTGCATTCAACAAAACTTCCATTCGAGTATCCAACACATCAACAACTCGACGAAGAAGAAGAAGAGTTTTACGAAGATGAACAGATGAGTGTACCATTACTCGTCACAGTTTTTGTCATTCCGCTCTATTTAACTCTCGGCGCTATTTTATTCAATATTTGGGAAAAATGGGGTTTTCTGAATTCATTCTATTTTTGTTTTATCACATTAACTACAATCGGTTTCGGAGATTTCGTGCCAGGCTCATCGTTAACAGTGTCAGCCGCTAAGGAAAAGCTGATTTCAGCAGCTCTCTACATTTTACTTGGTCTCGTACTGATCGCCATGTGTTTTAATTTAATGAAAGAACAGTTAAGCCAAAAAGTCAAGCAAGTCGCTGGTAAATGGGGTATATCAGAATTTTAAAACATATTTCGTAACATTTTTATTATTATTCTTATTGTTCTTGTTGTTGTTGTTTTGTTTATTCGAGAAAATATATGCGCAATCTTTTCCTTTCTCTCGTCACATCTGTTTAGTAAATAAAACAAAACGAAATGATATCAACTAAAATAAAAAGATCCATGTCTTTTTCTCGCGTAAGATAGGAATCATCGTTAAGACGAAATACTAATTTTATCCAGAATCCATGGATAATAGCTGCTAACTCGAGCATAAACATCAGGATAATTTGTTTGATAACCACAATCAACTGTTCCGGACATAATACCGACCTGTTGCCAATAAGTTTTACCATTGGGATGAGTGATCGAACGTATCAGTGGGCCACCACTATCACCGAAACATACTGATTTCGGTGGAAAACCGGCACACATTTGTCCTGGTCGATAACTACCATTAAAACTTACTAATGGCTGACATAAAGAATGTCTTTGCGGCACAAATTGTAAACGAACTTGTTGTAAAACACTTGGTCGTGTACGATTAGCACTTTCCATTGCGCCCCAACCTGTTGCAACAAGATTATCACCTTCAACCAATGGTTGACTACTAGTATCACTAGTTGCAAGACAAATTAAATTCAAACGATCGTCTAAGACAACTGGTGTTTTCAAACGAATCACCGCCACATCATCGTTCAGCGTTGCATCATCATAACTCTCATGAACATAGATACGTTCAGCCATATGTGCGACTTGTGGCGACCATGAACTAATATTGAATTCATGAACACGAGATAGAACACCAACATATCGAGGTGACCAACCGAAGACGCAATGAGCAGCAGTTAAAACATGTTGAGGAGTTATTAAACTTGCTCCACAATATGATAGAGGAATTCCTTGGCTACTAAAATCGACGAGTAATAATTGCCATGGCCATGAATTTGGAACAGCTGCTTCACCATTAACAATTCTTGTCGTTATTTGCGGACTAATAGCAGGACAGCCACATTCGCATGGTTCGGCAAGAGATACTGTTGATAATTGATTTCCATTATTATTATTAGTCGGTTTACCAATTGTAAATACAAGTGCTATACTAGCTGTCAATGCTAATGCCAGAATCGTTGCGATAATTAGCACAACAATTGCTACATTCCTTGTCAGATTGCTTTTCACCGGTGGCGGATAGTTTGCTTCAGGTCCAACTTGCATTGTAGTTTGTCAGAATATAAAATGTACTGTTTCTTGTCTTTGTTCTACAAGGAGAACGTATAAATACCAGAATTAGAAATGAATTGCTACTGAATATCGTAAACTTCGAGATAATCTCATTTTATGATATGTATTATTATGCTACACTCGAAACAACAGCACTTTTCGAGATTCGATAAGTGCATTATCTCGAGAAAATGTAAAATAATTGTTCGCTTTTTGTTATAGTTACAAAGATTAGGAAAGCCACACTATATACGTATGTATGCTCTTAAGATGAGCAATAAAATCCACAAAACGAAAATGCCGTTCTCTCGATTTTTGTTGTTGTTTCCAAATTCTCTAAGTAATCAGATGGGTTGATGTCGACCTTCTCTCCAGTGTGTTTCTCAACATTCGTCATCAGCAACATGCGATAGCGCCATCTATTTTCATCCAGTGGGCGATATAACGCTGCACGAAGATTGGTAAAACGATTGCTCGTATTGCGAAATAAACAACTCAACTTCAAATAGAGACGACTTTGTGTGACTGTTCATCTTGAGTTGTCGATCTCTGGTTGATTAATTGACGTTTTGTATTATGCTCGTTTTATTTGAAACAGCAGCCGGCTATGCCATATTCAAAGTATATCATCACTGTACATTTTTCGAACAAAGATTTACAATTTCCTTGTTTAGCTACTCGACGAAAAGAAATTGCAAGAAACAAAGACTTTGTATCTGGATTTTGAATCGTTAGAGAAAGCTGCTAATGTGTACGATCATTTGTCCAAGTGACGATATTAATTTGAACGTTTTCTTTGTAGTTTGAAATTGACACACTTCGAGAAATTCGAAGATACAACACAAGCTCTCGCTGCAGCAACAGCTACTGTCGAAGGGAAAATTTCTAAGCCGTTGAAGAAGTTACTTAAACAAGTTGTTAATCCAGATGCTCAAGAGAAATTGCTTGTTGCTGATTCAGCACTTGCCAAAGCCATCAAAGTATCTACATCTATCTTTCGTATGAATCAATTGTTTTCATACGTGTTCGTTAACAATATTTTCAGGAAAAATTCGGTTTCGACTGCATTTCTAATAGTTCAGTTCAAGATCTCATGCGTGTTATTCGTTCACAAGCGGATAGTCTCTTACAAATCGATGAAAAAGAATTAGCTGCCATGCGTATTGGTCTTGCACATAGGTAGCAAGCATTGGATTGAAAATCATTTGCTATGGCATATCTATTTTAGTTTATCACGGTATAAACTCAAGTTTACTCCAGATAAAGTGGACACAATGATCGTTCAAGCTATTTGTATGTATTTGTCTATGTGTTTATCGAATACAAATAAATTTATTACCGTTTTACAGCATTACTGGATGATCTTGATAAAGAAACAAATAATTACATAATGCGATGTAAAGAATGGTATGGATGGCATTTTCCTGAACTGGCGAAGCTAGTGCAAGATAACATTGCTTTTTGTAAAACAGTGCAAAAAATCGGTAAGGAACGTCATATTCATCTTTCTATTTTATGTGTACCAATCGTTTTCAGGCTATCGTACGAATGCAGCCGACGTTGACCTATCAGATATATTACCTGCAGATGTAGAAAGTCAAGTGAAAGAAGCTGCGGAAATATCGATGGGTACTGAAATCTCCGAAGAAGATATAACCAATATTCGCCATCTTTGTGCTCAAGTATGTTTAGTTGAATCGATTAAAGAATACATGTCTCATGTTCGAATCTAACATGAAGAACAGAAATTCTATGCGCATAGCCAATATATCTATGATGACGTTAGTTACCGCCCCAGTCTGAACATAACACAGGTTGATCGGTCCCATACTGAGATTATTGGCCGGATGGTATTTTTATTAATGCACATGTTCACTATTTGTACTTTCGTAGGTTATTGAAATATCTGACTATCGTGCACAATTATTCGAATACTTGAAGAATCGAATGATGGCCGTTGCACCTAATCTAACAGTATTAGTCGGTGAATTAGTCGGTGCTCGACTTATTGCACATGCAGGTTAGCATTTGTTTTTATGTTCGGAAAATCAGGAGATTTATTGGAAACTTCCAGGATCATTACTCAATCTTGCTAAACATCCATCATCCACGGTGCAAATCTTAGGCGCTGAAAAAGCTCTCTTCCGTGCGATGAAAACAAAACATGATACACCGAAATATGGCTTGATCTACCACTCATCCTTAGTTGGTCAAACATCGGCCAAATTGAAAGGTAAAGTTAGCCGCATGTTAGCTTCGAAAGCTGCACTAGCGATTCGCGTCGATGCACTTGGTGAAGATACACAAGCAACGCTCGGTATGGAGCAACGTGCTGATCTCGAACGAAAATTCGCCCTGCTCGAACAAAACGCCGTATGTATACACGGTGTTGTAGACATCCGAAGGAAAAATCTTTACATTTCAGACGAAACGAATCTCTGGTGCGGGGAAAATGCAAGCAAAATTCGAAAAATATCAGAAAAATGCGTAAGTGATGTGATTTATGAGAAAATCTCATGAGATTTTTGCCTTTTATTTTAGTGAACAAGGCCAGTTCAATCAAGATCAAGCATCAACAATACCACACAAACGTCATTCAGATTTTGGTGGTCGTGGTGGCGCAAACAAACGTTTCAAGAGTGGCAACGTGAATAAATCCTTTGTGGTTTAAAATAATATCGAGAAAATCTACGAAATTTCTCGGTCCTTTACATATTGTTCGTTGTTATCTCTTTTCGTTCTGGCAACAGATGCTCGTAATTGTTACGTGTCTTTTTTTGTAATGAAATAAAGAAAACTCAAAACTGACGAAAAATTCTATTTGTAGCAAAGCCTGACTTCTCGTCAACTAACACTCCGGTCTCGAGACGTCGAACATAGTCCCACGACCTTGTTTTCATATGATCTATACGCCGAAGTGCAAATTTCAGGCTTTTATTTTTTCTTTTATACGAAGAAACAAAATGACTATAATTTACTTCTAGTGCTCCATGTCAATGGACAAATTCATACATGACATCCGTCGTGCTCTCAACATAATTATACTGTGCACACGTATTCAGGAAGATGAAACGGAAAAAGAAACTTTTGGGAGTACGTTAATGTAAGACTAACATGGCTACACGAACGTCATCGAGCATCTAAATATGGAGGAATAAAAAGCGCAAGTTTGAAAGTACCTAGAATGGTACATGATTTAACATTTACGAACGAAATAAAAAACAGATTTCTTACTCGTTTTCCAATTCGACTATTTCGTATTCGAATGGATCTGAACTGATCGCGTGCGCAATGGAACGAATATTACTTCCTTTATCTCGAAAAATCGCCTATTAGACATTTTGATGAGTACAAGGAACCTCACTTTTTCAAGGCTACATATGTGGAAGAATGAGAAGGGAACAGTGCTGTTTACTTCCAGCCAATGAGAACGCATTTTTCTCCGAACACCAATAAAACTACAGATTCTTTTTCTCTCCTTCTCGACTTCACCAATTGGATAAAAATGTTCCGGTGAAAAGAAATGTGTTTCTCTCTGTCAAATTACTCGTATTCTTCGAAGCTAATTATTGCCGTTGAAATCACAGTGCATACTGCCATTCGCGAACTTTCAAAAGTGGATCATTATCATTGAGTTAAATTGAACAAAGAAGACGACAAACACAATTTACTCACCGATTACTGATCGTTTGTCATCAATGCATCGTCAACCGTAATTACCGAAGACAAATTATACTTACGCTCGCCTAACTTCATTAATTTCTCATTCATTATCATACATTGTCTTCTCTTATCTATATTATTAACCCAAGTCAAATTGGTATTCAATAAAAAACTAAACGATATTAAATTATTGTCAAATAAAAGAATTTTACCGGAAGAGACAAAACATGATGCATAATGAGCCATCAACACAAACACTTCCACCACCATTACCGTTACCATACGAACAAGACGCCAAATCCAATGGTTTCGCTGACTTTCCCAATCACCACCACCATCATCATCATCAACCCATAGATTTAAACGATCCTCAACAACAATATTCGAATTTTGTTCAACACAATCCTTACCATCATCCAACACCTGATGAACAATTCTATTCAACAACGCGAAACTCCTTCCCCACATATCCATATCCGTATTCCTTACCCTATCCTTCATTAACACTCGATACAGGTTGATCTTCATTCTTCATTTTCATGTCGAATATTCTTGTTATATTGATTTTATAGAAGAAAAGTGTCATTACGATGAACGTGATATTCCACCGAAGTTAACCATCAAAGGTAAAAAGATTCGTAAGCCAAGAACGATCTATTCCAGTATGCAATTGCAAGTGCTTAATAAACGATTTCAACGTACACAATATCTTGCTTTACCTGAACGCGCCGAACTCGCTGCGTCACTTGGTTTAACACAAACACAAGTAGAAAAAAGAAACACATTCGATTTTGCCTTCATTTTCTCATCTATACTTTTAGGTGAAAATTTGGTTTCAGAATAAGCGAAGTAAACAAAAGAAAATCGTAAAACACGTTAGTTATCATTCATCGTCGTCGTCATCACCACCACCACCACCTCCACCTTCCCAGTCCCCCAACCCAAACCCATCACCAGCACATCGTATATCTCGAATAGTAGACAATAAACATAGCGCTTCTGTGTTTTTAGTAAAGCAAGAACAACATTCAGCCACATCTTCGTCTGCTTCTTCGTCGTTGTCAATACATTCTAATCCTATGGAAACAAACCCATGCAATCTCGATACAACTCTTTCATCAATATCTTCACCTCCATACGAACATCGAGGATATCTAATGGAACCGAATTCATTTTGGTCTTTGCCACCATATGTGACCAGCAATTAGAGTATACACATTTTTTGGACGTTAAAGTTGTGAAAAGTTTTGTTTCTAAGTTCCTATCGATGTTCTTTGTCTGTATATGTATTTATATAAAGAAAAATGATTGCAGCACAATTGAAAACAAAGGTCTTATATTTGACAAAAGATATACAATGAAAAGCTTTGTATCATGTTCGTGATGAAGCCAAGAAAGAAAGAAAGAACGATTAGATTCGTATTTAAATATACATTGCTTTCACCTGATCTGAAGTGATGTTAATTCTTCTAGAAAACATCTGCTCAATTGAAGATGACGTTGTTTCTTGCTGCAAATTTTCAACGATGATTTCCGGTAGTAATAAGCATTGTTGTTCTTTTTCGTTAATACTAATTACAACTCGACATATCTCCTCCTTCCATTAGTCGGCAGGCGATTCTATAATTAACCAGGTTTCAAAGCAAGAGGAGAAAAACTTGAACATCCGGCTTTTTTTTTCTTCAGTGAAAAAAAAAACAGAAAGACGAGCAATGTTTCTGACACGATTGAACATTTCTTCTTCTTCTCTTGTATCATTAGTTAGACAAACTAGATTCTTTTCCAGATGAACACATCTATAAGCTGATTAGATTTGTTTTGATCTTCGTTCAAGGAATTACAGTGAACACGTGTTGTAGAAGCATCCGGAAATATGATAATCAAATGAATATCGATAATCACTTTTGATCCATTCTTACAGAAGATTGAAACTGTTCTATTGAGATTTATCCTTTTTTTCTCTCGGTGCATATTGTACGATTGGTGACAGGTGCACATTGAAACTGCCTATGACAGCAAAGACAATAAAGAGCAATTATATCGATCGTCATTTCCATTGTTGTTCTCATTCATGCAAAGCGTTCGTTCTATTCTTGTGATAACGTGCGTACGTTGATATTGGTCACTGTTACTGTTGATCAATGATTATACCGGCTGAATGAATGCGTGTGGATCTATAGAAGAATGGTGGAATCGTGAGAAAAAGAACGAATGTGTTCAAGTGTAATAAACGTTATTCTTCTTGTCGATAAAAATAGGTGCGATCAACAGATTTCGTTTCGTTCGAGAAGAAAAAAGAAGAATAGCGATTTGAAAGATTGCGTGCGTGTGGTTAATCCACACTAGGTGGTCGTATTTGCAATTCTAGTATCATGCTTGTTTTGTTTTATTTCTCAATTTTCCGATTTAAGTCATGTTTAGATGTAATTAGCCTTGTGAATGTCATACTGACGTAATCGGGCGCATGGATGTTTATTTCTCTCTCTGTCTCCTTCTCGATATGTATCGAGCACAGGTTCATTGAGGTGTAAAAGGATACATATATGTTTGTATTGATCGAAAAAGAAGATAATTATCGATGAGAAGAACATACTAATCGATACAGCTTACGGCATTTTTCTTCCTAACTCATCTGATATAACGAAAAAAAAAAGAAGTATAATTTGCGTGAGAGTGATGTTGGTAAATGATCGATTGAATTTCGACTGTATCTTGGAAATTATTATATCATCGACAACTGACAAATGTGAACACTGTATTACGAAATAGCAAGCAAGAAAGAATCTTAACTTCGATTTGATCGTTACAAATAAATTCAAGTACTACTCCGTCGTATTTGTAGGTACATCAAAATTGATTGGATTATCTTCGATCGAAACGAACGTAATGATTATCATGTCAGAAAATGTAGCCCATTTGGCAATAGAATGTTCTTCTTAACGATCGTAACCTTACATTAGTGACATAATTAAAAAGCAGTGATTCAGTGAACGTGTGAAAATCTATGCCAATTTCAATGTAGAATTTGAAGACAATATTAATTTTTTGTTTACAAACGACGCAAAAAGTAATTATTCGAGACTACGTCGAACTACACGAAAACATGCCCGACAATCATGTGCGAAAACATGTTGTTTTCCATGCAAATAATTAGCCAAATGTGGAATGGTACAAAATCGAATTGAATGTCATTCATTTGATACTAATCATTCCCCATTATTTGAAGAACAATTCCGTCAAGAGAAAACAATAATCAATAGAAGAAACCTGGATTGAACTTAACTTTCATGCAATGATTAATCATCAATATCTTCGTAGTCATAGTCGTGATATAACTTATTTTCGTTCTATTTTCGAAAACAGAAAGTAAAAAAAAGCTAATGACGAGATAAATACTCATCAATCATGCATCTCATCATTGCGACATACGTGTAAAAAATATTTGTTCGTTCTTCGAACACACCGACGTATGCACAATAATCATACCATGTGCGTGTATAATAGAAAGGTGCAGTCCGTTTACTAGCTGACGCTGAAGGCTGCACAAATGTTCTGCATGATCGATTTTTTTTCTCATCCCCTACGCGTTTTTTCTCTTATGCATGCACATTAAGTCGTCGGCGACAAACTATTCTTTTTCGAAACATTAAACTGTTTTGTAATACACTAAAACAATGACAAGTAATGGTACTAGTAATGTAGCCAATGTCAATAATGTTGCTCACGAATTCGATCGTGATGTTTATAATGGTCACCATCGTGTAGGCACAAGTGCAACTGAAATTGAACTTCTCAATGAACTTCCGCCGCTGTTTGCAGCAGGAACAACAGTGACTTCCGAAAATGGTATTTTCCGTTTAGCTGAACGTTGATTTCGTCGACAAAAAAATTCATGTCTCTATATTTTTTGAATAGATAAACAAAAGCAGTCAAATAACTATAACTTATTGTCAATGAATCGAGGACCACCGATGGCCAACGTAACTTATCAGGATGATCGTGATCAACAATTGAATCATGCTGTTGATAAACTCCTCAATAGATATGCACCAGAGTAAACAGCTTGTTTTTCTGTTAATGCATATTCGAAAATACAGTCTATATATTACTAATTTAGTGCTGCTCCACACAAAGTGCTTCACACGACAGCGAATCGTCGGCCACCTACTCAAGCGAATGTTCCGACAGAGCATAATGAGCCATTCGTATCGACATTCCAAACCAACATTCCGCCTACCACTTCACATGGTTATTCAAGTGTCATCCGACCAAACAACACTCAATTTGCACAATCTCAACCACAAGCTAATCCAAGCACCAACAATCGAAATACACAAGCACCAGGACAATCTCGTCCTACAAATCATTACGATAACATTCAACACAACGTTCAACAATCAAAAACAGCTATGCCTATTAAAACGAAAGATGGATTTATTACTCAAGTAGTACCCGGTAAATTATACACTCTAGAAGATGATCCACTTCATCTTCTCTACGACAGACAAGAACCTGCTTCTTCGACGCATCAACCTTCGTTTCAATCTACTTTTCAACCATCGATGAATGCTCAAAATATTCAAGATCCCCTTTCGTCACACATTTATCCGAACGGATCACAACGATATCCACATCAATCCGCTGCTACGACGACAACAAATACGGTACCTAATGATCGTTTGCAACCATTCGATTTGGGAAATTTAATTAAACGTGTTCAAGAAGAATACCTTCGTGAGATTCAGCCGTTTGTATCCAGTGTGAAATTTGTGGAAAAAGATAGAGAATTCGGTCAGAATTTGAATGACGTTGGCTTTTCAACCCCAGTCACCGTTCGAAAAGGCTTTACCAGACAAGCAGATGATATTCTTCGAAACAGTTTTGGTGGAAGAAGACATCACCGAAAGCCAGGCAATCAATACGATTCAAAGGAATACTCTGACGATGATGTCGATGAGCTTCGATCATCTGGTCCATATATTCCATTGCAGAAATTTGATTCCAAACAATCGTTCACTTCTGTAACATCAACATCATCCTATGACGATGATTATGATGAGCGCGGACTGCCGATAGTTCAACCGAAGAAGAAGGTTACAGTACATGATCAAGGAACATCGCCACCTCGTAAGCAATTACCCATTTAGTTGAAATAGTATAAGCACTTGTATAAATATTCTAGCGAGACCTACTCAAGCAAGTATGCGAGCCACAGAATCACGTAAGAAATAATCTTTTCAATCCTTATAAATACCGTTGAGTCGATTTACAGACGAAAAGGAAATTTATTTTTGTTCTATTTAGAACCTTATAATGGATCTGCAGGTATCCCTTCGACTTCTGTTCCAACCAATCAGTTTAATGGAAATAGTGGAGCAGGAACAACAACAGATCGTTCCGGAGGTGTCAAACTTGCGCAACGTATTTCATCAGGTCAATACACAAGAAGCTCGTCAGGATCGGATTCGGAAGATGATTACACAGCTACGTACTATGACCCCGAACCACCGAGAAAGAGTCAAGGAATAAATGCAGTCGTGGCAACTGAACCTCTTGCCCCACCAACAGCAAGTTCGCGTGAACGAGGCGCTACAAACAATCAAGTACCACAACGTAGTGAAGATATACGACCCACACCGCCAACTATTCGCCCTGGAGCAAATTCTCAAAATGCTGGACGACATAGTGAAAGTGAAGGAAGTGGTAGCGAAATATCTGGATCCGATCAAGTCAGTGATAGTGATGATGACAAGAAACCATCTGTACCTACAAATCAAGCAACGCCTACCACAACAAGCCGATCGAATGTTCCACAAAATGCATCTACTACACCGGGTGGACGATCTGCAGCAGCTCCTCAATCCAATAGTCGAGATACAGTAGCAGCAAATCAACCGGTTACATCACGAAATCCTGCTGAAAGCAATGCTCGAGGTGCTCCTCCTGCCACTACCACAACCACAGCTCGAACCACAGTGGAAAATAATTCTCGAGGAGCTCCTCCTGCCACTGCCACAACCACAGCTCGAACCACAGTGGAAAATAATTCTCGAGGAGCTCCTCCTGCAACCACCAATCCAACTACAACCGCTCGAACAACAGTTGAAAATAATGCCAGAGCAGCAGGCGCAGCCGGAAGTACCAATCGTAAGTTTCCTCTTGTCGTTTGTTTCGCTTCTGCAATAATAAACATATCTATTTCTTGTTCAGTTCATTTTGTACCTCCAGACCAACGAAGCGCAGCTGCAAGTGGTGGCGATCGAGGTGCGCAGGCAGCACCCATTCAACCAAATGCGCCAAGCACAACTGCTGCTGCTCAGACCGGTGAGTTTTATTATTAGAAAAGATGTTTACTATGCAATATGATTTTATGGTCGACATTTCATAGGTTCAACTCGCTTATTTCATGGTGATAATGATCAAAAAGGCAAACGTTCATTGTTGGATAGTACATCCGTTGTTGGTAACAAAATCAAATCACTATTCCGTAAAAAATAAGCCGTCTCATATCAAGCTTCAACTGGAAATTGAACTGTTATTTATTTTCTGCTTTTGTATAACTTTATTTTTCTTTTATGAAATCTTCACACGATTTGAAAATACATACGAGTAAATCAAATAGGGTCAATCCGACACGGCTCAAAGACTATGTTTGTATCGTACAAAATAGATATTGAAGCTTGAGTGACAAGTGTTAACATTGGGTACAAACTCATCTACAGCCATAACAGTGACTAACGAGTGAAAAGTCCCTTTATCTCGAATTCAATCGATAATTACTGACTGCCAAGTATGATGTATCGGTACGCTCTACTCTCATCGACGATTTCGAAAGATAAAATCTGTAAAATCAAATTTACATTTATTGTCGGTTTCATTCGATCATCGCTCAATCTGATCTTTGACGTCCAAATATATTGCAGCTCATTTGATTTCGGGCTCATATCTCTTTCCTCATTGTACCTCTTGAGAATAGCATCGGCAAAATAGTATCATTACCTTAAAGTACACTGTTAGTGAAAAAAACATTCTCGCGTTTCGATTAAATCTCTACGGGCAGAGTTAAGCAATAATCATTCGCTGTTTTCCTTCTGACTTTAGCCATCAATAGAAACCATATGGTAGAAAATGATAGAATCTGCTCCGATAGAACATAGTCCAGAAGCCAAATACATTAATCATTATAGACAACCGCGAGAGACAGCCATGTCGGATGCGAACAGAACAAATGTATCGTTATCATACTTGTTGCTGTAGAAAACGGCATTTTGCATGCCGTAGAACACATACAGATCTTTATGACATTTTGTCGTTTATTCATTTTTAAACACGTTTTATTCCTACCATAACCAAATACATATTTATAAATCATTCCGTCCTTACTTTTTATCTATGCAAAATATCTCGCCATTGGTTTCGATGTTATTAATAATCTATATTCCACACTTTATTACTAAATGAGTAGAAAGAAAAGAACAAAGTATTCAGAGCACTCGTAAAACAAAAAAAAAGGCAAGAAGGATAAAAGAAGCATGATGATGCCGAGGTTAAAAACTGAAACAAACACGTCCCTTCGATAAAAATTTCCCATGATAATTATTCAATATACTATCACATATTCAAACTAGCATGAACGAAAAAAAAGAAGAAGAAGAAGACACTGTTCGTAGAATTTAGAAATCAAATGCACACTGTTATCAATAACTACAGGATTAAAAAGAACTTCTTTAGCCGAAAAAACACACACCTTAAAACCGAATAGAAGCGTGTCATTCTCTGAAGATGATAACCTAGGCTTTGACTACATGTTTCTTGTTGTCGTTATCTGATGATTTATTTGTTGTGCGAACAAGACTAAATGAATCGAATACAAATGGAAGAAATTTGTGACATCATCATTGTTATCTTACGGGTCTCGAGTATTATCTTCATCATTTGTTGTTGCTGCTGCCTTTCGCGTTGTTTTTTGACGTTTTTCAAAGACTAATATAATGAAGACTAAGATGAGAACAACGCCAACAATACCCAAAAATGGCCAGAGAGCAGCAAGTCGATCTATACAGATGTATTTCACTGAAATCTATTAGTACAATTCATTTAAACAGACCTTTCACACGCAGTAAAACGGTAAAATATCGGTTATTCAGTCCACATCGATAGTAGCCACGATGAATTTTTTTTACCTCTTTAATTTTTAAAATAAAACGATTGTCTGCAGTTTCCTCTATTCCAGTAGGTAAAGGGCCGAAGTTATGATTGTCAGTACTAAATTCCCATCGAACTCGTTTAGGTCGATAGGATGTTTGATCTTCAGGTTCAACATTGCATGCAAAATTGACAGATTCGCCTTCAATTCGTCGTACAGAACTATCCGATGCGTCTAATACTTCCTTATCAGTAGTTATCCTTTGTGGTGACTGTATGACTAAAATTTAACGAACCAGAACGTTTTTCCTGATAGGAAAAAACACAATCGACTTTCCACTTACGACGGATTTGATTGAATCGACATGCAATTCCACCCGATGTAGGTTTCTTTGTTTTCACAGACCATGAGCGTACTAAACTGTCGTTTTTAACTAGAATATCGAATGGAAAAAGTTTTCGTTTCTCATGTCAAATATGGGACAATTACCGAAGATTTTTATCGTTAAGTTGGATTCTTTATCCGAGGTTTTTACCACATAATGTCCTGGTTTTTCGTCCTTTACAGGCATAGTGTCTCTATACCATTCAAGAAATTCACCACTAGTATCACGACCGACATATTGACACGATAGAGTGAATTGTTGTTTCAAAGCTGCTTGAAGGTCTGCCGGATTTCTAGGCACATGGACGAATTGACCATTTGAGTAGATCAATGTGTTCAAAACTAAATCATTGAATGAAAATATTACGCTGAGTAACAAACACAACAAAAATTTTCTAACCCAAAAGAAGACCAAGAAATTTGAATGTATTTGCCATAATATGAGAATTGAGGATTATGCTGCAGAATCTAATCCAATACGTTACGTTATTTATAATTGTTCTTATCGCACTTGTTTGTTTATTTTATAGTATTTTTCTATCTTCGTTGTTCGATAATTTCGAATTACGAACTGATAAGTTTTGACAATTGACGACCAGAAATCGGATATAAAGCGAAACCTGAGCTGACAAAAAAAAACCCTAAATTTACTTATTTACACGCATGCGATTGGTGAATCTATCTACCAATAGGATATCTGCGCAATATTATTTTTGTTTTTATCACAGGAATTAATATTTTTACATCACGAGCAACCATTGTTTGGTTTTGGGATGAATATCAATACGAAAATCGTATTACGTTTACAGCCGTATGGTCGATGCCTTCTTCAACAACAGCTAAAACAAACCAGTTCTCCTGCGCCTCTGGTAAGAATTTCTCTTCGTTGAGATATTTCTATTGCGAAAACCATTGATTGTCTCTTCCATTAGCTTATCACTTCTATAAGAGAAGCAAGTAGCGGTGCAACACTTGAATACGATGCTCCAAATGCATATAAACTTCATATGCTTGAAAAAGGACCCAACACTCATGTATCATGTAATCGCGAAGAAGGTCTAGACCATTATAAGAAAATGCAGACTGTACGTCGAATGGAAGCATCAGCAAATAACATGTACAAATCGAAATTAATTCGAGGCTTTTGCCATCTTTACTCTGGACAAGTTAGTTGATTCACTGAATAGAAGAGAATTTTTAATCGACGATATTTGTCTAGGAAGCTGTTTGCGTTGGAATGAAAGCAGCTATGGATAAGAACGATTCATTGATCACTGCTTATCGTGCTCATGGTTGGACTTATATGATGGGTGTATCTGTAACCGGTGTATTAGCAGAATTGACAGGTAGAAAAAGTGGTTGTGCTGAAGGACGCGGTGGAAGTATGCATATGTATGCGCCAAATTTCTATGGTGGAAACGGTATTGTCGGTGCGCAAGTTCCACTTGGTGCCGGAGTATGTTTTTTTACACGTTGAACATCGTCATGAAAATATACCGATCGTCATCCTTTCTGTTTACAGGTGGCTTTTGCCCACAAATACCGCGGAGAGCCAAATGTATGCATTGCATTGTATGGTGACGGTGCTGCTAATCAAGGTCAAGTTTTCGAAGCGTACAATATGGCCAAACTCTGGTCGTTACCATGCATTTTTGTATGTGAAAACAATGGTTATGGTATGGGTACTAGTTCAGCACGTGCTAGTGCTAATCCAAATTTTTATAAACGATGCGAGTATATTCCCGGTATCTGGGTTGATGGTATGGATATTCTTGCTGTACGTGAAGCAACAAGATTTGCTCGAGAATGGTGTACGTCTGGAAAAGGTCCAATGATTATGGAAATGGCCACATATCGTTATTTTGGTCACTCTATGTCCGATCCAGGCACAAGGTAAGAGAAGTGCTTTCCAACACATATATTTCACTGAGAAAAGTTGAATGTCTACGTATTTGTTTCAGTTATCGAACTCGAGAAGAAATTCAAGATGTACGTAAAAGTCGTGATCCAATAACATCCTTCCGAGAGAAACTTGTTCAAGCCAAACTAGCCACCGAGGATGAATTTAAGGTAAATTTCATACACGAAAGATATTATCTGGCTCACAAATTTGCCTTTGTTATTTAGGCTATCGACAATGACGTAAAGAAGATCATCGAAGATGCAGAAAATCGTGCCCAAAATGATCCTGAATTACATGTCGATGAATTGTATTCCCATGTGTACTCGCAACCACCACCAAAATTCAAAATTCGAGGATGCGATAATTTCACATTTAAAGAGGTCTCGAAATGAAGATGTTGAGAACAAGAACCGCCTTTGTCTCTTTCTCTCTTTTTTTCCATTGTGTTTGTTTTAACTTATATTTTCTCTCTCGTCACCGTCATATATATGTATTAGAAAAATGAAACAAACTGAACAGTCCATTAATTTAGAATCAAAGACAAAAGTATACACCTTTATAAAATAATTTTAGATTGAATATGAACGCGAATTCTGAGGGACACGAACAAACTGCGGTCGAACCATCACCAGCTGCTGCTGCTGCTGTAACCGAAACTGAAAACACTTCGACAATATCCGATACAACAGATGAGAAGTCAAGTGTGGAACAATCTCCAGCTGTTGAAGAACATAAACCGCAAGTACCACTGGCAACAACAACAACAACATCAGCATCCTCATGGCTCAGTAATTTGGGCTTGTCGCCAAATTTGACAAGTCAATTGACAAATATTAGTTCTTCATTGATACAAGCAACATCAAAAGTAACGGCTGCTGCAAATACACTGGTGCAAAAATCTTTACCCCAACGTCCTACATCACCAACCGAAAATGAACAGGCAGAGCCGGTAACAAAAACTGAGGAGAATCAACAAACAGAGTCGCCAATCGAACAAACTTCTGGAATAGCTGGCATAAACAAAGATCTGACAAGTATGTCGTTCTTTATTGAAAGATAAAACAATGTATTGATTTGTGTTTATTCTGTTCAGCTATTTTTACGGATCTGAGTTCGACTGTGCTGAAAGGTGCTCAGCAATTAAAACATGCGGTCGAAGAAAAGTCTTTACTTGGCAATTTTACGAAAGAACACGACAAATTTGTCACAGAAAAACGCACACAACAACGTCGTGAAGAAGCTGCTGTCCCACCTTGGGTTGGTTATGTTGAAGAAGAAGAAATGAAAAAAGCAATCTTAGCGCTTTCAAAAGTTAGATTATCTTGAAATCTCAGTCGATCGATGAATATGTTTTGCCTTGTAGGAGAAACGCAATTTTCTGCGAAATCAACCACCGGGTGCTAATTTTCATTTCGACATGGCTGCTGTCTTTCCCGTTGCATTAGCAACTCTCGAAGTGGATGAAAATCTCAAACAAATGCGCTTTGATCTTGTGCCAAAACAGTTAGTTTCTTTATTTTCATGTATGTATTGTGAACGGTCGAATTTGATTTTAGAATTAACGAAGAGACGTTCTGGCGCAATTATTTTTATCGTGTTAGTTTGATCAAACAATCAACACAGTTATCGGCATTGGCAAACCAAAATCGTATGTTGTTATCATTTGTTTTGTTCATCGTGGTAATACAACTATTTTTCTCTCTAGGAAACACAGAATCAGCTGATGGTAATTCTGATTTATCAAATGAACGTAGTAAGTTCAATACATCGATAAGAATAATTGTGAAAGAACTCCCGACGCTTCTATTCAGATCGCAAACTGTCAGAATCCCAAGATCTAAATCAAGAATTTGTCAGTGAAGATTATGACACATCGGCTGTTAGTATGGATGACATTCGTCGTGAAATTGAACAGTTGACTGTTACGAAGAAGAATCCTAACAAAAACAATGCAGGAAAAACTGGTAGTCCAGGTAAAATCATGGTCGAAAATTGATCCTATCCAAATGGTTTATTTCGATATTCTAGACGAGAGTGAATGGGATAAAGCATTAGCTGAAGATCTTGATAATGTTTCTCCTGAAGAACTTGAAGCACAAATTAATCAAATGTTGGAGAGAGACTCACAATAGACACTCGCTTTCTCTTCGTCCATGTACATATTTTCAACAATAATATATACACAAATCATTATTCTCTTCATTCCCCATAACGCGCAACCGTGATACAATGACGTTTTTTTTTATTTTCGTCTTATTACACATTTTATTGTAAATATCTAACCTGCTATTGATAAGAAACATTTCAAAATAAACTAAACTAAAATCATAAAAATATCTTTCGTCTTTTAGACAGATATGTCAGACGAGCGAATGAGTCAATTCTTTCCAAGAAAATCAAACGGTTTGTAATATTGTCAACGAAGACTATGTAAATACAATTTATGTGTTTGAATAGCATCTATAGAAAACAAACGAAATGCAGGTGTGACGTATTTTCTTCCGTTCTTTACTTCTCAACTGACATTTTGCACAACGTTTTAGCATCAAGCACAACACGACGTTCAGCTCGTTCGCGTATGATGAATGAATCAGTCGACGGTGCGCATTTGCATGATTTCCATTTAGAATCGATGAATCCGATTCGATCTCGTCAAGCGCAAAACTACGAAACAAAAAACGATTTTGTCGAAAAATCTTCGTTGACAGATTACAGATATTGCTTTGATGCTCGTAAATAATTCTGAAATCTCTTGAAGAATCATTATTGATTTTCGCTTCTAGAGGGTAAACTGGTTTCGCTCGACGATGGCAAACCGTTTCGATTTAACGTTTGTCGTAATGACCATGATAATCAGACACGGTACCATGCAATTGGTCGAGCAATCGATGAATACATTTACGAACAACTCGAGGGTCTATATCATCTTAAAAGAATACAAATACCGGTATGTATTGATTATTCCAACAAGTGTCTTTGAGATACATCGATAAATATCGGATAGGAAAGTTTATAATTAGTAATTGTTTGTTTATTCAGATTGATGCAAGACCTGGTGAACCCACTGGTTTCTTTTTTGCCAGTGAAGATTTTCAGGACGCTGACAAACTTATGATTATTATTCATGGCACAGGAGTGGTACGAGCTGGTCAATGGTCACGAAAGTAGACGATTGTAAAACTGTTTTGAATTTCAACATATTTCTTTGTCAGATTGATCATCAATGAGAATATTCATGTTGGTTCACAATTTGAGTATATTCTGCATGCTAAACAACTTGGCTTCGCAGTTATTGTCACGAATACCAATCTGAATACGGACGAATCAACACGATTCATTCGTGTAAGTTTCATAGTAGTTCGTCTAAAATGTAATTGATGGTTGTGTTCAACCATGTGATGTGAGAAGATTAGAATGTCAGTCGCTGTCGAAACACTAGATAACTTTGACGTTTCGATAGTATCGATGGTAGGAAGTGAACACTTTCTGCGAGACTAAGCACAATCGTTATGATTATTATACACGGAAGAAATGCAGATGTTCTTTCGTTTTTATTTCGATGATGAGCCTGAAAGTTGAACAATCGATTTTCAGCAATGCATTGAAAAAACAGCGGTTTAATTACGAGAGCACAAGTAAAATATTTCAAGGATGCATTTCGAAATTGTCGAACAGTTTCCCGTCGTTTTCTCGGCAACACCCCATGTGCACGTTGGTAATTCGAAGGTGATATCTTTCGAGTTGTTAACTTCATTGTCGCTAGCATTGATCGTTTCTCCGATAGATTCACAAACTTGTTTGTTCTTAATCGATTATCATGAACAACATTGTTGAATGATTGATTGATAATAATATCTGTTCGCGTAATGAAAATACAAACTAATAATATTGAATGAATATCTTTGAATAAAAACATAAAAAGAAGATCAGTTTTATTCATAAGAACAAATTTCGCGCTTGCCGAGAACCTTAACATAAATTTTTGATCTGCTTGTAGGGTAGCGAGACTGCCGAACAGCATGGATGTTACGTATGGGAAAATTTTGTTCGACAAAGCGTAGCTCGTCACATCTGCATTGTTGCACATTCCTATGGCGGCGCTGTGATGTTAGAAATGGTTCGAGATATAAACATTGATCTCATCCATTATCGATGAATTTCCGTTTGCTAGGCATCACGATATACACCCGATTTCGACAAGCGTGTTTTCGCTGTGGTATTGACTGATTCGCCAATGAAATGTTATATAAAAAATGCACATCCCAATGTTTTGAAAGTCTTGAAAAAGGTTCGATTGATCGAAAGTATAATATCAATATCTGAAGATTGTTCTTTTAGAGAACAATAAATTGGGTAGCTAGCACAGCGAAAGTAAACACCAAGTTAGGCGATCGGGATTATGGATTGATACGATCAGCTGGTAATTAGATAAACTGCTAGACGAATAAAACATCTCGAAAAAATCTGTTCTTTAGGTCATACTTTACATGAATGGACATCGCATACTGCTTGTGTAGACATTTTCCGATTCATCACAGAAGCATTCCAACAAGTTCAACGATATAAACATTAAGCAAACGTAATTATTGTAGTGAAAACGCAAAATAATTGGATTAATTGATTTTTTTAAAATATAAATTTCAATTTTTTAATGCGATGTGATACCACACCAGGAATTGTCTTTTTTTTTACATAAAAAGTTGTGGCTTGCCGATGCGATTGTCTTAATCTACTCGAGAATACTCAATTAGGACATTCGACTCGCATACAACACATCGCGAAAAGTTAGAAATTACTTTTGAATACAATGAACGACAAACGATGAAAGAGATTTACGAAATAGGCAAAAAACACTGCAATACGATCAATTAACAGCGCCAATCAAAATCGTATTTTGTGCTTTCTTTCACAAATCACATACACATGCATTTCGATTCATATTGTTTTTTGTTCGGACAGTATTGACAAAATGCGATAATTAACGATTTTGATATGAGAAATACTATCTTTCGATCATCACCTGTATTTTATCAAGACTGGTAGATGCCAACAGATATATTAATCAAAAGTGAGAATGAATATCTATCTCTCTGTTATTCTACACTGGAGTATCGATTACAATTTGATTTGTTTCTAAAAATAACAACGTTATATGAGAAATTTATTTTTATTGACTGTATCGTTAATCGCTACTACGCAATTGAGACAAAACTTGCAGTGAAAAACGATTGAGCTTTTCGTTTATTCATAGATGGTTTTGGCATCAACTAAAGTTGCCCAACGGCCAGTGGTTGTAGGTGGTCGAGTGACTCGGGTTGAAGTAGCAGGACGGCGAGTTGTTGCAGCTGGTGTACTGCTACGTGGAGCTTGGGTTGACGATCCTGATGATCCTCCTAACGAGCGAATCATTAAACGGTGAGTTGTTGTTGGTGGTCGAGTGACCCGAGTTGAAGTAGCAGGGCGGCTAGTTGTTGCAGCTGGTGTGCTACTACGTGGAGCTTGCGTTGATGATCCTCCTAACGAGCGAATCATTGAACGGTGAGTGGTTGTAGGTGGTCGAGTGACCCGGGTTGAAGTAGCAGGACGGCTAGTTGTTGCAGCTGGTGTGCTACTACGTGGTGCTTGAGTTGATGGTCCTGATGATCCTCCTAACGAGCGAAGCATTGAACGACCAGTTGTAGCACCTGTACCTGGATTAGCAGTGCTACCGCCTGTGGGAGTAGGAACGGTAGTGCTGGCACCACTGGATGGTTGACTGGTTGTTGAGCTAGATTGTTTCAAACAACATTGACCGAATAAACCACCGAAATCAATTTGACATTCATGTGTGCTTGGGCATTGATGTTGTGCGAGACTACCGCAATTATAGCCAAGAAGAGGTTGATCGCAGAGATTACGTGATCGACGACATGTGCAATGTTGACAACCGTTAGCATCAACATCGAAACCATATGGACATGCTAACATACAGGTAACTGGTCGACATTGAAGAGCATTTGTGGCAGCAAAAAGAGCACAGGAGAGAGCAAAGAGAATAGCAATGGAATTCATTGTTGTCGTTCTAGTGGTATACTTTTGGAAAAAGCGATTGAATATCCGACAAAGACACGGATCTTATAGACTGCCAGTCGAATGCAATCATATGGTCAAATTCACAGACTGATAATATCCTGGGTTATTCATGATGATATTATTGTGATATTATTGACGTAAGAAGTGATATTAATTTTTGTCAAAATATGTTGTTGTTTCGAAAACAGTGGTGGGAGGAGACGCGAAATCATTCCTTAACTGGTTAGACTTTGACCCCCGAATAAGAAAAATCCTTCCAAATGATGACAAAGTTACCATCTATACGCTAAGAATCTTAACTGAAAGGGTTTAGAAACGTTCTCAATTATCGTAATGGAACGATGCATTGTTATTAAATAAAGCCGATTTAATTCATGGAATTGCCATTGAAACCATTTACGTAAACATTTCATCAACAAAGTATCGTTTTTCCTTCTTCTGATGATCACCCGCTAGTTTTATTCTGTTCACATCGATTCATAAATTATTCACGTAACTCTCCGAACTTCAATTCTCCACAGACATGTAATATATTTATTTGAGAAAATAAGATATCTCGATAAGATAATAATTTAATAGAAAANAATTATTTATCATTGAGTGCAACAGATAATTAGTGAGACTTATGCTTGTCTTTTTTACTTTTGTATGTGTGTGCGTGTGTATGCATGTCTATGTGCTCGTGTTTCTCTATGACGATATCGTACATATAACGACGATGACTTATATTTTGTGTGGCACCACATGCCAAAGAATCAGTAGTAGAAATGTATAGGGAGAATCGCAACAGCAGTAGTAGTAAAATAACAGAAAAGTCATATCGAAAAGTATTGACGATAGAAATAAGGGAAAAGAGAAAGCTGACAGAGGCGAGGGGGGGGGGGAGAAGGAGGGGAGGAGTTAGGCGAAAGAGAAAAAGAAAGAAATCAACTACTTGCATTGTACGTAATCAATCGTGCTATGGCACTATTGCAACTGGTAGTAGTGTCGAGAGAAATTTTCTCCTTCATTTCTCTCCTGCTCGTTTGATCATCCATATAATCACGATCACCCCAACAGTGTCTTGAACAATAATAATAAATAATAACAATAAATGAGGTGTACATCAGGAATGAGCAAAGTGAAAAGTAAGAGAAACACTATCACTATCAAAGTCACGCCTTGCCTGAAACAAAAGAAGGAAAGTTAGGTGAATATCATAACAAGGCCATCTGTCCAAACTGATAATCACCTAAACAATTAGGTTTTTCTTTTTTTTTATCCTCTTCTCTCTCTCTCTCTCTCTCTCGTTCGCTCTCTGTATGTATATAATCAGATTAGAGTAGGAACAGAAAAACTCGAGAAGTGACTGACCTTTTTCTTTATTCTCTGACATAGGCGCAAAGGCGGTGTCTTTGAATATGTCAAATTGTTTTTCTGACAATAGAGTAACAGAAGACAGTTAATTATATATATATGTATATATGACAAACCTACTTTTCTTACAAAACAACGTCTTTTAGATCAATCAATTTCTCCTTTATTCGTTTATTTTTCGTTTAGATTAAACAGAAGAAATCTTGAAAGAATGAAATCGCTATTCAATCAAATATTTTTAGTAATCAACAATCGAATGCTTTCGTCTACTCTGAAGTTCGACTTAACGTGAATATTTGCCTATCTATAGTGAATTAAAGCCAAGATGTTCAAATTATTTTTTATTATTTATTTGACTTTATTTCTTTTTCATTCAACATTATCCTCGTCATCGAATACATTAGTTTTCTCAGCTGGACCTAATTCATATGTTGCATTCGACTCTTGGCGTCCATGCCTTAACGGTTATGTACGTTTTGATATACGAACAACTGCACCTGATGGTACACTCGCGTACATCGACGATCGAGGAAAATTTGATTTTTTCTATTTGAAACTAATTGAAGGCAAACTACGTTTATTGTTTAATCTCGGCAATGATCGGCAAGCCTTAAATGTCAATATGAAAGTCAACGATGATCAATGGCATACAATTTTAATCAAACGTGATGGTCAGACAACCATTCTCAATGTTGACAATGGTCTAGCGAGTAATTCGACAGTTACTCATTCGGACGATCTCTACTTCGGTGGATCGACACACAACGAATATCAGGCATCGTCATTCTTTTTCGGAGGTATGTCTTCGGAGGAGAAAATATTCATATTAGTTGATTATATGTCATGAGATTTTCTAAGGTTATGTGGAAAAAAAGAAGCAGAATGTCAAAACAGATAAACAATCAAATTACTAATAACGATTGCATAGAGAAAATCAATGTTTACTAGAATAATCATCATTATTGAAGATGTCATAGGAGATCTATCCGTTTCATTAAAATTTCATTAATCCTTTTCTTGACAATAGCATGTCGATCGTTCTTTTCCTTCCGTTTGCTCTTTAATAATGTAAAATTTCTTCGTTTTAGGCATACCGGCTGCTCTAGAACGGCCGAGCAGTGGAAATCTATCATCATTTGATGTTTACATGCAACCGCGTTTTCGTGGTCGATTACGTAATATTCTCTATAAAAATTGTACGAATTCTCATCTTGTTCAGCCTGTTCACTTACAAATCTCAGGCGGAGTGTCCATAATACCCAACCAACATTGTTCAACTCGTTCATGTGGTGTTGGCCTTTGTTTAATCACCGATACCAATCACAAATGTTTATGTGATGAAACGGATTTCTATGGCGAACGTTGCGAACTAGAGCGTCGACCAAATGAACTGACATTCAATGGTAAAATCTCTTTGCAATATCATCTCGAACATCCGATCGTAAGTTCCAATGAAGTTATTCAATTTCACTTCAAAACCAATCATTACAATGCATTGTTATTCGAAATTGTCAAACAACAAATCTATATTAAAGTGAAGCAAGGACAAATCGTGATTGAATATCGTTTTAACAACCAATGGTATGAATCATCGACGAAAGATCTTTATCTCATTGATAATCAATGGCATTACGTTCAAATCAAACGAAAATATGGACAAGTGACCATGATGGTCGATGAGTATCATTTGCAATTAGAAAGTGATCTCAAAGTCGATCAATTGTTTAATTTTACAACAATTCTTCTCGGTGGAAACAACGATGAAACATCGGAGAAATTCTACGGCTGTCTGAAAGACATACGACTGATTTTCAATAATGATCACACACTTGACTTGAGTAAACACTTTCTGGACAAACACTCCCATGAAAACCAATTACGTTGTTCATCACTGTTAAATCCAATTGAATTCCTTGTTTCACCATCGTTTATTTCGGTAGAATTATCCGATCATATTCAGCAGATGTTGACTTATCAACTGAATATTTCCTTTCATTTCCAAACATACTCATCCGATGCCGTTTTGCTCTATGGAATCAACAAATTCAACGAAGATTTCCTTGGCTTAGATCTAATCGACGGATTTTTTTATCTGACGATCAATTTCAATCAAAAAACAGAACGACATGAATTATTTCAACAGCGTCTCAACGATGGACAAACACACGGAATATTTCTACATATTCAAGGTTATCAAGGTGGTTTGGAATTTAATATAACCGTCGACCATCGACAGAATAATCGTGTTGTTATTCGAAATTCTCCATCAAAAATTCATGTACGTATCATAATGCATTGGCAAGGTTAACGGAAATTTTCATCGAAGAAGATTAGCTGTCAGACGAGATTTCCGAAAGAAACCATCATTCGACTGAATGATGTATTCGATTTTTGATTAGAAATTATGGTGCTACTCTTTTTCTTGCTTATTGTATGTGACATCCAATGACAATTGAATTTTCGAAAATAATATTTTTAGTCGATCTAATCATATACATGTCAAAATGCAAGTAAATAACATATTATCCCGGCTAGCAAGCTCTCCGTTGAAAAATAAACAAAGGATATTGAGTTCAATTAGGTAGCCTTTGCCAGCAACCTTGATTTACCCATCTGGTGGAATTATGTTGAGCAAGGACAAACAAATTCTCATAGTCTTCAATGTTGATAGATGCATAATTAATCAAGACGAGCTACAAATTTGACTTCTCTATGCATGAATTCATTGATAATCAACTAGAAATCAAATCAGACATTGTTTTCTTTTCTAAACGCATCTTTATTTATATTTCAGTTACACACATTAACCATCGGTGGTATTAATCCTTCTCTGCAATGGCTACCGAACAATTATTGGGCAGGTATCATGCATCGTGGACTCATTGGCTGTTTCTCCGATCTGGAATTGAATAGTGAAGCAATTAATTTAACGAAATACATCAATTATACAAATACGAACTTAACACCGAAAAGTGGACCATGTTCAACATTCTTGTCGACGAAACGGGAATGTTTATGTGAACACGATGGAGAATGTCGATTGAACAACGGTGGAGCATGGTCATGCGATTGTTCCAAAACGGGTTATACTGGTCGAAGATGTGAACAAGCTACTTATTATATTGATCTCACGCCTATTCAAATCTTTGAGTTCAACACAAATTTGCAATGGAGTGAACAAATCAATGATATCGCATTTGGCTTACAAGTATGCTGACCTTCTACATAGAAGAGATTGACTCTGCGGTTTTTCATTCTAGGCAACACATGATCAGAGAAATTTCCTTCAATTTCGTCCTTGTCGGCAATCAATGGACTGTGATTCACTTGACTTCTCTATTCGCAATGGTCTATTACATATAACATTTGCTTTTACAAATCTAACGGTCAACATCACAGGTGAATATCCGTTCTTACTCGATAATCAATGGCACTATATTCACTTACATCGAATCGACACAAAATTATTGTTACATATCGATCATCACATTGCCCAACAGCGATTGAATCTGTTGGAAACGAATCTTTCATCTTCAACCATTTGGGTCGTTTTCAATGGAAATCAAGACATTCGAATCGAAGATTTACGTATCTACGATCAATCGATCAATGCACGACATTTCCTGAATAATCAATACGAACAAATCCAATTGAAACAGCGACCATGGAAACCTCTAAACTCGATCTCATTCTATGAGCAACAAGATTCTTATATCGCAGTACAATTAAACGATATCGTCTGTCAAGAGTGCGAATTAGATACGATATATTTCGATTTTCGCACGACAGAATTGACTGGTCTGATTCTCTTTGCAAATATCCAAACAGTCAATCCCAAAACTAGGTAAATAGATAACATCTGCTTTTGTCCGTCATCTGAGAAAAGAAAACCGAACAGAAGCTCACATCTCCTTCTCTTGAGAATAACATAGCTATGTAACAAATAGATTAAGAACAAGGATAATGACAAACATTATCTTCGAACATACGGGAATAATGAGAGAAAGATAAAAAAAAATGAAAGTTATGCTATGCAAGGTCAACATGAAACATTTTTATTGAATTTTTGCGTCTTATTTCAGTTATAACTTGGATAATACCATCGATAAAGATAGTCAATACTTAGTTATGAAACTAGTCGATGGTCAATTACATCTAATCGTACTTGTTGCTTCATTGAACGAAGATGAGGATGAAATACATCAAATTCAAACTCAAACACGATTAAATGATGGCCATTGGCATCATATATCCCTCTACCGTGCTAGTGATCATCATTTAGAGTTAATTATCGATTCACGAGTTTATTATCTCTTGACATCAATCTACTTCATGGATACAATCTATTTCGGCCGTCCAACGTTTCTCTCGTCCGATAGTTTACCATTTAATCATATCAATACATTGAAATTATGTTTAGCATCATTGACAATCAATGATCGAACGATAAACCTACGCGAATATATCAAAAGTAACTCACAGATTCGGAATGACTGCTTTCTCGATTCTCAGTGTCCATTGCGACATTGTATGAACACGGGTCGTTGTCAAGAACGAATTCAGTGTGATTGTAGACATACAAGTTTTCAAGGAGAATTTTGTACAGAATTACGTACGGGATATTTTTTTAATCAATACACATCGGGTTTGATATTCGATCAACCATATCGATCGGATAAGAAGTTTCTGAATTACAAAATCTCGTTCGGGATTGTTTCTAAAATGGTGACAGGGGAGATAATACGTGTCAGTGATCAACTACAAATAGAATTATATCGTGGATATATACGAATAAAGTTTGCTGGAAATATTAACAATGATAACGAATTTATTCAAAATGATCTTGTTATTAATGATGGTCATTATCATTTGGTACAAATTGAATATAATACTACAGGTTATTTACAACTGAGTGTTGATAATAGGAAAACTTTCAAAGAATTAACTTATCGATTATCGTTTGAGAAGCCATTACTATTACTCATCGGACAAAATCCTGCATTCAGATATGGATTTCAGGTAGGAAATATTGAATTGTAATTGGATGGAGGATCGAACTGATTCCAATGTGTCTATTCTTTGTTAGGGTCAACTCTACGGACTCGAATCCGATATCTATTCAGTATTCGATTTGATCTCTTCAACATTCCAACGAATATCATATTCACCAAATCAAGATAAAATATTGTCTCCGACGACTTCATTGATTATTCATTCATCATTTCATCCTGAAACTGATTCGGTCCCTCCACTTTGTTCATCTCAGTCATATGATGATATATGCATAGTTCCATCTGATACGAGTTCAAGTCCATTGTTGTATCCTAATATAACTCTTTTGACTTCTCTACCAATGAATAAGTCCATGTCAGTACGATTATCTAGTCGCTATTCATCAAAATTTTCGACATTATCTACTACTCTATCGACGTTTTATTCACATACGAACCTTTCAACATCAATACCATCGAACTATACATCGAATTCAACTTTATATCCAGATAACCCACCATTGATTGTCTCGATTCGAACTCCATTTACAAGACGATTTCGTAAACTATTTCATTGGCAGAATCTATGGGTCATTTTAGTACCTGTCCTTTGTGGCATCGTCCTTTGTATCATGTTTGCTGTATTTGGTTTTATAAAATATCGACGAAAAGATGTCGGCGTTTACGAAGTTGAAGAAGCTCAACGTTTTCGCCCACTGATTGTTGAATTGTCTCCATCGCCCGGTGAACATACTCAAGACAATCTTCATTCAGCAGTCATCCGAACTTCTCTATCAACATCATCAACGGCACATTCATCAAAAAAAGACGTTGGCCATTCACAGAAAAAACGTCGACGAAAGAAATCGTCTTTGACTTCAGCGAACGAACAGCGCGAATTTTATATCTGAATCTTCACTTCTTCGTCGTCTCTACTCTGTTTTCTACATAATTACTTCTTATACTCTATTTTTGTTTGTTTGTTTGTTTCATTTTGAACATAACAGATCTAGACTAGATGCAAAGAATATGATATGTGAATGTTGTATAAACAATGAGATCATTGATTGACTTACGTCGAAATTATTGATGAGCAGTTAATTAGGACTGACACATTTTTCCTATCAATCATTTTACCATACAGACGGGGTGATAAATAATCTTCGACAAGACAAAACATAACGTTAGACTATCGGATACGTCGATAAATCAGAGGGATTTCGATCGAACTTTTTTAACCTGAGGAGAACTCGAATTTCTATGTCAAATAAGAAATGCAAGAACTAGAACGGTAAGTCTACTTCATTTTAACATAATTACACTATTTTAGAATCATTATGCAAGATTAAATCAGAATGGCCTAGTTGTATTTCGATCAGCAGTTTTTCGATGTTTTTGATGTTACTGACATGTCAATCACTTCAAAAGTACAAGTGATAATCTGACATTTACTTATGCAGAAGACATTTTTTTCGCCATTTGTAAATTAGCGCCATCTATAAGTACAACAAGTGAAAAGTTCACCGAGAAATTTTGAATTTTATGTCGAATTGCTCATTGTAAAATAGATGCGTGAATTTTCTCACAATTTCCATGGATTGAAATGATTCGAAAATACTGTAAAAAAAGTCATGTGAATAAAAACCTCATCCAAGACTAAAGATCCAACGCGCATGTAGATTCCGACATCGATTGTCCCGCCTCATGTAATCATAGTTATCTTTGAAATATGTTATATACTAATAAACAGAACATGAATCATGTTTTTGTCTGCCGGTTTTCTCCGTATAAACAAGTCTTCAGACCAATGGATTTTTGCGTAAACGAAGTGAGATGAATAACAGGTTTTTTCGAAACAATACACAATCACGCTTTGCGATTGATTATTGTTCCATCAATGTATGACTAAGTCGAGAATAGAATGTCATTCGTAAACATGAGTAACCTTATCAGATTTTACTCGTGTCCTTTTTTTTTTATATTTGTACTTCGTCAATAGAAAATCTTTTCTCTTCAGCAACATCTACTTTTTTAGATTTATTATGTATTTTAAAACCTCTTTACTATCCTATACATCTTTATGCATATAGATTATTGTTATTAGTAGAATTTTATAGAGGACAAAAAAAAACATTCGATTAGAATGGGTCAAACACTATCTGGTAAATACTTTTCGGACATAATTCGTTTAGTTATGCTAAGATTTTCTTTTTTTAGAACCGGTTACTTCGAAAGATTCTCAAAAAGTCGAAAATCATATCTATTCAGTTGGAAGTAGTAGTATGCAAGGATGGCGTATTAGTAAGTTCGATATGTAAAATCGCAGTTTGATATTCATTACATGTCTGCCTCTGTTTTTAGACATGGAAGACGCACATACACATATTTTGACGCTTCCCGAAGACCCAACATGTGCATTTCTCGCCGTTTATGATGGACATGGAGGTAAAACGATGTCACATGACGAACTTATTCAAATAGTTTGCTGTTTTTATTCGTAGGAGCAAAAGTTGCCCAACATTCATGTAAACATCTTCATACTCGCATTGCTAATCAACCAGAATTTAGTGCGTTGATTCAATTAAGCTAGATATCTATTTGATTTCTGTTTAGAAGAGGGAAATATCGAAGCAGCTATTCGAAAAGGTTATTTGGAATTCGATAAAGAAATGTCCGTGGATGAAGATATGAGAGAAGATCTCGCGGGTACAACAGCTATTTGTGTTCTAGTTAAAGATCAAAAACTTTATTGTGTAAGTCTATAAAAGCTTTTCTAAAAAGCAGCGAAGAGACATTGTCCTATGTTTCAGGGCAATGTTGGTGATAGCCGAGCAATCGCATCAGTGAATGGAAATGTAGAGACATTATCTGTTGATCATAAGCCAAACAATGATGACGAAAGAAAACGAATCACAGCTGCTGGAGGATGGGTAGAATTCAATCGTGTCAATGGTAGGGAAAGAATTTTGATTTTGATGAATTGAGACATTTTTTTTTTGCATAGGTAATTTGGCATTGTCGCGAGCACTTGGTGACTTTATATTCAAACGCAATACGGACAAACGAGCGGAAGAACAAGTTGTAACAGGTAAGAAAAATGATCAAATCAGTTTTTAGTCACTAAATTATTTAGCTGCGCCGGATGTAACTGTAAAAACCGTTACTGAAGATTGGGAATTCATTTTACTTGCATGTGATGGTATTTGGGACGTACTGAGTAATGAAGAAGTATTGAAATTTGTTCGAGCCCGTGTCGCTCAACAAATGCCACCAGAAACGGTAAACAAACACCGACAGATTTTCTTCAGGCGAATATGTTTTCACTCTCCCTTATTTAGATCTGTGAGGAGTTAATGACGCGTTGTTTAGCGCCAAATTGTCAAATGGGTGGTCTGGGTTGTGATAATATGACAGTTGTATTATGTCTTCTACTTCATGGACAACCGTACTCCGTCCTGGCCAGTAAATGTTCAAAGAATCTAGCAAATGGTGATGTGTCATCCTCGTCGTCGTCATCGCCTACTGAAACAATCCCATCGAAATGAAGATGAGTTCATTGAATTCAGTAATTGAACAATTTTCGTTTTCTTTTTCATACTTGATAATATCGCTGTGTTCCATCATTTTTGAACAGTATGACCTACTGTTATCGGTGACGAGATCAAAAAACAACCACAAAATCCGACTCTCTTTTTTTTTTCTTTTCTTTTTCTTTATCTATTTCTTTCCTCCAAAAAAATGAAAGACTATTGATGTATAGGTATGCATCAGTGGTGTAAATTAATTTATATGCAAACAAGCGCGCGTGTGTGTGTATTCTGTATGACTATTATATATATAAATATATATACATGAGAGACATCGACTGTTGATTTCCAGGAACATAATAAAGAGAAAAAAGAATGATGTTGACTTTAACCGGATTTTGTTTTTTCCTTTATTCGACGGTTGATTAAAATTGAAAATAGAACACACACACACACACATATTCATATTTCTCAGTGTGCCGTTCGAGAGTATGTGCGTGTCTTTTGAGTTGCAAGAGCGTGTGTGTGTGTGCGCTTGAAGTTTCAAACTTCCCTTCTTTCCGACGCGCATGTGTTTCTATCTGCTTCTTTTGTTCATTGTGTGATAAATAACTGAAACAAATCACGAACTAAATGAAGACAATCTTTGCTCCAAAGTTCATGAATTAATTATATGCACTAATAATAAGATTACCCAGACTAGAATGTTTTACTTCAAGATAACGAATAACAAAAGAAAAGATCAATCAAATTTAGATAAGAGGAGAATAATGCTGAGCTTTTGTTTCGTATGATCATCACCGGGCCGGAACAGAGTGACTGTAATCTGAATTGAGATATATCAGGTTACATGAAAGATTCGGATGTTAAATATAGTTTTTGAAAGCCTTTTAATTGTATGTATTCATACAATAAATGATTCCTTTCATGAATATAAAAGTTAGCTGATTATCATTGGAGCATGTTCTTTGTCTTTATATGGAGAATTAATTCGTATTATCCAGGATAACAGGCAAATATGTTAAGATCCAGTAATCATGTGGTATTGTCTTGGAAAACAAGTACTTAAACTCTGATTATGGAGAGTGTGTGTATGAATTTAGCAGTTTGATTGGTGATTTTCATCGTTTTTTATTTTTGATAATACAAAACACAAAATAGTAAAAACAACCAATAGATTTCTTCCGTATGACCACAATTTTGATTAGTTTTAATCGTCTTCGACTTGAACTGTACCACGTATGCGACCCATACGAAGAGCAGCAATGAGACCAGCCTAGAGAGGATTAGATATCGATCGTAAAATTGATAAGTCAGGGAAAATCAAACAAACCTTGTGACCAGGTGGAGTATATCCACTGACTATTGATGGTTGCCACCACCGAAAGAATGGTCGACAGACTAAAAATCGAACAGTTCTGATGGATGCATAGAGAGATTGATAAATACTGCTTACACTCATAGCAATACCGCGAACTCGAGGGCATTATTTTCGTTTCACTTTATATTTATGATTTAATTCCCCAGTTTTCAAGATTGATTTATCAATACGCCCTCTACCAGCGATAATGCCTACATCATAAAAAAACCTGCATATCTTTTATTCTAGTAGATTCAGTTGTATCTATATGTATACATATATGCCTTCAGTAAAAGCCTCTAGATATCGTTTCTTGATCATTCAACGTGTCAGAAACAAGAATTGGAGTATCGTTCATCATGTAGCATATATGTATTGAAAAAGAATTCTGCGTTATATGGATACATACCGATCATAAAGCTATTTGTTGATGATCGAATTTTCTTGGCACCTTCAGGATTGTGTGAAACTATAGTAGGTTAATTACCTAAAAAAGAAAAACGAAGATGGTTGAATAGAAATGTTGAACTCAGAAAGCTTTTAGTCATCAAAATATAGATCAGTAGTCGAAACAACAGCTTAGAAAAATCTCATCATAGTTCAGACACTTACCACCAGGTGCTTCCGCTAATTTACCACGATCACCAGTTGTTTGTTCAATTTGGCAACGATCGTACCTTCTGGCATTTGTCTTAACAGCATTGCATTACCAATGGTCAAATGCAGCTATTAAAGAGAATAGCATTTCGAATTAGTTAATGCAAAAAAACACATTCTCAGTCGTTCGTTTACCTTTTTTACCGTAGTGAATAAATTGTCCAGTGTACATGTCTTCAGCAGCAATTAATAATTCTTTTCGTCTTTTATATCGGTATGGGTCACGGAAGTGTACAAATGCAAGCGGAGCACCACGACCTGCATCGGGGATAATATCCGACGAAATCTGGTACTACTTGGACCATCCGAAGCGTTGTTGAATTACTTTAACAACATCGTGTAAATAGCCCTGCTGTTCAGCATAGTCCAAGGCACGCAATTTAGCTGGACCCTTGCGATGGAAAGTGGTCGATATGCTTGTTCACTGAGCGAGAATGACTCGATTCATCATATCCAAAAGATAGAATCGATAGTTCGATAGCCGAAAAAAACCCGATTTCTAGTCTCTTCTTTCGAAACAGTGGAGGAAATTCATGCATTGGCTACTATCGATTACTGTTCAGTTTCGGCCTCTATCATCGATATAATTTCGAAAATTCCAATGAACTTTTCAGTTCATTTATTAAAAGAAATTTCCTGTATCGAAAATAAATTAAAATATAAGATTTTTTCTTGAATAAAACGAACTACGAGCGCTACTATCGGCAAATAAAGAAAATCAACCAATCAGAAAATTCGATATATATTCTAATGACGTTTATTTGTTTTGCTTATAGATGAAAGCCATAACTAAGAGTTTCCGTTATGTATGATCACGAATATTCCCAATTCTACTCACAAATAATAACGAGATTGTATTTTTTTCTCTAATTTGACAAACTCGTACTGTTATTTACTCACGGATTAAATCTAACCTATAGTTAGTTAGTATTAAAGTTTTGAATTGCTTTCACAAGAAAGGAGCATTTTTTTTTATCAATCGGATAGCCTTCTCCATAATCGTCCGCTGTTTAGTTCATTTCAGATTAGTCAAATTACCGGTTCAAATGCTTCAATCTCGTGGTGTTTCGGATTTGCTCGCTGCCGAAAAGAAAGCACAGGAAATCATCGAAGAAGCTCGCAAACGTACGTTCTGCTATTAAACTTTTTTTCTTCCTAATTATTCGCCTTGCCGTACTCTAGGTAAAAACAAACGTATCAAAGATGCCCAAAACGAAGCAAAACATGAAATCGAACAATTTAAAGGCGAACGCGAACGACGATACAAAGGATTAGAGCAACAAGTAAGCTCTCATTCCTCATTGACAGTTGTCAAAAATGTTTCTTGCGCTTCTCTCGATAGCAAATGGGCAATCGAACTCAAATGACCGAAGAATCGAATAAAGAAACTCAAACGCAAATAGCTGCATTAAAATCTCAATACGATACAAACAAACAAGATCTCCTCCAACGTATAATCACACTTGTGTGTGATATAAAACCGGAGACACACATCAATGCCCGTCTGGAATAAAATACAATACGAACATTCTCATTTTCTTGGTGTTTCCTTTTTGTACTCATTCCAATATATCAACCTATCGTCTTTATGTATTTATTCATTCTATTTCACAGTTTTATTACTAGAGAACAATTGTCTGTGTCTTTCGTAATATATACATATATATCTCTGTTTTATCATAAACTAAATATATAGATCTATTTCATTTAATCAATGACGAAAACAAAAGTTTGAACATAAAAAAGATGCGAATATTGTGTTGTTCGCAATGAAGAACTCTTTTCGAATATCTCTTCATCTTTTTCTCTTCTACATTATTATTCATTTGTCTGCTGTTTATGGCAATCAAGTATGCATTCTAATTGCCCATTATAGAAATGATCTTTTCGAGTTTGAAGGCTATTCATTTGTACTACATTTTTTGCGCCACAAGCGACATTCATTTAAAAAACCTTAGTAAACAAGTATTCATCAGATTGTACTTTGCTATCGACTTCAAACGATCTGTTTAGATGTTATAATCTTGCAAAATCCACGCTAGTCCGTACAACAGAAACTTTGTGTACCGGTGTATTTGTCAAACGAATACTTTTTTCAGTGACTCAGCAGAAGATAAAATAGAATTCAGTTGGGAAATATCATATTTATGTATAACTGGCTTCTTTGTTATTAATGTCTTTCTTTGAACGAAAGCACAATGATAGAGAATAAAATACAAACACACAGACAAACAAACAAACATGAGCACACGTACAAACGAAAAATAACAACAACAACATCAACAATAGACAACATTGACTAAAAATATTTTCCAATTTTTCATTCAGAAGGCGGTCGTTCCATTCCATCCATTGAGAAAATACTGTGGGCTGTCGACAATCACCGACGTATGATGATACGGATGCTCCGTTGGATAATTTGTTGCTACATAGCAATTGTTTGTTGACGAATAAAGATCCATTTTATCGGACGGTAGGTTCGTTCCGTAGTCCATGTGAGATAGATGATGATTTTGAAGAGAATGGTCATTATCAAGACGAACTCGTTTATTATTTACATCACACAGTGATAATGTTTCACTTGTCGAACTGCGTTTGTTTTGCTGAGATATTAGTGGAGTTTGGATAACTTGTTTCTTCTTATCTATCATAGTTGAAGGATGTTGTTGTTGTTGTTGTTTTGAAGGAACCATTTTCGATAAATGAAAATCATTGGTTGAGATTGGTTGTTGCTCATAGTAAAGTGAATTGTACATTGATAATGAAGAAGATTTGTTATCATCATCTAGATTTGCATATGTAGGAAATGTTGACGGTGTGGTATGTGAAGTTAAGGATGGATAAAGAGGATAGTTGCAATAGTTCGTTTGAGGATGATGATGAGGATTGTAATAAATGTCGTCTGAATTATAAGATGTACTAGTCGGTATCGATGAATAATCATCCGAAATTATGGTTGGTGAAGGAATCAACTCCGTTTTAGTCGATAGTTTTGGTGAGGATTTACGTTGTTTCATTGCACGATTAGTTTTCAGAACTTTATTTATACATATTCGATTGGTTGTAGATGAAGATGAAGAATTCAAACTTGTATTCGTCGATGAACACTTATCATTATCACCTGAATTGGCAGCTAAAGTCGCTAGAGCTTGTACCGAACGCATATAGTCCGAAGGCGTTTTCTCTACTTGATCGATAGACAAATGTAAATGTTTCGCTTCCACATCGCTTGAAAAAGCGAAAAGACAAATTGATGGAATTTGAAACAAATCAAAACTGAACTTTACCTCAAAGCGTGATTTACACTAACGATCACTTCTGGTCGAGACGAACGACTATTGTGAACAAGTGTTGCGTAGCTTTGTACTAAATAGAAGAATTTGTATGCAATGACATTTATTCGTGGAATTGCAGCTTACTCCATATCCAACCACCATTTCGCGAAAGAAAACGATAGTATCGAGTTGTTACTTGTCCTTTTGTAAGTACTAGAATATATAACGCAAATGAGAATATTCAGTGAACAGCAAAATAGATTCAGTTTGCTTCTTTTCTAGTGAATGATAGACATAGTAGACTCAATTCGTCTCCTTCTATCACGAAATATTTGAAAACGAACAGACAGCAGAAGAAAGAAATCATTACGTACAAACTTGATGAGCCCATCTTAATGCCATTAAATCTTGTGTATGTACATAATGATATAAGGTTCTGTCGACCAGGTCTTGTGGTTCGTATCCGGTGATTTGCGCCACTCTATCAAAACAACGAAAGTAAATAGATCGATATCAACCTATACTCTTTTAAAATGATTGAATTACACACCTCGAATCAAGAAATAAGAGTTTCAAATCTTGCCCGGCACGAAACATGAACATATTGGAATAAAGACGTATCTCCGTGATTGAACAACTCGGCAGAGAGTACCCATATGCAATAAGCCCAACATTTTGATAGCAATTTTCATTATTAGTCGTTGATCCATAACATGATAATGTATCAAGATTAAATTGTTTGACTTTTAAATATCCAGAGCAGTGAATAACTTTAAATCCACTTGCCGTTAAGCCAGCATTTCGCTTGGCCAGTACACATTTCATACGTATGAAAAAGGAACGTTCGATTTCATATTCGCCATTCGCACATATGGTTTGACTATATGATGGCAATGGCGCTGTTAACACTGCGGCCATCTCTTCGTGATCAATCGGATGAATATATTCATAAATCGAATTTCCTGTTAATTCGACTTGCGATAAACCAAGATGTGTGGATGCTGTTTCGGATATGTACATGATTTTACCATCGGGACTGACAACAAATAGGAATCCATCTAAAATCTAAAGTTCACAAAGGAAAAGAAACAGAATGACAGGAGATTCGTTGTTCTTTTTCACTAACTTGAGTCAATTGAGAATTGACTTCACGTTCGATTGCTGTTTGGGTGAGAGAACGTGAACCCCAGGCATTGCCGAGTCCTACGAACAAAGAAATACTACACATGTAGATCAAACTGATGACATCGATTCGATTTCGACGAATTTTTCTGTCCGAGAAATATAATCCAATAGAAATTGAGGAAAATATCTATGCAAAGAGGAATGATGTATTTCAATTACACAGTGAATAATACCAATGTTCATTTTAGTTCAACTAGAAGATTCATCATCAACGTGTGAAATCTGATTTGAATTTATTTTTATATTGAAATATGAAACATAAATACTGGCATCATTATTGAGAAAAAAACTCTTCGGATGAGATAAGAAAGAGAGAAAGATTGATTTCAAACTAAACTGATCAAAGTTAGAACGTAGAGAGAAGAAAATATCTTCGAACATCAAGCTGATCTTTTCTGCTATTTTTAATATAAAACAGCTCGGATAGAATTGTCATGCACAGCAAATAAACTTTTGCCATTTTAATTGTTCCTTTTCCTTCGGTCTAGAAGAGCGAATCATTTGTAAAGCAACAGAACTCTCTTCTCTTCTCTCTTCTTCAAATGAACTAGAACATGATTTGATGAATGAATATGTGAAAACTGTCGATCTAGTGTCAATGATGTCATCTTAGCAGTAAAGACGATAGTGAGATGTTCTAGATCATTAGATTACCTTCGGGTACAATAGCACGCATTTTGAGATAGCTTGTCGTGAGGCGAATAACCGATGCTTTATCCAATTGATCAGTAATTGCATGTGGTAAAGGTAAAAGCTTGGCCAGTTCGAAAAACTCGGCATTCTCTTTCTCCCGTCGACTTCGCGCTGCATTCTTGGACTTTTCTTTCATTGCTTCGATTCTTAAAGTAGAAAAATAAATGTATTTATACCTAAACATGAAAAACAAAGATCATTTTTGAAAACTCGTTTATGACTCTTCAATTAATTCACAATTGTCTACGAACATTCAAACATCTACACACGTTTGCTTCTTTTTACCCTAGTAAATCGTGCCGATTTGTTTCATTGTCATCTGAGAAATGAATTTCTTGTTTAATGAGAAAAGACGAGAGAAAGGTCTCAGGAAAGAAATTAGCATTGTTAACTAAAAAAAATCGACATTCTACTTAACGGATCCATCTCATTTGACACGCGCATCTCTGTACATCATTTTCTATTTTTATTTCAAAGCGGCAATCATCTCATCAACATTGCCTACTAATTAGTTCAATTTTAGAAAGAATCTAATGCCATACATGTTCATTTCAATCAAAGACTCACTTACCTTAAAGTAGTAAATAATCAATAAAAACAAGAACAAGAAGAACAACAACAACAACGGTTTATTAATCCGCTGATGTTGCTGCTATGCTTATAACGCATATGAAACGTCTCTTTTTCTCTTTTTCTTCTTTCTATATTCATCAGTGAGATGATGTCCGCTATGCACTTATACTCGCATTTCTATTCGCCGACTTAATTCTTCTCATTTTTCTCTTCTTTTTCTTTCTTTCATAAATCTCATTCATATGATATACCAACAAGCTTAATAATACCAATTTATGAGGAGAATAGTTGTCAATAATCTCTCGAATTGTTTAGGTCGGAGGAACAACGATAACGAAAACTGCAAACCATAATGACAATAATAATAATAATAAATTGATCAGACTCTATTTAGGATCTAATAGGCCGAAATAAAACTTTAAATGTGATTGACCTTCGAAATCGTATATCTTTATCATTTGAGCGTGACCAAATCTCGACATTTTCTTCTTTCTGATAAGTTTCATATGAAGACGAATAGCTTCTTTGCCTGCTCTATCTCGTTCTTACTCTTGATTGATTTGTCTAACAAGAAAAAAAGAAGAAGAAGAAGAAGAAGAGACCATGTACTACGTTAACTTTTCTCACTTCAATTGATTGTATATCCTTTTCTTCTCTTTCAAACACGCGGAGAAAAAGAGGAATTAGAGTGAGATTAACACGAGATACACCTCAACAGGTTCAAATACAAAAGAAAGCGGTAGTTGAATCTCTACACAAACGTCTTGTTTTTTTTTATTGAATTACTTGTAACGCAGTTGGCTAATGAAATTGAATCGAGTCGATTCAAAGATATATCTACAGCTACACAAAAGCTAGATCGAATAAAGGGTATTTTGCATATATTGCTAATTCTTGTTATTTTGACATTAACACATCAGAGAATGTTTGTCAATTGAAAAAGCGATAGGGAAAGGAAGAGAAGGAGAGCTACCTGTGTAGGGGAACGATGAAAAGCAAATATAATCTTTCTGTGAAAAGAGACATTGATCAATCGAGCTAGTCTTAGACAAAGAAAAAAGTCAACATTATTATTAAACTTCTGATCAAGCAAGCAATATACATAGGTGGTACGCGTGTCAGACAAAATACTTCATCTTTTTTTATAGGACGAACGTTTTAAGGTTTGAAATTTGCATGTGAATCATATGGCCGAGTGCAAAATATACGAATAGAAGAGACTATGAAAGTGCACATGTTGGTTAAAGTTATGAGAACTGTCGTTTTGGTTCATAAGGTTTTGTTTGAAGTTTGTAAATAAAACAACGAAATTTTCAGAATTGGAAAAAGTCAGACGATTGATAACAGGTCAAAGACAGGCGATAAAGCTCGTTTTTGAAAGCTGATTCCTTCAATCTCGTAAACTCAATAGTTCTCTTTCAAAATTTGCTTTTATTCATTATATACAAAGTGTAGCATATTCTACGAATTTGACTTGATAGTTCAAACTAAAATGTGTTGTATGTGCTTTGATCAACTCATTAAATCTAATAGCGATATCGACAAGAGATGGCGCTTGTCGTTCATCTTGTATGTCATATTGATAAATCCTGAAGAGGGACCCACCTATCGACATATTTCACACGAATATTGTAGTTAACTTTTCCATGATATTCAGTACACTCGAATAATATCTGCTCTCGTATCTATTATATCTAAAGACCACGTTATCGGAAAAGCGATTATTCTCGTGTGACAGGATACTAAAACATTCCTGCCATGACTGACGAGTTATATCAATCGTAGATCTATACTTGCCAATAGACATTCGGCATTAGTTTCTAGTTTGTGTTTAAACTACTATGGGAAATGAAGGTCGTAGTGCTGAAAACATATTCGATTTCACTTATTCTATAATACATTATAGCTCCTACAGAATTTCAAAAAGAAAAGATATCACAACATCTCAAAGTCACGTTCTGTTTTTTTTCATTCATTCCTCATACAATTACGATTCGAAGTAATTCCCATTATGAACACTGCGTTCGAAATTTAATCGAATATTTCACACTAACCTCTACCTCAAGTTTTGAACTTCTATGAAGCAAATTCATCATACGAGATATTCCACTTTGAAAGCAATACAAACACTGGACTATATCTAAGTTCTAATAGATATCTTTAAAGACAAAACCTATTCTTGAACTCTCACAAGCATTTGCAAAGTATTCATCCATCTATTCTTCTTCACTGCATTGTAATCATGTCTAGCATACCTGTCAAAATCATTTGTCGTCATATTTGTATCGCCGTCCATATGCACTTGTTGAATAAATGTATGATTTTGTATCATATTTTCATTGTTAATATCGATCATTGATGATATTCGTATAAATTGAAAGCAAATCGAATAATCTTGAAAAGAACTCGCTTGGACACCAGGTTTTTCTGTCTAGATATGTTGTGTATAGAATTCAGTCACATCATCATCATGTTCAAGTAAACAACCGTTTGTCGTTGCCTTTTGTCTGTCTTGTCGATTCGTTCGCTGATTGCTCGTTTTACTTGTACGATAAATATTCTTCTCCACGAATCACGTTCGACAAAGTTCAACGTCTCGTTCTTTTTTTGCTACCGTTTAGTTTTTATTTTACCGACGCTAAAGAGAAAAAAAAGAGACAATTGATCTATTAGTTTATTCTCTTCTCTCTCTCTCTCTCTCTCTCTCTCTATCGATTTCGTTATTCTTTGTTAACAGTGATGGATAATGGAGAGAAAGAGAGAGAGAGAGAGCTTACATTACTCGCCGACATTACTAATGACAAATATTTAATCTCTTGTGCGAAGGAGGAGTATACACATATAAACGATGAACGTAGGAGAAAGAGGAAAAAAATCGATTTTCTACCAATCGAATTGAAATCGATCTGAATAAGAAACGATCACCAATCATTTTCTCATACGACGCTTGATATTTGTTCAGTTTAATCAAGAATTCTGTCTAGTTTAGTAATGATTAGATCATAAAAGACTTGAATTCATTTGAAGCAATATCTTTTTCTCACAATTTGCTGTTAGAAAATATTATCAATGATAGTGGTACTTCATAGAATTTTTTGCTTGTTCCCATTTATTCTTTTGTTGATTGAACATGACAAAATCTCGATGGATATTGCTTACCTATTTGAAGAAAAAAAAATAGACGGACAGAGAAAATTGTTCGTTCTCGCAGTAGCTCGATTCTTTAGATGTTGAATGTGAAATGAGAAACTATGTTTGTTAATCATTTACGAACGCCAGCAACAATGTCAATGCTGCCATCCTATTGTATAGCAGACAAGGATATGTTACACAAACCGGAAGAAGTTTAAACATCCGTTTTTTCTTATTTAAAACAATAGATCGATTGAAAGCTAATATGAACAACGCTTCTTCACACCTTTTGGATATTTATCAACAATCAAGGCATACAGTGATATGTATATAGAAACATATACATGAGAAAAACTGAACGTAATGCAGTTGTAATTATCGAGTATATGACATCGAATCAAGATTGATGGTTTTGTTTTCACTTTCGAAATCACAGTGTTAAGGTTATCAGTAAGTAAATGGCATTTAGAGAAAGAAATCGATCGGCTGCAGTTTGTGAGTCAAGGAACTATCGAATGATTTATTAGGAATGAATATATAACTTTCTGTCTGAGCATGTATAGAGAATGATTCGATAGAAATGAGCAAATATAGTTCGTTACTAAGTGTATTCGAGCTTCTACAACTCCTGTATATTGTACCGTCGGCTGTGAAAATATATGACGGATACTTTAATTGAATCTATACGAAAAACTGTATACTGTTGATTACACATCTGAATAATTAGTCCAGTCTAGTTTTCTATTAGAGATTAATGATGAACGAATTGTTTGATCATGGTTTCGCATGTATGAGAGGTCTATTAACGTCCATCTATCGAACAAGCTTTTGCTTTCGCAAAGAACTGCTAGTGCCTATTAGACAAGAATCTGATTGGTAGATGATCTGTCCAGTCGCGGCACATCATCAACATCCCGAATTTGTTGTTTGTTTTCTTCTTTCTCACTGCTACTCTATCTTTTATTGCTTATTTGTTTGAAATATAGAATAATCAAACATGCAGTATTGGCGTTTAGCTGGTTTAAAGTTCGTTCTATTAAGTCTCATTCATATCTAATTGATAATCTTCCATATGTGTCTATTTAGCTACATTCAATTTTCCGCAGTATGTGCACGAACATTACGTCGATGTTTGAAGTCATCCGTAGCTAAAGATGCCTTGAAACGCGAAGAATCCTATGTTCGTGTTAATAAGTGGCAAGGTGGAAAACTCACCGATCAAGTTTATCCTGCTAGTAAGAAAATTCTTTTTCTAACGAGCTCTCTCTCTCACATCAATGTTTTATTTTTCTTTCTCATTCATAGAAACGGAACAGTCATCATAGAATAGTTCTCATTTTGGTTTTCAGTAGTTACATAGATACAAATCTATTGTTCTCCTAATGGTGCAGTGATTTTTTAACACACAGTCCTCGGTTTTCTGTAGTAGACAAATAAAACACCATCATCCCGTATGATTCTCTTTGAATGATACTCAAAGGAACGCTTTTCGTCGCTCCAGGCAAAGAAATAAATAAGCAAGTACCATATTTAGTCTGAGACTCTTTCATAAAAATATTAGATTTATTGATTGTATTCTTGTTTATATGGTGCGATAGTTCATTATTTCTCAGTGCGAGAGGTAGCAAAAGGAAGTTCAGAGGGTCAACATGACAATTAAATCGCGTGAATACTGATATTTACTAATAAAAAAATGACACGACGAAGTACAACTGGATCCGGAACTCTAGCGGTTCAAATAGAAGATCTTTGCCAACTATCGTAACATTTGCCTTGAACATAGATCGCGTGATCACTTTCCTGGAAAGTCAAAAGGATTTTCAGACGAAGAAGTGACATACAATGTTGTAGTGCATATTAGGCGGCATACTGGGAGTATGTTGCATCTAGAGCAAAGTGAATACCTGTAATGGATATTCTCGGAGATATAATTTCAATCGTAAATAATAATTTCTATGTTAAAAAATTCAGGTGAGTCGAGAGCTTGAAAAAGAACATGTTATTAATGACAAAAGACATACTGATTAATTGAACGGACGACTGAATATATCCATCTCATAAATAACGTTCCACTGAGCTTCGTTCTGATGTATGGGCTGAATCTGAGGGTGTGTGAGGTAGTATTTTTATCTGAATTTCAATCTCAGCAATAAACCGGAGCAACATCAGGTCATGTCAAGCTTTTAATTCAATCATTTTCTCGTCAGCTTCTTTTCCTGTGTTGCATTACGATATCTTTGAATTCGATTTCAAATCTAAGACTAATGTATCTTTCAATTTTATATTTACATCTTTATTATTTTCTTTTTTCAAATATGAAATAAAATGAAAATATCCAGATTGTATTTTCTCTAATAAAATAATTCACATGAAAAGAAAAGAAAAACGCTCATATCATTTATTTAATTTTGCATGATCCTACTATGTTCCGTCGTGTATCGACGTTTTGTCGCTCTTTTCACCATATTAGGAAACAACAGTCGTTTAAACGCAGTACGAAATTCGACATTAAATATCGTGTAGATCAGTGGATTAACAGCACTATTGACATAGCCAAGCCAAAGTATCAGTGTTGGAACTGGTTCTTTGATGTACAGATGCATATCAATGAATGCTGATAGGATATAAACAACGAAAAATGGTAACCAACAAAGAAGAAACACACTAATGATAATGCCAAGTGTTCGTGAAAGACGACGTTCTCTGGTCAAAGAGATTTTCTGTCGTTCATGCATTAATGTGGCTAAACTTTTGCCTTTGAACAAGGTCTTTCGATTGTTTTCTCTTGACGGGAATTTTAACGGAAAATATTTGAGTTTTCTTGTCACTTTACCTGTTTGAATCGACACACTTTGCTGTTGAATTTCTTCATGTGTCTCACAGATACATTCAGGAGCGGATACTGGACTTGGCGTTGGAATCGTTGAACCGTTGTTTTTTGTCAGAGAATCACCAACTAGATTAAAAAATTGATTAGGAAACGATCACAGTATGGAAAGATATTCTAAAGTCGATAAGGAATTTTCTATAAATAGTCCTGATAAGCAAGAGATAGTTTCGAGATGTTTATCATTTTTCTTTTGGTAAAAAATAGGAGTTGGATAGGTTTTTTTTAGCGGGAAGCAATTGCGTTGGAGAAAAGAATTTTTCGAGGAAATAGTTGACTCACTCATCGGAAACATTCGATTTTCATCAGTATTAATTATTAAAGAATTTTGTGAATGATTCGTTTCCGATTGTTGAGATTGAACACCATTGTTATTTATCAACGTGTTGTTATTATCATTGTGACTAAGACTAGACGATGCAACTGTTTTAACATATTCTTGTTGGAGACATAACATTTCTTCCATATCATCGCTACTGAAATTCTCGACTCCACTCCCATTTGAAGCTGAATATTTCAAAAGGCAAGCTGTGGGATTAATAATTGGTGAACTTAAACTTTGATGAATCGTATGTTGAAATTGTTCGTTTAAACAACTCGTCATCGTACTACTTTTGTGTGCACGAGTGGCATTGGCTAATTTCTCGGCAGCTAAATGAAACGCATAATCAAAATCGGCCTTCGCTAGTCGATAAACAAACCTTTGGCGCGTTCACGAAAACGTTTTCTTGTTTCGATGAAAACTTCAGCATAGACCACAGTCATAATTAAGGCAGGAATATAGAATGAACCACAAGCAGAATAGATAACATAAGCTTTATTAGTGGACAATTCACACTGTTGTAGTTCATTAAAATTTTGTAATTCATGTGAGCCGAGAATAGTAGCGATGATCGGCGGGATAGATATTGTTGCCGACAATGCCCAAACGATGAAAATCATCAGAAGTACACGTCGTATGGTACGTTGCCGTGCGTACTGTATCGGATCACTGATAGCCCAATAGCGATCCAGCTAAGAAAAAGATTCAATTATCTTCAATTGAGCTCTTCAAGTCAGAACTTACCGCTATAGCACAAAGATTCAATATTGATGAAGTACAGAGAAGGACATCAGAGGTGACAAATATTTGACAGAAAATTTGTCCTAAAGAAAGACATTTCAATTAGTGATTTGGAACTGGAAGATGCTAATTAGAAACGTTTTACCGAATATCCATCGTTTGAGTATATGGGTAACAATATGAAATGGCATTACTATGACAGCAACTAACATATCGGAGAACGCCAGCGAAACAATGAAAAAGTTTTGTACAGTTCGTAGTGGTCGAAATGTAAAGACAGAGAGAATAACAAGAATATTACCACATATGCACAGAATAACAATAGTTGAAAGAACAAATACCAAGGGTAACATTTCGCTCACTGACATGGACTTTTGGATAGCTGCTACTGCTGTTGCTGTGCTACTGCTCGTCGTTGTCGTCGATAGATTGATTCGATTGAACGGCGAAGGTAAAACATTTGGCATGTTTACATTCGTAGATGATATTAAATACCAATCGATTGTATTGTTAGGAAGCGGTAAAAGAATATGATCATGATCGACATAAAGATCCGATGGCAATAGTCCTTGATGAGGATATGAGTTTGTGAGTGGCACTGGAAAATGAAATAAAAATATGAGACTAGTGTACTTTTGTTTCTATCAGTATATTAAAAGCTTTCTCAGACGCCTATCTATTTTTTTGCAAAATATATTTTATTTTCCTGAAAGAATTCTAGTAAAGAAAACTTCGGAAGATGCCTCCTCCTTATTTTCCGCTCCGTACTCTTTGTGCACATTCATATCCGGCCACTTTCCCACCTATCGTCAACAACTCCTGATTTTTTCTTTCTCTCCCTCTCTCTCTTGTTTAACAGCGAGGAAAATAATAACAAGAACAGCAGCAGCTAATGACCCCACCTTTTTTCGTTGAGAACCACTCATGTAATCAACTCGTTTTGTTCTTCTAATAGAAGAAAAAGCGAAGGAAAGTTTTTCATTCAATACATTCAATATTAAGTAATCAACACTCGCTAATACTTCTTTTTTTCATTGGATATGAGAAGGTCACAATCACTTGTCACGACTAACACGCTTACAAAGAAAAAAATCGAAGAGTATTGTCACACTTATAAACGGACTATATTAACGAGGAAAACGATATAGGATGAACCTTTGGGAACTGGGAATGAATCATATTCATTGTGCCATTGACTTCGTCTCCCACTTGGTCGCTAGACATGGGAATACTATCGATATACGAGTATGATTCAAATCGATAATCATTTCTCACCACGATGGATTCTCCGTTTGCTTTCTCTTTCCGTTTCTCTTACTTCCTATGCAGAAGAATAATACGCCGATCATGATATATCTTTCGACAATGGTTTTTATTTCTGGCATTCTATTTGAATAAATTCGATAAAATATTTATTTAGGCCTTATTAAATAATTATGTCGAAGATCTTTTTTCTTGTCTCGAGTAGGCGTTACATCGTTGGAAATAATCAAAGAGTCAAGTTTGTTTAATGCGAATGTACACATCGTACGGTAACGATGAAATACACTGCAGTAACGGACATGCATCGATTGCAACATTTCAAAGTCAATACTTACACACAGAGAAGTTCGATTAACGGATGTTTTTCTTTGTATGAATGTCTGCAAATCAAATATCTATTGTCAATAAGGATTAGGTTTGAATATGAAAACAACGTATTGCATCGTGACAGATATTTAATTACATGTCGTTTCAAACTCTGATGAATTACTTACATACGAATTCCTATCATCGTTCGCCTTGTTAACTGAATCAACGGCTCGATATTGAAAAAGAGAAAGAACTTACAATAATGGCTGGAATTAAATGAGAACGATAATAAGTGAACAATCCAATAATCTGAATGCTTATGAAAAAAGGGCAAAACGATAGTATTCGTATGATTTCTTCGTTCAGTTTTCTCGATCTCTACGAGACGAGTTATCCGATAAGAAAAAGAGAGAAGAAGAGGAAGACGGCAACGAAGACGAAGAATAAAGAGATGAATGTTGTCTTGATTTTGCTATTGTTTACACTATGTAAATAAGAATTGTAACTTCGTCGTCCTGACTTAATTACGCACGAATAAGAAATGTTAATAATTTGTTTATTGTACTATTCATCTGTGTTCCATCGACAAATCTCTCTTCTTCCATACGACGTGCGAACCAAAATAAATCTCTTTGATAATATTATTCATTCTCTTTACAAGATTATGACAGACAAGAGGAAGAAAACCTACTCAATTCATTAACTTTTAACTAATAAATACCGTTAATAAAAACAACAAACAAATCGAGATAATTGGATTCATTGGAACAGAAAGCTGTTTCTCCGCTTCCATCGTACTTACTGTTGAACTGATCAATTATTGAGATTTCAGTCGACCATAAGATCACGTATGAAGTCCATGCTGGAATTCTAAAACAAAGACGACAATTTACTCGGAAATTCTATTCAGAGCTAGACTTTATCAAAGCTCATCTTCTTTTCATTGAAGAACTACAATCTTTCTAGTCACGATTTTCCTATGATAATGTATTGACAAAATTCAATTCATTGAAAGAATGTGTCGATGGAAGCACTAACCCGCCCTTGCTACATAATAAAACTAATTATAGAAAATCCTCTTGCTCTAAACGTTTTTCATCGACTTTTTAAAAGTATAGATTAGTGATACCAAAATACTTGAGTTCAATGATATTTCTGAGCAAAATTAGCACTGGCTTACCTCTAGCTGCACGATAGGCACATAATTAAACGTGGGATTTTCTAAAAGAGCTGTTTTTCATGGATATACATGTGTTTTGTTCTACATCGATCATAAATTTCCTAAGAAATGAGTAAATATTCTCCTTATCGTCTTATAGAACTTGAAGACTGTCATGCAATGACCGATAATTGCTTTAGCATTCTACTTTGAGTTTTTACATTTTTATAGTTCTTTGCCTTTGTCAATTTAGAGATTTTCCTTTCTCCTTCTCCCTCCCTATTTCTCTTGTTTGTTTTTTGATCATGATGAAATTACTTTCGACATCCTGAGATATAGACATTAAAAGAAAAGATGGCATACGAAACATCATTGATGACATCGACTAACTAATGTCATTGGCGAGTAACGAGAGAAAACTGCACATGATCGATTTATTGTTACGTTCGTTATTCTTTCACAATTGTCTAACTGAAGAGTACATGACTTCATAGACACTAGCCGAGATCTTTTTTTGATTGAGGTCGTTATTCTGTTTATTTTTGTGAATTACCATTTGAATCACATCGTACATGACCTAAATATAATTGTAAAAGGATTTTAGTTTCGATTAATAAATCATTATCGTTTTTCTCTCTCTCAAATGAATACGTTTATTTAAATATGACAAATGTCATGGACGATTATCCTTTTGAACATACTCATTTAATATGAACGAGTGAAATGTTTAGTACATTAGAATTTTATCTATGATTGACAATTGCGCAGAGGTCAAGAGCAGTTATTTTTACATATTTCTAATCAATATTACTTAGACGAGAGGACCAGTGTGGGGGATTAGAGAGACTGACAATGATTATCGAGAAGGAAATGAAGAAAAGAGATCAACTTTTGATGATTTCTATTCATAGATTTCGATGGTTCAATAAGCCTTAAGTAATTTGTTCATAACGATAGCAACTAGTACCATAGTCGAGATATCATCGACAGACTTCAAATTACTGGAAAAAGTCTTCTTCGACACCCTAAAATGTCATGTTTTTCGTCTGATCATTTGGTAATATTCATCAATATTCATATTTCTATCATTATTAATAGTACTCATATTCTGCTGAGGATATACTTTATATGAAGGTCTGACTTACGTATGAAAGTAATCAAAAGACAGTCCTGTCATCTTCTCTGCTTAGCAAACTTGCCTGTAGGATTCACTTTCCAATATGAAATTCTCATGCAATTGATGTTTTTCCTTGTGATCGATTAGACATCGGATGAGAATAATTAGCTTTCCCTGGATTGTAATTATTAAAAATAGAAAGCATAGAACAAATCATTGATTGGAACGAATAATTGTGACGGATGACCCATGACTTTATTTGCATTTGCTTTTGACTGAAAATATAACTTGGGTACACTCAACATAGAACAGAAAATATTTGCCTCTTTTGTAGTTCATTGTATAAAAAAAATTCTGCAAGATTAATATGGTTGCATAGCTACGTGTAAAACTCGATGCACATATTGAGTATTTCTAAGTGCTGGAGTCGTTTGCTGTCCGCTGTACCTAAAAGAATCATATTACCTCGATAACAGTCAATAATGTTTTACTCAAAAATGATAATTCACAGCTGTAACACATGCGACAAGTATTAGCGTTATAAAGTGAATAAAGCATCGCATAACAATGAGTATAAAGCTATAAAGTATCAATGAACGATAAGAATTTCATAATTTCACAATTCGACCGGGCTCTCTTTCCCTTTCTTTTTAAGTACATGGACTATTTGTCTAAGATATGGAAAAAATGGTTGAATTAAACAAGTAAATTAATTAATGAATCAGAAACAGAAAGAACATGTATTCTACAATAACAGTCTGCTTGTGACGCTTATCCTTTTGGAGACATGCTCGCATCGATCTATTCAAATCGCTCGCCTATTCATCGCATAGCCTCTTTAAAAGTTGAGTACATCTAAATGTAACTGACAATGTGATTTGCGTTCAGAATAGCGTCAGCAATTCAGTAATAAATCCTATTTAATTGAAAGAGTGGATAATGAATAGTTTTATTCAAGTAGATATACTTGTTGTACAATGTAGAAAGCAGAACAATCATACCAAAATGAAAGATGTCGCTAGTGAGATGATTGAGGGTGATACCTAGGCAATATTCTTCTTATGGCAACGTTTACACTTTTAGCATCAGACAGACTGATCCACAGAGCATAGGTCGAATCTTTTTATGACAATCCTGACAAAGCGTTCTTAAATAATTAATTGTGTTTATCAATGTCGGATTCTGAAGGTGAAACATACGAAAAACAAGTCAAAATCGTTCTCGTAGGCGATGGTAGTTCCGGCAAGGTAAAACATAATTCGTCATTTGATGGATTAAATCTAGGACATTCTAGACATCCATCTCCGAGCGATTTTCAAAAGATTCCTTTAATCGTGATTACAATCAAACCTTAGGAATTGATTATTATTTGAAACGTATCAACCTGACACGTAATTACTTTGCATATTTCCTTCATGAATTGAAATCATTGTTGTAGGAAGCTACAATGTAACACTAGCAGTCAACGATGTCGGTGGCCAAACACTAGGCGGTGCCATGTTAGACAAATACATATTTGGTGCAGATGTAAGTTTTCATTTTCTGTATTCATGTCTGAAATCCAAGACATCTCTTGTTGCAGATTGTTTTACTTGTTTATGATATAACAAATTTACAAAGTTTTGAAAATCTCGATGATTGGTATCACACAGTAACGAAATACTGTGCTAGTCGGAAGCCCCTATTCGCACTCGTTGGTAATAAAAGTAAGTTTCTATTTCAAAGAAGTCTGTCTATGAATTTATCATCGGATTCATTCAGGTGATCTCGAACATTTACGTACTGTTAAAGCTGAACGGCACCAACGTTTTGCTAAAGAACATGATATGTTATCATATTTTGTTTCTGCGAAGACAGGTGAATCGGTGGAAAATCTCTTTCGACAAGTGACTGCACATTTGATGCATATCGTTCTTCCGAAGAATGACTATGACGCAACACGTGTTATTACTGCTCCGATTGTCCGACAAGAACAAAATAACGCATCAACACCTGCGAAAGCATCTCCGACGACAAATACGACACGTACATCAATTTGTAGCTTACAATGACATCGAATCGTGCAATTTATTTGGAAGAATGTATGAATTTGTTTATTTTAAAAGAGATTCTCAAACGGAAAATAATGAATGAATGTCCTTACAGCTTGTTGGGTTTGTTTTTCTTCTTAAAATACTTGTATTTTCTCGTATTGAACCAGAAATAAAATTTACACAAAAGTGTTTTCTTCATTCTGCTCTGTTTCTCGTCATCGGAGTGGTTAGTAATCACGAGTTTTTGCAGCTTTTCTCATTTCCAAAGAAGAATTAACTAATATATTAGCACTTCTATCTTTGAAATAAGAAGATTACTTACGGATATGCCCAAGTTCAATAGAATGCCGTTCTTCTTTTAATGTCAAGCCCGTATGCTTTCCTTCTTTAACAAAGTTATAATTATTATTAATTAACTTAAACCGCTTGAAGGAAATCTCTCGAAACATTCCTGATGATCTGTAAGATGAGATGCATTGTATTGTATGGGAAAGATTCTCATTATCAATGCAAGGATCACGTTTCAATCCTACATTGCAAAAGAGAAAAACCGCATATTCTTTCTCTACCAGTCAACTATGTTTGGATTTCATTTTCATGTGTTAATGAAAAAAGATTGATCTGTGAGATGATCATGAACTTGATTCTAGCTTCGATGACGTACACTGCATATGTAACTTGATCGTCGACGAGCGACATCATTAGTTTAGGTCGATCTCAATAGGTGATTATGAGGCAATCAAAGATAATATTCTTTTTTTTCTCCTTGTATAACTGCGTGACGTTCAGTTCAGATGGTTTGATTTGATCATGCCAGTAAATGGATATGAATTTAATGCAAACGACGAGACTAGGTAGAGAACATATTTTTCGAGATGAATGATAGACATTTTTTCCCGTTAAGTTGGTACTTTGGTCAACTATCTCGATCGGAAACGAATGATCTGTTACATGATCAAGAACCTGGAACATTTCTTATTCGTGATTCGGCAACCTTGAAAGGTGATTTTGTACTCTGTGTTCGGTATGACGACTAACTGGATAGGAAAGACTAGAAAAAATCGTTGTTTCGCTTGATTCTAGGGAAGGTACGAAAACAATGCATTATATAATCAATAAAATCGAAGAAGACGGCGAAACACCACGTTATAAAATTGGTAGCAACTTTTTTGATAGTATGCCTACACTTCTTCGACATTACACAACCCATTATCTTGATACTACTCAATTGCTTAAACCAGTACGACTTTATTTCACCTTCTTACCAACATATCATCCATCCTTCACCCATTCTTTTAGCTTCCAAAACCAAATACGTTAACAACTAGTCAAAATCAAAGAGATAGTATATCATCTTCTATCACCAATGTTGATGTAAGTTCAATGTTGTGTACCTGTGGAAACTTCTTTTCTATTTTTAGACGAGTTTAAGTGAAGAATCTACAAAGGTCGACAGTCCATGTCATCATTCATCCAAAGTGATATCTCAAGTATGTATTTATCCTTGATTGAAAGGAAAAAACATTGTTTTTCCTTAGGCGACTCTTATCTTACCCGCAAAAGCTCGTGTTATTAAGGATCGCATCCCAAGTCTCTATGATAAACGCTCACTACGTCTACAAATAGGTGATCTGCTAATTGTGAATCGTGCTGAAAGTAATGGTCAATGTGAAGGCACATTAATCAAAACAAATCGTCAGGGAACGTTTCCATTCACTTATGTGGAATTTCTCGATGATGAGAATGAACAAACAAGTCATCAGCTATGAATTCTTTTCGTAATATTTAATCCTCTCTCTTGCATGATTTTTCTGTAAAATAAAATAAAATCAAGCAGTTGAAGCCTAAAACAATCATATTTTCTCTTTTTTTTGTATATGTACTTTGATTTCTAGTCAATTCTTTATTGAATCATGGAGGAAGGAATAAAAATAATCTTTTCGAATTCTTGCTTGCAAAAATACATGCTTAAAGTTTAGCATTAACATGGATAGCAATCATTGGATCTTCTTCAGTGTTGGATATGCTGATTGATGCACGTCCATCAGGTTGAACAGTGATTGTTTTACCTGTGCAACGACCTTGGTCAAGATTACCAGAGATGACATCACAGTATTGACCACCGGGTAAACCAGTTTGGAACCATTGATTAAGACCGTAGTCATCGTTGTTAATAACAATGAAAGCTACAATGTACGATCATGTTTGGCACTTCTTCGGATGTTATTTGACTTACCTTTGTTGCCGCGCGAATAAGCAATTTGATTTTCACCATTATCCCACCAGTTTTGAACGCTTTGACCAGCAGCTGTGTTACGGAAACGAACCATGTTGTAAATTTGTCGCCAACGATGTTCACAAATCCAACCGCCACCACATGACAAATCACTATGCAGCAGAGAACTCTTTTGCATATTTTGCTATTTTCAGAAAGTGTACTCACGCATTAATGGGAACACTGTTCGTGTTACCATTGCTATCTGAGGGTGGGCCTTGAGCATCGTTATTGCGATTGAAGTTGTAACTTGACATGATTACAGGATATCCTAAAGGAATGCTTCGTTTTGTGCTAATAGATCGGACTAAATAAATGATTTACCATAGGGCCAAGCAAGCATAAAAGCTGTAGCGATTTTGTAGAGACGGCTATCGAAGAATGTCAAAATATCACCACCAGCACCTATTCAATAACAAAATATTCGTTTCATACTAGAAAAGAAAAGAGCGTGCGAAGCGAACCATGTCCACGTTGATTATCGTGATTGTCAACCATGATTTGAGCATCACCATCAGGAATCATACCCCAACCTAGATGAATCATGTATATAAAAATACTCGTTACATGAATTGTGGTTTTGAGATTTACCTGTGCCAAAGTTGTTCAAATATTTAAGTTTTTGTCCGTATTTCTTTCGTACGACTTCGCTTAAGAATTTTCCGTAGCGAAATTCGGATACACGAGCCATCCATGTGTAGTCTGTATTTTTAATTGGTTCACCACCGAGATCAATAACTTCAAAGTAGATGAATGGTCGTTTGCTTTCACCAAAGACTCTGGAAAAATAGCAAAAGAAAATGTTGAAAAAGAAGTAAAGACTCTTTACTTTGCGGGTAAGTTGTTAAGTTTGCCAATCACTTTGTTTAAATCGTTAGGCCACATATGTTTAGCAGCATCAACACGGAAACCAGCAACGCCAAAGCTGATTAAACGGTTCATGTACTCGACAATTTTATTCACAACATAATCTTTGGATAATAACAAATCTGGTAAGCCAACTAATTTACAGTTTCTCACCTAGAAATAAAACAAAAGGTAATTTTTATTAGAACAAAAATCGGAAATAGGATTTACTTGTTCAGGATCGTTATAGTTCTCAATATTTCCACTACCACTCTTACATACCGAATCGCCAAAATCTTTCAAAAATCAACTAGTAGCTCAAAGTAATTCAAACGAATCTTCTTTTACCCCATGCACTGAATGGAACAGTTGGATAATCTTTCGATCCGGTGTTATATGAAGTACCTATACACCAAATATATTCCCTTTCTAACATTCACAATGTCTCCAGATTCAACGAACTTACCAGCAGTACCAAGATTTCCACCAGCAGCCATGTGATTGATAACAGCATCAACATAGATACTAAACGATGTACGAATCTAACTTTTCGTTTTGCTTCTCTCATTCCGATCTTACCGAACACCGACGTTATTACATCGGTTGACCATATCAATGAATTCGGCTTCGGTACCACTTCTTGATTGTAACTTGTAACTCACAGGTTGATAACGTTCATACCATGGTCGATTATTGAGAATAGCATGTTCGTTGGGTGGTGAAATCTGTAAAATGTCGTACTAGGAACATGAGGACTGAAGAGATTGATTTACCTGAACACCTGAGAATCCATATGGTCCGAGAAATCGTTCGCATTCGTTGGCAATATCTGCCCATTTCCATTCGAATAAATGAACAGCTGTGTGACGATTTGGTGCAGAGTTTGGATCCTTAGTTGCATGAATGGAATTCACGAAAAGACAGGCAAGTACTGGAAAAACGAGAGCAACTTGCATCTTGGAACTTGAAAAAAAGAATAATGGAATTAATTGCTTACTCTATTTTTATTATATAGGATCATTCGTAAACTGATACGAATGGTTTAGTAGAGAAGCAGGCAGCTGCTCAGGGTGTGGTAGGATTAGCGTAAAAAAGGCGAACTTGCGAGAAGGTATCATTAATATAACATCGATTTTGCTTGGAGATTAAATTTTATTCTAAATAATATTTTTATCACCGAAAAGAATCACAATAATTGTTTTCCATCGAAAGCACTTTTTTGTTGAGCTGCACCATTTGATAGTGCTTACGTATCCAAATTTTCTTTGTTATATCCGATGACATTCGATATAATGAAAAAAAAACAAAATTTAGAAGCAAAACAGTATGGCGTTGTTATCAAATCGTCAGTGAATAATACATGTACCAAAAAAAGTGCGTTGTCATTGTTTATTATTATTGATTTTTTTTTCAAGAAATCGTGCTACAAATCATTGAGAAAACCATTCCTTCGGTGTTCGATAGGAAACGGTATATTTTCCAATCACGATTCAATCAAATTCTTATTAACAAAACACAAGAAAGATTAGATTTTAATGTAGTTTGCAACGATTCTATGAACAGTTGTTCTTTTTTTTTGTTTTCAAACAAGAAAAATTCTTATTCTACTCATTTTGATTAATTCATCAGACACATCTATTTGATAAAATTTTCCAAGTGTCTGTCATATCCCTGATGAATAAGACGAGCCGTTCTTTCCATTGTTATTATATACATCCAATAGCAAATGAGAGAATTGCTTTTCTCATCATGTCATCTCTATCAATCAGCAGTATAATACACATTTGAATCAAAAGGCCGATAATACGATTGTAACATCATCATCAGTCGTTTTCCACTCAATCAAGTTTCTCGAATGACATACGAGCAAATCGATTCTTTGCTCTTTTATTCATTTCAAAAACGGATATACTTGAAAAACTAGTTCCACGTTCATCAACCGACCAGCTCTACTTATTGAAAACACAAATCAACGAGTTATCCATTATAAACACGGCATCAGGTGTATATGGGAGACATACTTGTATATGGCGTGTCTCAGCTGGATGTCTCTCTCGTTTTTTTCATTCCCGGAGTGTGTGTATACCGTTAATGAAATTGAATATACGAAAGCAAATTGACACTGATTCGATTGCGTGTATTGATACTAGTTTTAGTCATCATCGGAAGTGATAACTATAGCGAACGCACAGCGAGAAATCATCTCCTGTCCAGCTATGGCAGTTCCGTTGATGACACCATCTCCACCTGCCTATCGATATGAAAATATTGTCGCCATCACTCAGNGTGCTGATATTTCACTTCCTCAACCATCACCATCACTAGTTCATCATCCAAATTACCCAATGTTACTTGCTGCTCAACAACAATTATATGATTACGCTGTCCGTCTTCGATTCGGAGGAGGACCTCCTCCAACACCACTACCACCCGGATCAGCAACATTAGCTGTCGGACCTGGTCCACATCATCCATCATTCAGTGATCCACATTCCCTCTATGCGTTTCATCAACGACATGATCCTCGACTACGTTGTCTTCTACGTGAAGAACCCAAGCCGTCCTATTCCTATATTGGATTGATTGCCATGGCCATTCTAAGTTCACCCGAACGAAAACTCGTTCTGTCGGATATTTATCAATGGATACTAGATCATTATGCTTATTTTCGTGCACGAGGTCCCGGATGGCGAAATTCAATTCGACACAATCTTTCTTTGAATGACTGTTTTATTAAAGCTGGTCGTTCAGCAAATGGCAAAGGCCACTATTGGAGTATCCATCCAGCTAATCTAGCTGATTTCAGTAGTGGAGATTTTCGACGACGGCGAGCACAAAGACGTGTCCGGAAGAGTATGGGCTTATCCGTACCTGAGGACGAAGAAGACGACGACGAAACCTTACCGACGAACGGAGCTGACCATCATTTCGAACAGTAAGTGGATTTGAGCACAAGATATTTCTTTTTCAATTAGACCATATTTTTTCTCTTCTAGTCCCCTAACGAAATATCCATCTGATGAATTACGTCCGAATGTAGCTGATCTCTCACTGTCTTCATCATCATCTTCTTCAACAACAACGACAGCAAACAGTACAGGTGTAACACCAAACTTATTACAACGATATTTTGATGACATGCAACGTGTTGTTGCCTCTCGACTAGAACAGCAACAACAGCAGCATAATCAACAACATCATAATTCACAATTATTCTTTCCATCACCGCCACAATCACTAAACACAAGTCGAAATCCAAATATAACAACGACAAATACATCAACACCACTTCGGCCACTATCAACTACACAAAATCAACGAAAACGTTGCTTCGATGTCGATAGTCTTCTAGCACCTGAACAACCATGTTTAATCAAACGACATAAATCGAGTTTCGATGGTAATGAAGATATTTGTAGTCCAGATTCCAAGTCAGACGGTTCAACCGATACAGACATATCAGCATGAATATGTGTATGTGTATATTTATATATATAACTAAATATGTGTGTATTGTGTTTCTTATGTCTTACTCAATAATAATTTCTTTCGTTTTCCTCTTTTACTCTGTCTCTCTCTCTCGTTCTCCTTTTCTCTGACGAGTGCAATCATAGACCGGCTGGTGCAATCTCTTTTTTTTTCATCATTCTCAGCAGGATTCATACACGCACACACCAATCAAGACGGTTGACGAAGAAAAAAAAAGTGACGATTGCTATCGCGTCTTCTGTTCTTTCTCTTCATCGTCTTCAATTGACCTATACACGTATGCATACTAATCGTATGCATTAGACGTATGTTACCTATCTCATCTTTTCTCTCTCTCTTTTCCTATTGAATTTTACTTGTACATTAACACTCTATTATCAGTCTATAGAAATAATTCATTCAATGACTTCTGTTCTGCTTATTGAGAGATATAAGATGAAGAGAAACGAACAATATTGACACATTTTGTTTTTAACAATAATGACTGACAAGGTGTGAATATACACGAGCCCGGCATGGGTGAGAATTATTGGATCATCAATCAAAAGAGACGACAAAGATTTTTCTCGCTTTCAATTCTATAAATACACATGCAACATCGTCAATGACTAGAAGAAATATTTTTCAGTTTCTTTCTCATCTATTTGTATCAGAGATCTTTTCTACAATCCTTTCTTTTTTAATACGATTAATTCTCGATTAAAAATATATCTATTTCCGTCTTCATCAGTCCATTATTGAATCAAACAATATTTTTCTTTGTGCATCTATAATATAATAAGATATTTAGCATTATAGATCAGTAAAAATACATTTATAAATAAATAATCGAATTCATGGCACTTTGCATATATTAAATATTCAACAATCTATATATACATGCATCATCCTTTCCGTATGATTCAATATCTGTTTGACAAAATAAGAATAGTATTCTCTTTTGTATCCAAAAGATCTGGATTGAAAATTGTCTTGTGGCCATGTTCTCCTCGCTTATAACGGATCTACGATGTACTGGAAGGAATCAACAGATCTATTTAAAACATGTTCGTGATATCTTTACTGTCATTATGATCCTGTTTCGAATATGAAAATAACGATTCGCCATATCTGATAAAGCTTTTATTGAAATATAAGCAGTACAACGAAATGATGACTTGTATATTTTCCATATATACAGACAAGCAAAAAACATGATGTATATATTATGGTGTAGAATGTGAGTTCACCAAAAAAATTAGCGGATTTAAATGAAAGTGTTATTCGCATATATATTGAGCTTAAATAATATTGAGAAAAAAATACGAATGTGACTAGTAGCGAGAACAGGTAGGTTAATGATCACCGAGATAAAGATAAAAACCAAGTGTTTTATTGCACGAAGTTGAATTATATTTTGTTATTTATCTGCGGATGGGCCATACCGACGGGTAAGTCGAGGTATTGGCGATTCATAAGGACTAAGACGACGAGTGAAATAATCATTATCATTCGTTTGACTTGGGTGTATTTTGATACTTTGAAAAAGAGCGTTTTCATTTAATAATTGTTCTTGTCGTTTATTCCGTGTTGTATTCAATGGAACAGTCGAAGGATCAGTATTCCGCGCGTAACGTCGTTCGACTTCGTCAGGATCGAGATTAGCAAATTGATTTTGATAATTATAATTCAATGGTGATGGCGAATGAAAATCATTTTGAGCATTACGATTACTACCTGACAGTGGTAGATTTGCTACTTGAGGAAATTGAACTTCTTCTCGAATGGGATCTGGAACATAGTAAACATTTCTCTCTTCGTCATAACGTGCTTTTTCAATAATCTTATCGAGATTGCTGTAATTACAATTACGTTCCATAACATTACTCATCTTTTCAAGCATTGTACGAAAGAGAAGCAGTTGCTTTTCTTGAGCACGCATTATATTGAAATAATTCTGACGATCGCTTTCGAATTCGTGTAGTAAGTCTTCATTATCCTGTTTTAAGCGTTTATTTTCCAAACGTAATTGTTCGAGTTGTTTAGATGTGAAGTGCAACTAAAATGAAAAGGATGTATTTGTTCTTTATGAAGCAAGAACAAACCTCTTCTTGAGCATTGTCAAAAACGCGCATCATAACATCATCATCATTGCTTTCGATTGCTTTCGTCAATAACTTGCGTTGTTCTTGTTTTTCACGCATTTCATTCAATCTCTTCTTTCGTTTCTTTTTCTGTTCTTCATTGTTAATTTCTTCTCCACCGATCAGTTTATGTTCTAATTCGTATAACCGTTTCAGTTTTTCTTCGGAATTCATTGCTCTTGGTGTACGATCATTTTCATCACTGGATTGTTTACCAGATCTACCTTTCTTCTTCTCCTTACTCGGAGCAGTCTGTTTGTTCAAAGCGTTGATATCACCATCATATTGCTCTTTCAAATCATTGTATCTGTGTTGCAATTCTTGATTAGTTAAACGTTCTTCTTCGCATTGTCGACGCAATTCTGCTGCTTCACGTTCGAATTCCGTGCGCAATCTTTCCTTTTCTTTTTCGATTTCTTCATCGTATTTGATCTGCGAACCCTTAACATATGAAGCATATTTGCATAAAAATGATTCGACATTCCTTTTTACTCATTCTATCCTGTAACGAACACATTTACTTTTTCACAGCTAGGATAAGATAAGAGTACTGCAAATGGCTTCCAAAACGAAGAAAGTCTACGTTTCGTACAATCAATTGCATGATATCATCCAACAAACGGTTCAACGAACGAAACTTTGTGAAAAATTTTCCCCAACACTTCTCATTGCTATAAGTGCAGGTGGTTTTCTACCGGCAAGGATCCTACGAAATATTCTCAAAGGAGAGCTCGGTGGTAAATCATTACCTATTCAAACTATTGGCTTATGTTTGTATGAAAGCGAATCAAATGAAATCTACAAAACTCAATGGATTGCAACCGATCTCGTTAATGATCCGTTAGCAATATCATTCAGTGGTCAACGGATTCTTATTATTGATGAAGTCGATGAAACGCGCACAACGTTAAGCTATGCTGTAAGTGAACTTGAAAAAGATATTGCTAAACAGCGAGCAACATCAAGTCAAGAATGGATTGAACCCAAATTAGGCATTTTTGTTGTACATAACAAATCTGTTCCTAAACGTGGGAAACTACCTGACGAGATTATGACGGATTCTTATTTTTGTGGTGAAAATGTCGGTGGAGAATGGATTGTTTATCCTTGGGATGCTTTAGATATCGATGAACATACACGTTTGGCAACGAGTGAAATGAAAGCAAGCGAACTTACTCTTCCATCGGATGAAAACGATTGAGTTTCACGATTCATATTTCCAGCATCGAGAAGTTCTTGTTTAAGACGATTGATTTCTTCTTGTAAGATTCTCATTTGTGCATCGCGTGGATCTTCATTTATATGTGGCTTATTCTTAATATTTTTCGCTCGATTCGCATCTAAACAGATATATTATGCAATGATTTGTAGAATGTTTTTCGAATATAATCATACATCGTAATGTCGAAAGTGTTTCTTCATAATTATCGTGTGCTGGACTTATAGCCGCAATCTTTCGAGAAAGGAAAAGGATACGAATGCGAACAATGAATAAACAGAAGAATAGTTGTTTACCATCAATGTTTTAGTATTGCCACCAAGTGAATCTTGTAACAGACGTGTTAGTTTGGAATCTCGATAAGGTATGTGCTTTGAGCGACCATCAACCAAGGCAGATATGACATTACCCAAGGCACTCAGTGATAAATTAATTCGAGTCGCTTCACGAAGACGATCACCTTCCGCATCTGTATAGGGCACAGAAAAGGATTTTATTGAGATGAGAAATATTCTGTCTACATACGTGTTTTCGATTGCCGTTCGCTGCCGGCTAAATCGACTAGATTCAATTTCCCTGCACGAATATGTTCTTTTCCGTCCAATTCACTTTGCGTGCACATTTCCGTCATAATAGTAAAGATCGAATGGGATCGAGATGAATCCTTATTCATCAAGGTAGCACCAGTCGCGCGATTCTTGTTACCTTTATCCATCAAACGTTCGCAATCCTTGACACTTATACATTGATGCCATGTTAAATTCGGAACAAAAACACCTTTATCTACATGTTCCTGCAAACATTAACAACAATCAAATTTCGATTTTTTCCTCTCGTTTCAGGGCTTACTTTGAGTTCAAGTACCGCTTTCGCATCTTTACTCAAAAGATCACGAATACTCTCATTGTAGATTTCGAGATATGATGCGCGAATAAGATATTTGGTACCCGCTGTTACCGATGACGCTTCGAATATATGCTAGAAATTACTCGCAGATAGAACATTGTTCGATTGAAGTTTAAATATTCTCACTTCAAACGATCGAGGTATAACACCACGTTGTAAAGGTCCGGTTGTATTCATTCCTTGCATAGTGAATGATTTCCCGCATCTAAATAGGAAAACTTGAGGTTAAAATACATTTTGAAAACGAAGTATATCAGTACCCTGTTTGACCATAAGCAAATACAGTTGCATTGTATCCTTCCAATACCTAACATAAATCATAACCTTCCTGTCTTTAGGGTGTGATGGTTTTCATCTGTCAACATACACTTTCTACTAGTGGAAAGACGGAATCTGTGTATAAAGTTTCTGTATTTGAGTTCTCAGGGTACACTGCATCAAATGTGAATTGTTTGGGTGGTTCATTTCGTTCGTCGATTGTTTCCAAGAGAACTTGATTTAATTGCGTATTCATAGTAATAACAGTCTACGAAAGGCAGATAAATGACGATAAACTATCGACAGATTTGTCTTACTCGACATGCAAGATCTAGCTCACGTTGGTTCATCGGTCGACAACGAACTATAACACGGACTGCTTCACCTGTATTTGATGCCGCCATAGATTACTATATATTTTTAACGAAGTGTTTATAAGCTAGAAACGAAGATAACAGCATACATGTACACATTTATTGCAAAAAAAAACGAGTGAAAACTCCATCATTGAACACGACAGAATTACTTATGCTTCGAGCTCACTTGGTTTCAAGTGTTTTTCTTTAATAAAAGAGACATAAAGATTACATGCGTAACATGAAGCATCACCATGATGAGTTAGGTTGCTGTTCGAGATGATTTGATGTGCCTTCACGGATACGAAAGAGGCCGCCTTTACTCATATCGTACCGTATGCGTTATGACAGGAACGTTTTCCAGTTAAGAAAACGAACATCATAGGTGTATCAATAACCAGATCTCGTTCATGTATTCAAAGATTGTCTTCAAACAGTTGTTGTGTACTATTTAAACTCGAAATATTAGTCAATAGTAGTATTAGATTGAATTGCATGTGTCACGTATTCTAACTATCGTACAAACGATCTTTGCAGCTTGTTGTTTACCGGTTACCTCTTTTTTTCATCTTTATCATAAATTCAGACGGTAATGTTTTATGAATAATGAATCGCTTTTCGTGTTGAGCTTGTTACATGTAAGTGTAAAAATAGTTTTGTTAATAGTAAACTCTACTGAGAAGTAGTTTAGTGATTATTTATAGTGTTTTATTTATCGGGGGCGTTTCTTGAAATAAGTATTTATGAGAAGAGATCAGCAAAGCGCCTCTCTGTGTTTATTTCGTTCATAGTCAATGATTGTAAACACATTTTGACAATACGTAGATAATAGACTTTATTTCACCATTATAATCTATTCAGTACATCATTTCGAGATGTGGACATGTAGCTTTAGACCGTTAAAAGTTTCTGTCTGATTTTATCAGAGATTAAAAAGTGTGCAAAGAAACTGCGGCTCAAACAAATGTCCTATATAAAATTTCAGCGTGATTGGTTGTCATCAATGTGTGCATTGACATATATATTCAACGAGATGGCAATAAGGTCGATCTCTGTCAACCCCATGGCGAGTGCACGTAGCACCAGATGTTTTTACATAACCATTTTTATCATATTGCCAGTCACAACAACGCTTACAGTTTTCACAGGAACGACCATTACAAAAATCATTGTACTGTGCTTGATAATGTGAGACGATAGGTCCTATCAATTATATATCAGAAACTATTTAGAAAAAAAATCTATATTTTAATCAGCTTACTTTCCGTTGGACCACAGCTTTGGAAAAAAAATTTGTTCATACGATTTAATTGGTTAGGCCTTGAAGTTGAAGTACGGCTATTCTCGCCGATAAATCTCACAGCTTGCGCTCTGTGATAATTAATGTTTCCTGCATATGATGAGTGCGGTTTCAAAGTAGGTCTCGTGTCCTTATGCATCGGCCTGGTGTTACGAATAGGTCGCTTTTCAAAATAAACTGTACCATTAGTGAAATTTATCTGTGTTGCTGTTTCAAGTTGATCGAAGGTTGAGGATTTTGTCTCTTCAAGTTCCGTCTCATCGGAGATATCGTTGTCGCTGAGGAGTCCATGAGTGAGTATATATTTATTTATTGACTGGTCATCAGCTTCTGCTATATGAGAATTAACTAGCTGACGGAAACGCTGGTCTATCTCGTTGACTGCTGTTTGAACTTCCTCCAAGTGCTTTTCTACGAAATTTTTTGTCTGTAATAGTTTATTAATTTTGCTTGTCATTTTCTTAACTCGATCGTTTTGGACATCTATTTCACGTTTTCTTTTGTTTTCAATCATGCGACGGCGTTTTTCAAAATGTTCCTTCACTTTGATGATCACCCTCTGTTCCAATTCATTGATCTTCGTGAAATCCATGTTGCTGTCCAAACTATTAAGATTTACTTGCAGAATGTTACAAGTATCTCCTACTTTTTCCATTTGAGCACCCAACTCTCTTCGGTGCATATCCGAATGCGTTTGGCAGAAAGGGCTGTCACATCCAACACAGATGAAAACAGCTTCATCTTTTTCACATCTTGAACATTCGATTGTTTGACTCATAAGTTGTAACTAAATTGCATTGACTAAATACTGAAATATGCTGACAAACAAACATTGAGTAGCAATGACATGGCAAATTTAGTTCTATGAAGATAAGATACTGTCATAACAACGAGTGAAGGAGACGACATACACCTTTTTGTGGTTTTAATCATCAAATCTCGAAAAACTTCTCCGATTATTTGAAGTACTCACGAAAAACTCAAATCCCTCGGACCGTAAATTTGTACTTCCATTACAAAAGCTACAAAAACTCCGGAGTCTATCATCACTTTGTAAAACTGTATTGTATATTCTCCCTAACAACAAACATGATTCAAGCATATGCAAGGAAGTAGAGAACTAAAACTTTCTTCTTCACACGTGCAACAAACGAGACTTGTATTTACCTTTCTTTTTTCTTTATGCAGTGAAACAGATTATGTTCCTTTTTCGTACATCGCCTAATAATTATCTGTGTTCTACCATGACTAAGCCGAACTTGAAAACCGAAACTTACTTGTATCTTCCACTCATACCCGCTTTCACAATGTCCACAAAGGAAAGACACCTACGATCATATTGTATTTTTCTTTACGCACATCTTGTGTTCTCAATGCATTTAGTTTTCATACAAGTTTATTCTATTCATGCATCTGACATAAGATATACAATATATTAAAGCAAATTGAAAAATTCACAAAAAAAACACACATATACAGAAGTTTATCTGAATAAAAACGACATCGACAGAGAAATCTTATTTGATTTTGCTGAAAACATTCTTATTTTTCTTACTACTCTTTCGCAAGAGCTCTTTCGTGTCTTGTTCGTCGAAATTGAGATAATAATTTTGATGAATTTCTTTGTAAGCATCACTTTTCAAAAAGCTCGCTAGTCGCGTCAAATTGCCCATTTGCAAAGCAAGTTCAGGAATAAATGGATTCGATTCGAAACGATAAATATGTTTAGCATTACCCAAATCCAGTTGTCCTATTCAAAAGAAGCGTACTTCACATGCACATACGCGAGGAAATGTTCACCTACCAAACGCCGGTGGTAAAACATTGATTTGATTTTGTTGTATATGAAGCTCCTGTAGCTGTGACAAATGAGTCAGTTCTTTCGGTATGTGACGTAGACGGTTGTGACGAAGTACAAGCTGAAACGAAAAAAAAAGCGATGTTATGTTACACATGAATAAACCGGCGTTACAACTATGTGCACATAGCATCAAAGTTAAAACAAAATATATAGGAATCCGCTGTCATGCCACCATCAACATCATCGAACATCGTATGTATTCAATTGTTTTCTCCCGAAGTTATTGATCCTATCTGAACATGTTGTTTAGACTTCAGCAAAACGTAAACGTCGTTCGAATAAACAACATCGCCATCGTCATGAATTACTATATGTAATTAATCATCCGACTATGGCTAATGTTATGTACTACACGAAACATTTCTTTCTCAAATCTGCATTTGGTCGACTTTTTTTTCTGTTCATATTCATTGCGACGTTCAACATCTTTATATTCTCACAGTTTTACTGGCCGAAAATTCTGAAATGGTTACAGAATTCTACCACCACGACACCGATGGAAACACCTGCGGAATATCAATCGGCAAACGAATTTTAGTTCCGACTTACAATCTGCAAGTTTCCTAGTTTATCGATATGATCACTTGGAAATGTTTCGAATAAATTATCACCAAGATAAAGTGCACGTAAATTACCTTGAAAGAGAAAACTGATTGTATGAAGAAAATTGGACAAGAAAACTATTTACCAAGTTGAAAAAAGTCCTTGGTTAAGCTATTTTCAGTCAAATCATTACCAGTCAAATCGAGTATTTCAAGAGATGCGAGTGAGCTGAACGAACGAGGTAATGACGAAAGTTGGTTATGGCCAAGCTTGAGAATTCGTAAATTTGAAAGTAGAACAATCGATGAAGGCAATTCCTGTAGACAAACACATCGAACATATGTTTGTGGATTATCTTTTCTTACTTGAAGATGATTGTTTGTTAGATTCAATGTCTGTAGATAAACTAAATTGGAAATATGAGACGATAGAGCTACAAGGAGAAGAAGTTATTCTTGTTGAAGAGTGATACTTCGCATACTTTTCAGTTTGTTATGTGCTAAATTCATGTGTAAAAGTTGTTTCAGATGACAAACAACTAAAAACAAACAGGTTTTGTTTTTTCAGTCTTGAACCAATTCACGATTTTCTCGGAGCGTACTTACTCAGATCCCAACAATAGTCATCAATGAATTCAATGTTTGTATCATTCAATACAAATTTATGTTCATTTAGATGTTCAAGACTTGTTTCGATAGCACGTTTGATTTTCGTCGGTATCCGATCCCAATTAAGGTTACTAGTAAACATCTAAATAAATAAAAAACGTTTGTGTCTTCTGTTGCGTGTGTGTTTCTATTAACAATTAACATCTTTCTGTGCGTGCAAAGTTCAACAATTCAATATATAGAACATGATTTCGTTTGTTTGTTTTCGACAAGAATTGAAAGAAGGGAATGATCGTTATCACAAAAAAAGAGACGAATGTCAAAAACCAAAAAATCGTACAGAAGACTTAGTATGGTTTGTTCTGAAGAAAGAAAAAAACGCTGGGGTGGTTTATGTATGTATATAAAAAAAAAAAGAAAATAGTGTATACCGATGTGATTGTGTATGGCAAGGAATCGATATGATGCACTGGTTTCTTTTAAAGAAGCAAGAAAGAAGACGAAGACAAAAAAAAGAAGTAAAAGTAAAAAAAAGAAAAGAAATAATCAACGACAACAGTTGTGATGATTGTAATTCAATACTACTGTTGCAAATGCCCAGTGGAATTGTTGTGATGTACACGCTGTTGCTGTTGTCCGTAGTAATGATAGTTATTTCGGTTGGTTGTAGGACCATATGTAGCACCGTTACGATTATCCTGGACAAATGAAAGTAATTAGTCTTGGTAAGATGAGTTTATTGAACGTGTAATACTTACACGAGTATCTGCAGATGAATGAGATTGGGGTCGATCTTGAAATGTCATGTCACCTACATAATTCGGTATTGGAAAAGCCATCGGATTCAAATAGACAGTTGTTGTTGAAGGGGAAGCTGTTAATGATGCTCCCTGAGAAAATACTGCTGCTGTCGGTGATAATTTGCTTGATGTAGGAGCATCTTTCATTGACTGTGCATTTGTTGATGATTGTTGTTGATGTTGCTGTTGAAGAGTATCATTATTTAGCGACCGTGTTTGACCATAACTAGCAAAGAACTCTTTATCATAAGACGATGAATCTAAAAATGATCAGATTTTAAAGAAGGAATCAAACAACTTCGATCTACTAAGTTACATACCATATCTATTTAACTGTGGATGATATGGCTGTTGTTGATTAGAGTAAGTAGGTGAATAATCTACAGGAATAGTGTTTAGGTAAGAAAAAATAAACAGGAATTGATTATTTCTTACTGGTCGGTGGATATGGGTATGTATCAAGTGGTGCAGAGTAATTCGCCGTTGGCCAAGAGTCAAGAGGTGTGTATAGCCGAACTAACTAAAATGAGTAAATCAGATATTTCAATGCTAGATATACACAATAGCCATTTGAATTAACTTACTGATGGTGAAAGCGCATGATATGGAAATTGTCCGAGATAAATTTGTTGTTGTTGAGGCGGTAATTGATATGATTGTTGTGAGTAAGTTCCTGTTGGATACATGGATGCTTTTGGATTTTGCTTATAATTCGGAGATTGAGAATTCCATTGATTTGCTTGTGGATAATCTCGCGAACCGGATCTATTGTGGTAATGAATAGAGAGACTCTCAAGCTACGTGTGTGTACGCAAAGGAAACATACGGATAGTTGCTTAAATTATTGAATGGTGCAAATGCTGATGGTGTAACATTTGTAGGATTTTGTTGAATATTATTTGGTAGAGTGAGAGGCGTAGTTGTTGATATTGGTGGCAAACGTGTTATGGGAATTTGTATTGGTACTTGTGGCTGAGATGAAATTTGAGATGGAATAGCAGATGGTGCATCAGTTAGATGATCAGACAAATGGGATGTACCATCGTTAGAAGCAAGTGATAAATTATGTCCCTAAAGAAAAGATGTTCGATGAGCATTAGAAAACTTCCTTGTTTTACTTACTAATGTGTTATCGTTAATTGATAATGATGATGAAAATTGATTAGTAGTTTCAAGAAATTGAATGTCATGTTCATTCGCTGTTAATACATCGTCTTGCATTCTACAAATATTCACAAAAGATTTTATACATTTGATTTGTATGCGTCTCGAGTTTTACTGTTGGTTATTATATTCATGATCTTCCGTATTTTGGTGATAAGTAGGCAGTGCAGTTGAGATTAGTGTGTCATCATCAGTTGGAGTAACAGTTATGGGCAAGGAATCCTTCCATTGGATATCTCCAAATTGAATATCGATTGGCTCGGTAGAACAATGGATTGTTCGATGCATTGAAACGGGTTTCTGATGAATCGATGATGATGATGTACGTTGGGTGGATGATTTCTTTTCTGAATGATCCAAATTTGACGATTGTGAGATGTTGTCAGTGGAGTCATATTTTTCTACGTTCGATGTTGGTAAGATTGCCTCAGTTGGCGGGTTTGTTTCACCCGGTTTGGATTCGCGTGCAGTGTTCGTTTTCACACCTGGATTAGTTCTATTAGCTCCATGTTGCCGAGGCGGATAACGTGAATTAGACGAATTGTAATGATGACGATTGAAATCATTTCCTAAGAAAACAACGCGATAGTTTCATGCCGAACAAATATCGTCTTTCATTGCGAAGAAAAACGAGACTTACCACGTCGTCCAGTGTTGGGACGTCCTGATGATGAATACTGATAACGATCATTACGACGATGGCCATCGCGAAGGGACGAAGTTGGAGATGTTCGTTGAGATAAAGATCGCTCGCTATCATCTAGAGAATTCCCATTTATTATCTGATCATTGGGATGGTACTGAGCAGTGGCTTGATTTTTCTTTTTATTACTCGGTTTGGCCTTTTGCCACCCACCATCCTAGAAATACAAGAGTCATCTTAAAACCTGAAAAAAGCGATATTCTTCCGTCTATACTTCATAATCTCGTGCTTGTAAGCGAGCGATCGTTTGTTGCATATTGTGATTGCATTCATGAAAGACAATTGATATAATCTCTGGATCAACGTCATCACATGTTTGTTGTATCTATAAAAATCAAGAGAAAACAACGTTTTTTCTCTCGCGAGAAACAAATCACAAAGATTTTACCAATAAGATTTGTTCCTTAACAGCTGCCTCATCGAATTTCTCGGGGCGTAATTGAGCAAGATGTGCACGATCTATAGTATTCATTCTTGAAAGCTGAAATGAGAAAAGGACTTTTGTTATACACTATCTATGATCCGAGAAAAATCATTCATGACTCATAATTCTTGAAAGAAACATCCAAAAATATTATGTTGAAGAAATTACAGAAGTATATACACAAATGAATCATCATTCTACAGAACAAAAATGTCATTTTCATGTGTAGAGAAGATGAAGGATTGTTGTATATGTTAGTAAACATGAAAAACAACAACAATCTTGCATAAACGTATGTTTATCAGTAGCTGGATCACAAAAGTTTTCCAACGAAATGAAAATGACTCACATGCAGTCGAATATTATTCTTGTTATCGTTTTAATACCGGTGACGAACTGTTCGTAATCAATGGAGTAAATGTTATATAGTTCTCTTCTATCGGTAAATTCCTTCGAGTAATTTCATCAGTTTATATCAATGAACAGTTCCGTAAGAGATTTATTTATTTAAATTGAAAATTCGAGTGCAGAGATAATTAGGAAGTCGAACAAGAGGTGAATTGAGGAGAGGAAGAAATTTCACAAAACAGATCAACGAACGAAAAATATCCTATAAACCATCATGGTTAATCTATGGATAACCAATCAGATTGTTTCAAAACATCAATGCATTAAATCAGTCGAAAATCGTCTGATTGAATAAAAATTTTAGTAAGCTTTGACCAAACATCGTTTGTTTGAGATTCAAGACGGACGAAACGAAAAGTGAAGAAGAAGAAGAAGAAGAACAAGAAGCAGAGATAAACCATTTTACATTCAATCTACTTTAACATTCGAACTCTTCGCATTTTATCTGTCTTTCTTCTTCTCCTTGCTGTTGTTGTTGTGTCAAATGGAAATCAATCAATCGACCGGCACTAAAATGCCGAGTCAAGAACATTTAAACATCATCAATAAATTGAATGATGCAAAAATTCCACGACAAAATCAATTGATTGCTAACCGTTTATTTATGAAGAATTTTCCTCGCGAAGTAAAACAAAGGAAAAGGAGAAGAATCTTTCGATCTTTGTACTTCTGTATTTTAGACCACTAGCGCTGAAATTGAAACTCGTTTTCAATCATTTGGTGCTGTTCACGATGTGAAAATCATTGCCAAAGAAAATACGTAAGTGCCCATCTGAAATTGTCTTCATTCAATCTCACCAAAACAAACGCTCCTTTTAGACATTTTGCGTTTATCTCATTTGTTAATGAAAATAGTGCTCTTGATGTCCTACGCCAACATGCTATAATGCCATTGACATTCCAAAACCAACCGATTATCTTAGCGCCTGCTTTTAAAAAGACCAATATGCCATCGGCAACAAGTATGTGTCTTGTACTAAGGAGTTTTTCTTTAGTTCAATTATTCTGCTCTTTAGGCCCAACATCCTACTGTCCAACAAGTGGTTCAACAATGACACCACCACCAACGCCGTCACGGACAGGAGTAAATGGAATATCTCAACAACCATCAACACCGTATCATCAACAGCAGCAGCAGCAGCAACAACAACAACAAATCTCGGCTCCCCATCCTGTTTATCCACCCATATTTTTTCCTGTACAAGCAAATGTAAGTACTTGAAAGACTTACAAGTTTGTATTTATGCCATCATCTATAGATGCCTTTTATGCCAATGGCTGGCACCTATATCATACCACAAGGACCAACATCACCTCATCATCCGGTAGGACTATTTTGAGTGAACATATCATGCTCATCATGCGCTATTCATTTTAGCAATTACCGCCATCTTTCTATCCAACATTCTATACTCAAAATGGTAATCATCAAGCAGGTGGCCCGTTAATCAATGGCGTATGTCTCAATAGCACTTACGAAAAGAGAAATTTCACCATGCTTTGTTTTTTAGCATGCATATCTTCCAACTTCGTACATGTATTCCATGGGACCACCAGCCACTATTCCAGCTCAATATCAAACAGCAGTCAATGATGCGTCTATGACAAGCGAATATTGATCTATATATATACATATAGTTTCTTTTTCGAATCTCGATTCATCGAACATAACTCATCGTATTCAATTCTTTTTCTTCTAGTATATTTTTTGCTCAGATTACTTCTAATCTCGAATGTAACTTCCAGAAAAAAAGCCCTAGAACTATCAGTCGATCTTGCGCTCTTTCAGTAATGTATACGTTGCTTAGATTTCTTTTTCTTTCAGCTTGTGATGATAGTATCTTTCTCACCGGTGTATAAACATCAACGATTTATTTTATTATTTTTCCCTTTCTTTTGTCTTGCTCTTTCTGTGTACAATAGCGTGATATCTCTCTTTGTAGTTTATCCTTCTATGTCAGATGATCTTCTCTCAGAAAAATCTAGTTAAGCTACTGTCAGATATGAACATATATACACGCACGGTGCCATGATTTCTCTTTTATTTTTCTTTCATCTTTTTTTCCTATACCGTCGTCTGTAATAAACATCAGAAAAACAAAAGCGGCCACCATCGCGATGTACATCTACTAGTTGCTCTATAATGCGTCTTTGGTAAAACTTCTGCGATTTTCAAGAAGTTAGCGGGCGAATAATCCAATAGCGATTGAGAAATGTACCATTTCGGCGAAAAGTAACAAGCAAAAGGCCATCTTCATTAAGAGCGAAATCATGTATTATAACTGACTTATCAGAAGAACTGAGTAACAGGCGTAGGTTATATTCAGCTATTTGATTTCCGTCTTCATCAACAACATAAAGAAATGTACCGCAGGTTATAAAATATTTCCCGCGAAACCAAACAACTTCCGATGGTGAGTTATAAACACAGAATGTTAGTTTTCGTATTACTGCACCAGTTAATGTGTACATATGAATGGTGGCTGGATATTCAAGTGAGTAGGTAAATAATCTATTATTACTTATGAATAATTTCAATGGTAAATAATCCAAACGCATTGTCTTATGAGGAACACCCATTCGTGAATAAATTCTCACCATTCGGTATGCATCATCACATACATAAACTAAACCGGTATGGGTTATTGCTACACAATCACTGCGTATGATCGGTACACCTAATATCTGTGGCGTCAAACAACGCACGAGACGATTTTCGTGCGAGAATACATAGATATAGTAAGCAAGTTTTGGAACTAAATAGACGTAACTGTCTTGGTCAATATGAACATGTGCTATTGAATAAGCGTTGTGAACTGATGGACTCGAATCAATAGCTTGATTCAGATGTTCAATTTGGTGGAAAAATATCGGAGTTAAATCAATTCGATAAGAGCCATTGACATTAAGCAAGAGGATTTGTTGATTACCATTATCAATAACTAGAAAGCGTCCGTCTGGATAAGCTTCGACTGCTGATAACCAACGTGTTTCATTGAACATTGCTGCATGTTCATAGATATTGATATAATCGAATCTAGGTAAATCCAGTGCTCCATCATCGATCGATGCATTTGCTGTTAGTGGAGTTGTTGTCGTTGTGAAGCTAATAGGTAGCGTGGCTAATGTAGCATATGGATACACTGCCCATACTGGAAGAGCGTAGGATTCATATGTACGAAAATAAGAATAGAAATCAAGAAGATCGGTGTAAGAATTGATTGTATATCGTTCTAAATCGTAGACAAATGAGTTGATGTGGTTTGGGAAAAGATCCAAAGTAGAAAAGTACCTTTTGTGAACTGCTCAAAACATTTCTCGTGTAATTCCGTTGCAAGCAATACATTCGATAAAGATCGTTGGGGAATCCTATAACCATAATACAAAGCTGGTATTTGCGACCAATGAAAACGCTGTGTGCCATAATTTGCATAGCAAAATAATTCCTCGGGTACATCATGTCGTAGTCCATATAAATCTCTAAGAAACAGCAAATCGTAATGGTATAATCTACAATCACCTAATTCAATATGGAGACCTAGAAAAAGAAAAGAATTGTTTTCCTTTTTCTGTTCGTATCAATGCTTGTTTTTTTTCTCTGTCGGTGAGAGCATGCTTTCTGCATCATTAAGAAAACTATGTTTAGATTGCACTTATGATTATTCTTTTCGTTTACAGTATTATCAGAATGCTATTCACCTGTGTGCAATCTTTTGATTTGTTATCGTTACGAAACAAAAACAGACATAACAGTGCGAATAACTACGATGAAAAACAACATTTTTCGCTCTATTTACAAACTGAAGGTTGTGTCTAGGTAAATATTTACTGTATATGTCTTTGTTCTCAAGTACAAAAAAACAAGTTTTGAACGCAAAAACACTATTTTTAGAATTTCTTATTCTCTTCAACCGATAAGTGACAAGTAAATGAAATTCAAGATTCACATACACGGAATTTGCAACAACCATTGTCGAATCGCTAGTTGTTGATCTTCTCGCATGTATACAATCGGATACCAATCCACAACATTGATCCACAATTGTTTAAATCGAACTGATCGGTATTGAAAGAAAATCGAATACAAATCCATACCTGACCATCTGGGCAGAACGTTTTCAATGTAAATACTTGTACGATTAGAAAATTGGAATAAGTGCAGCAATTCTGTCACACTCCCGTGCGTATTGACGATTTTGAGATAATCTATTGGTAATAGCTTCCTTGAGTCATAGAGTCGAACGATGAAACTTAGATTTATGATAGTTATTTTTCGTAATAATTCGAAACAATGCGACCATGTAGAATCGAATTCAAAATAACAGTGCTCTTGATGATCGAGACAATTATAATCATGAAAGATCTTGAGTTCATCGATTTTCTGATTAACTAACAGTCGATAATCATTTCTGCAGAGAGAATAAGAAGTCAAATAGAAATTGAATAAATTTCGACATTCTAATCGACGTTCACTTGTTAAATAACAACCTAAGGACAGAGAAAAAATTTCTATATCCTAAGTAAGAAAATTCCATTTACTCCATGGCGATGTCTGATTTGAAGATGAATGATCTTCGGACGCATAAGTTAATAGCTGCCAAAGAACTATCCAAAGTAATTGTAGGATACGCATAGGGTTGATGCCATATGAAAAATGTGGTTTTGGGTTTAGAATTCTTAATTTCTCGCTCACATCGATCCCTCGATAGTTGCGGTATCAAGTCATTTTTCTCTCTCATGTTCTCATACTTTCGCTCAAGTTCTTTCTTTTCCTTATTACACTCAACCTGTTCGACTCAAGGTTAATTACGAAAATATTTATTTATTTCACAAGAGTATTATAGAATAAATGAGAAATATTGATTAGCTGGATCGCTTATTGAACATATCACATAAACGTACACACGGTTATCCAAGGTCATAAAATATTATTTGAAAATAAAAGAACGTAATTGTCTACGTTTGATCATGATATTATTTATTGTGTGTTGACACATTAGAGAATAGGTCAATAGGGAAATCTTTCCCATGATTAGAAAGTATATCCGTAAGTTCTTTTACACTTACGAATATAGTTAACGTCATCGTGCCTCAGTAAAAATGAAGTGTTTGATTCAGACGATAGACTGTTTTTTATTGCATATAGTTTGCATATGCGATGAAAGAAACAAAGGAATCCAATAACCCCTCCCCCCATCCTTTTACAAAAATAGAAA